GAGAAGATGAATTTGCTGTATTTTAAAACAAGTAACTCGGGCCCAGTTCGTAGAGAAGATGGATTTGCTGTATTTTAAAACAAGTAACTCGGGCCCAGTTCGTAGAGAAGATGGATTTGCTGTATTTTAAAACAAGTAACTCGGGCCCAGTTCGTAGAGAAGATGAATTTGCTGTATTTTAAAACAAGTAACTCGGGCCCAGTTCGTAGAGAAGATGGATTTGCTGTATTTTAAAACAAGTAACTCGGGCCCAGTTCGTAGAGAAGATGGATTTGCTGTATTTTAAAACAAGTAACTCGGGCCCAGTTCGTAGAGAAGATGGATTTGCTGTATTTTAAAACAAGTAACTCGGGCCCAGTTCGTAGAGAAGATGGATTTGCTGTATTTTAAAACAAGTAACTCGGGCCCAGTTCGTAGAGAAGATGGATTTGCTGTATTTTAAAACAAGTAACTCGGGCCCAGTTCGTAGAGAAGATGGATTTGCTGTATTTTAAAACAAGTAACTCGGGCCCAGTTCGTAGAGAAGATGGATTTGCTGTATTTTAAAACAAGTAACTCGGGCCCAGTTCGTAGAGAAGATGGATTTGCTGTATTTTAAAACAAGTAACTCGGGCCCAGTTCGTAGAGAAGATGGATTTGCTGTATTTTAAAACAAGTAACTCTGGCCCAGTTCGTAGAGAAGATGGATTTGCTGTATTTTAAAACAAGTAACTCGGGCCCAGTTCGTAGAGAAGATGAATTTGCTGTATTTTAAAACAAGTAACTCGGGCCCAGTTCGTAGAGAAGATGGATTTGCTGTATTTTAAAACAAGTAACTCGGGCCCAGTTCGTAGAGAAGATGGATTTGCTGTATTTTAAAACAAGTAACTCGGGCCCAGTTCGTAGAGAAGATGGATTTGCTGTATTTTAAAACAAGTAACTCGGGCCCAGTTCGTAGAGAAGATGGATTTGCTGTATTTTAAAACAAGTAACTCGGGCCCAGTTCGTAGAGAAGATGGATTTGCTGTATTTTAAAACAAGTAACTCGGGCCCAGTTCGTAGAGAAGATGGATTTGCTGTATTTTAAAACAAGTAACTCGGGCCCAGTTCGTAGAGAAGATGGATTTGCTGTATTTTAAAACAAGTAACTCGGGCCCAGTTCGTAGAGAAGATGGGTTTGCTGTATTTAAAACAAGTAACTCGGGCCCAGTTCGTAGAGAAGATGGATTTGCTGTATTTTAAAACAAGTAACTCGGGCCCAGTTCGTAGAGAAGATGGATTTGCTGTATTTTAAAACAAGTAACTCTGGCCCAGTTCGTAGAGAAGATGGATTTGCTGTATTTTAAAACAAGTAACTCGGGCCCAGTTCGTAGAGAAGATGGATTTGCTGTATTTTAAAACAAGTAACTCGGGCCCAGTTCGTAGAGAAGATGGATTTGCTGTATTTTAAAACAAGTAACTCGGGCCCAGTTCGTAGAGAAGATGGGTTTGCTGTATTTAAAACAAGTAACTCGGGCCCAGTTCGTAGAGAAGATGGATTTGCTGTATTTTAAAACAAGTAACTCGGGCCCAGTTCGTAGAGAAGATGGATTTGCTGTATTTTAAAACAAGTAACTCTGGCCCAGTTCGTAGAGAAGATGGATTTGCTGTATTTTAAAACAAGTAACTCGGGCCCAGTTCGTAGAGAAGATGGATTTGCTGTATTTTAAAACAAGTAACTCGGGCCCAGTTCAACTTGCTGTAGTTGTCAGTTTACGGACAAATAAAGTCGAAAAGCATTAATCAGAATATGTTTTAGGCTGTCCCAAAATTTCGGATTCTTTTTCTGGAGTTTGAAATTGGCGGGAATTTTAAAACGCTCGTTGTGTTACCAAACCAATATTTTCAGCGCAGAGTTTTAGCGCGCGCCAAGAGCACACACGTATTTTTGCATTGAAGCCGCGCGTTATTTGCACGTGCACTTCTACAGATTAAAATTTGGAGAGGGCCCTTACTGCTTACATTACTAAGTTGTTATGTAGTAATATTGTGAATTTGTCCGAAACTGGAAACAAATCTTGTAAAATTTTACGAATAGAAGTTATAGTATTACTTGACTGTAAAAATTTACTGAGTTTCACTTCCATATTTCAGGATCCGACCGCTGATATTAAAATTGAAGAGTTAGATTTCATTGGAACATGGAATTACTGTAATGGAAAATAAAACAGGTCTTGCTGAGGATGAAGAAATGTTATGTGGGGAGAAAATGGGCTACTGGAAGTGGACCTTCTTAAACAAAGACGACTTTCACAAAATGTTTAAAAGATCACGATCGCGGCATCGAACCTTGGACGCTTCCCCTGCCACTGTCAGACACTCGAGATTAGTACTAGTAGTGTGCGCTACTCGAGCTGTTGATATATGAGTTCTTCGGTGTTATTTATATAATTGTAATATGTAATGACTGACAGTGCGAGATATCTTTTTTTGTTTCTATTTGATGTGTTTAGTGTTTGTGTTGCATTCTAATATAAACCGCGTATTAGTTTCGTGTCAATTTTAAATTTGATAAGTTTATCTTTAAACTGTATTTATTAGCAGTAATAGTTACATTTTGGTATTATATCTTTATTTATTATTGTAATACTGTTGTATAATGCTGTTTCTTCCTCATTGTAGCTTACATATAGGATAGCATACTTTGCTATGATCTTTAATCACAGTTGACAATACTTGATTAGAGTTAATGATTGTACGCGTTTGAAATCTTGATTTGATATCATTATAACCTTTAATAATGTTCAGATGAATGAATTTGATGTTTTATTTTTCCTCGGCACTATTGAAAATCCTTTACGGGATAGAATCGGCACTGTCAAATATCTTTAAAAGGTTCGTAAACGGAATTACAGTCGATCTCCTGACAAATTTATGCCGAAAATTTGTTTTAACACGCGCAGCAATATGAAGCCCGCGGCGTTCGCCAGGGTGCTGGTAGGTTGTAAACCTACAAGCAAATAGGCGCGTTTATGCGATTTTACAATCAAATAATCATATTTTACAATTTAACTCAGTACGCAGTACGCGGCTTTTGTAGCGCATACGTCACTATACTACTTTTTTCAAGAAAACAACAATTTAGTAAGATGACAACATTTTAGTGGAAACAAATAAACATATTATATTGCGTATCATTTACGTCCTATTCATATTTTGTATCACGTCGTGACCCCCACGGTCGTTTCACTTTATGATCGTTCTTACGATACAGGGGGAGGCGCGCACTCGTGCGCGGCGGGTCATTCTTACTAGGCCGCACTCAGCCTGTCATTCCGCCGAATCTCTATTCTCTATGTTTATATGAACATGATAGCCTGACTCCTGAGCTAGGTCCCCAGGTAAGGTCATACATGACAACTCATATCCTGCATGGTACGGTATTGTGTTAAGGGGGCCGGGGGGTCTTCATCAAAATTCTCTCGAAATTGACTTTGTAGTTGTTTCTAATGGAGGGGAGTGATATCTATCAGCTGGGGGGGATGCAACGTCAATTAATGTCAATTAATGTCAATGTCAGTTTTGCAAAATTTTGGAATACTGACATTACACATTAATTGACACGATATTTTTCGACCAGAGATTATGTAGTTCTACCATATTTTTAGCACTTAAGAACGTTTATATCATTAATTTATTCACTACTATCACATATGGAAATGTGAAAAAATTCAGATCATTAAACAATTAAACTGAAATAATACGGTTTTCCGAAATTTAATTTTCTTAAATAGGCGTGGCCATCCAAGAGCGTGGTTCTCAACATCATCAGCACTTAAAACCCACATTAAACGAAATGCCTTCATGACATTTATATTTGAATAACGAATCTTAAACAGCTAACATTACTCCTTCATACTAAAAAAGCCGATTCTAGATATTTTACCTGTATAAGAAACCAATAAAATATGGGTGTGGCAGGTGGGGACCGAAGATGGAAGAGTTGGAAGCTGCAATTTTTTTTGTGGTCTATAAACCTTAGGATCAACAGATAAGAACATACTCATAATTATTCAAGGACATTTTGTTTTTTTAACCGGTCTAACTTACATAGACGTGAATATCTTGAATATTTATCGAATAATGATAATCTCAAATTTCAAGACAAATTAATGTCAATTAATGTCAATTAATGTCAATTAATGTCAATGTCAGTTTGGGGTTTTTATGGAATACTGACATTAATTGACGTTGCATTCCCCCCATCAGCTGTTTTTGGTCCCATGGAAAAATATTGTTCCTATAAGCCGAAAATATTGCCGGTCAAAGGTCAGCGCTTATGTCATATTATATGTGTAATTGTATTGCGCGAGCGATTTTCAATCGCGCGCCCTGAAAATCGAGTCGAAAAATCTATCTTCTCCTACATTTTTTGAGCAATCACCCTGAAGCTTTCAGGATATGTTCTAAGGACCATTTAGAAGCGATTGTCGGGCCAGAATTTTGAGGTAGGCCTTAGAAAATTTTTTTATTCGATTTTGAAAATCTTGGACCTGAAAAAATCGTCAAAATACGAGGTCCAAGATTTTGAAAATCGAATAAAAAAATTTCTGAAGCCTATCTCAAAATTCTGGCCCGACAATCTCTTTTAAATGGTCCTTAGAACATATCCTGAAAGTTTCACTAGTATTACCTGGGGACCCCAGGCTATTATATTTATATGTTCATAGTCATAGAATAGAGATTTGGCGAAATGACAGGCTGAGCGCCGCGCCCAGCTAGTAACACTAGTCTACAACGTGTGACGAGACGGAGAAACACGAAAGAAGTTATTGACAAATTTGGGAGTGTGCTTTTTACGGATTTAAATCACGCCAGTCAGTTTCAATGTTGATGAAAAGGCTGTTTACAGTTTAAATAATGTTTTCACTATTGATGTTTATTATTCATGAGTCATCAAACTGATTGATATGAACATATTAACAAATGATTCATTTGTGTGATAGATTTCAGTGAAGGGAGGACGCGGACGGTAAGATTTTGGGTTGGGAAACTTCGACGGGAACTTTATAGCACACATATTAGGTATTATAAATCACCATACACAATACAGACGAATCATAAATGAGGGAAAAAAAATAAAAATTTTAAAAACGTATTTGAAATTTAAGCTAACAGGTTTGACGTTAAAATTTAGAACAATTTGAAAAAAATTAAAACTGAGCTAACATATGAACGATGTTGATTAACAACAGGAAAGAAATCAAATCCCTGTTCTACTGGACATTTCCATGATATCGTTCTCGCCAAATTTCTTATACTTCTTGATTCCCAAAGTTTCGTTTATTTTCCCGAATTTATCGGACAAGATGTTGCCGGGAGATTTGCCCTGATACCGAGTGTATAGGTTTTCTTCTCCGTCTGATTCCTCCCCGCTGTCAGCCCAGGCGTGCTGCTGGTTTCCTTCGTCAGCCCCCTGGAAATTAGAAACATTGCAGACAATCAATAATCCACAATGTTTTAGCACCGTGATTTAGTGATTTGGAATGATCACAATTATTTTGCAGATACAAATCATGCCAGTATTCGATCCAATATTGGCATATAAATATAAGATTTGGCATGATATTGGGATAAAGTGCACTAAATGCACTGTTATCATCTTTAAAATAACTGATTAACTGACCATGTAGTTATCATCATCATCTGCATAGTTCATTTGACTGTAACCGTCTAACTTGTGCTTGAGACTGGAGCTGTACCAGGCTAGGAAACAGAATCCTGCTATCAATATCACCATCACCCCAACACCAATACCAACGTACACCTGTTATCAATTTTATGTCTTATACTAGAGTTATAGGATATAGTATAGGATACTTAGGACTATATCGCACAGCATACAGACTATACAGCTCAAGTTCAATTTGAAGTTTTAGTACATTCAACGCTATAATACACAAAATTACTTGAATTCTGAAGAAACTGTAGTTAAAAATGCATCAACCTTTAATTGCAAGCGATATAGTCAAAATTCATCAAGTTAGATTGAAGAGAGATACAGACTTCAAGTATGCTTTAAAAGAATCAAGGAATATCAATCATAATTCATATAGGAACAAAACCTACATAATACCTAAGCTATAGTTACTAACTTTGTGTCTTCTAATAAATACGCAATTTTTATTCAGCAGGCAAACCTTAAATCGTTTGATAGAGTCGACGAGAGAGTCTTGGTAAGGAACACAATCCTCAGTAGTGACGGGCAGCAGACCAGCTCCTCCGATACATACCACCTCTTCCTCCTTCACGTACCTAACAGAGTGATGACGTCATGCTGTGACGACATATGGTAGTGACGACATTTAGTAGTGACGACATTTGGTAGTGACAACATTTAGTAGTGACGACATTTGGTAGTGACGACATATGGTAGTGACGACATTTAGTAGTGACGACATTTGGTAGACACGACATTTGGCAGTGACGACATTTGGTAGACACGACATTTGGTAGACACGACATTTGGCAGTGACAACACGAGTATTTAATGTGAAATAATTAAGAAGCTTGGAAATTGCCGTTTTCGTGAACTGAACTCACGTGATATTCCTGGAGCTTTTCTCACATGAGGAAGCTATTGACTTGTAATCTGATTCTTTGCAGAGTCTGCATCCAAATGGTCCGGAGTACTCAAAAGCCAATCTGAATACAAAATATAGACATTATATCAGTGAAATTACAACTTATTGAGTTATGGGCCAAGCCTTGTCAGGCAATAAAGAATGTGGTATCCTAATTACTAATTTCTGGATACGTACTTTGTTGATAAGTGTTCACAATTTCTGATTATCCACTTTGTTGCGATAAAGGAAAATATATGCTCTTTTTAGAAAAGATATTAATTATGCTTTCAACACTATCATATAATACAATAATACCTTGGCTGTTGAGCGCTACGAGCGATAGCCCGGCACGATACTAAGCCAAGGTATTATTTATTATAATCTTTTTCGGTTTCTGTATGAAAAAATGTGTTATGTGAAACGTGCGCTGATACAATATAGTGTGTAATATATAGTGCGCAGAACGTGAAAATGGTGTAGGCACTAGTTGAAACGTCGATTATCAGTTTTCTTAAAAGAGCGTGCGTTTTACTAACAGTGTGTTAATCAGATATTTTTAACACTCATATTTTCTAGTTTTATCGATGCACATTTTTTCGAATTAACTTTTGCTTTTTTTCGAATTAACTTTTGCTTGTTTATGCCCAGGGTATTTTTGTAAGCTCAGTTTTTTTCGTGAGTTGCTGACATATATCCTAAAGTTACTCCCACCTCATCGTTTAATTTTAATATGTCAGTCATGCAGAATAAAGAGGAGAGAAGATCAATATCTCTGAATCACGTTGGCAAGAAAACGTCTCCTCAAATTGAGGCAGTAATTATGAAACTAAATACTAGAGGTGAACAACATACTCATAAGATTTCTTTAAAAACATATTAAATAAATCTGCGAATTTTGAATTAACCGAGTAACCCTGCGTAAAACAAAACACAGGATTTGTTTGGAACTCGATCAGAAACAGAACCGTTTCAGGACACACAATATCTGTAATACCTGAAACAGAACCGTTTCAGGACACACAATATCTGTAATACCTGAAACAGAACCGTTTCAGGACACACAATATCTGTAATACCTGAAACAGAACCGTTTCAGGACACACAATATCTGTAATACCTGAAACAGAACCGTTTCAGGACACACAATATCTGTAATACCTGAAACAGAACCGTTTCAGGACACACAATATCTGTAATACCTGAAACAGAACCGTTTCAGGACACACAATATCTGTAATACCTGAAACAGAAACGTTTCAGGACACACAATATCTGTAATACCTGAAACAGAACCGTTTCAGGACACACAATATCTGTAATACCTGAAACAGAACCGTTTCAGGGCACACAATATCTGTAATACCTGAAACAGAACCGTTTCAGGACACACAATATCTGTAATACCTGAAACAGAACCGTTTCAGGACACACAATATCTGTAATACCTGAAACAGAACCGTTTCAGGACACACAATATCTGTAATACCTGAAACAGAACCGTTTCAGGACACACAATATCTGTAATACCTGAAACAGAACCGTTTCAGGGCACACAATATCTGTAATACCTGAGGACAAGCGCGTGATCTGCTCGGTGGCTACCTCAGGTGCTCCTGAAGACATACACTTTGGGAAGGCATTGCACGTGGTCATGTTACTCCTAATTTTAATGACTATCTTTCTGGGCTACAGGTAACAGATACCCCTTTTGGCAGGGAGGTGGTGCAGGAGAAACAAGAGCCTTGTAGTTTTTAGTTACAGTGATTGCCCGTAATAACGTGCAACATGTTCATTGTTCCCATCAGTTGCTCTTAAAACTCAATGTTTTAGTATATTTGATAGGATCAACTAAATTTATCAGTAAAGCTTAATGTTTTATATCTTAAATCCCAAAAGGTCGACGAAGATACGTAACTCAAGAGCAGCTGGAATATTGCTACTGGTCCTAGGTGCTCTAACTTTGATCATCATGTTGTTTACTCTCCTTCTAATTGGAAAACTGGAGAGAAAACGACAACACGGAAAATTGGATGTTCAAGCAGTATGATATTTGTTCAGGAGAAAAAACAAACCCTCTCGAATAACGATGATCCAAATGACGAGTAGAAATATGAGATATGTGAGCATTACCTGCAATTGTCACTGTTGTCAACGAGAGATATGTCACTAGTTTGATCTCTGTTACAGATAAGAGTGACATTAGTTGTGACACTGTCACACCCCGTAACGGTGTGTAACGTTGAGAATTGAAGAGTGAGACCGTTGCTTTTCTCGTCCATTCCCGATAACATCTCTCCTTTACTGAAATATGAGGGAGTTTTGATTTCTCGGAAAACGATACTTTTCATTTTAAAAGTGTGCACTGAATTCAAAGTACTTTTCATTAATATCAATGAAATTATGACATTAGCATATGGCTGAAAAACTTTTTATTTATAAGAATGTGATCAGAAATAATGTTGAATTTAACCAACATAATTGGATTGGTGATAGTTTCTGCCCCTTCACTGGAACTCATAACGTTTTCTCTACAGATTGCTCCACTGACCTTGTCAGAATTGTCTTCTGAACACTGAAGTGTTGTATTTTAAATTGCAATTGTAGTTTTAACAAATACATAATAGCACATATTACAAAGATGTCGGGACGTTTTGATGATTCTCCCTTCTCAAAGTTTTTTAAACTAGTCAACAATTAGCTTATTTTAAAATCAAATGCCCTGTCAAATATAAATCATAATTAACAAGGAAATATACCGTAACGAAAGGCACGTCCCCATCAGAACTACATAGCTTCATCAGGTAACGATAGTGGTATCTATTACCAAACTGGTCGGGATATGATACCCTGTCATCGTGTATCAGAGTCCTCCCCACGCTGGTGATGTCGTACTCGTTATCTGATGACGTCATCAGTTTACAAGGGGTGTAGCAGCTCGTGCTTCCTGAAAACATCTGTATTTTAAATATTTTACCTAGGCAAGAGATAAACCTTGCCTAATAATATAATGCCGCCTGATGCTGCATTCTTTATTATGTCATTACCATGACCGATACGACGAAATAATGCGCCTTCTAAATTATACGATGTTGATTTTAAATTCAATTCTTATAACTTACATTAAATTTAAGTAAATAATGAACACGTAAAAGTTCTATCTATGTTATTTTTCCCCAACGTTCGTTAATGAACAGTTGTTTTAATTGTTATACAGTTATACAGTATACACAAGGCCCTTTTCGATTGTATAACATTATGAAGAAAAACTATTAAATATACGATGAATTATTTAATAATTCACTTCTTATTTCACTTCTCCTTTCCACCTACTTCATTTCTTTGGTACATGGAGTTGAGGTGTCCCGCTATACCGCATCTATAACAAGTGATACTTAAAGACAATCTTAAGTTGATTCGGAGTCAGCATTTAAAAATACATCGAATGAAGAAACTTGCATACCCTCAGATACAAGGGCAGGTCTCTCCCAAACGTAGGATGGCCTGAGGTGCTTATCTCCTTTTCAGTAACCCTAAGCCACGGCACTCTGTGCCGAGGCACTATAAATTGTATCGTGCTATCAAAAATAATCAGTCCATTTCGTCAAATCTCTCACACCATTCCGAAATTCTACGATTTTGTGATAATTAAATCATTCAACATTCCAGAATATCACCACTGGTTTAACGGGTTTATCACTGGTTTAACAGGTTTATCAAATTATTCGTAGATACAACTCTCAAAGTCCTAGAGGCGCGTCACTAGCACCTCTTATCAAATCAAGGCCATTCCCAGTCCCCCTCCTGTTCACATTTCCAGTCTTACTGGGTTTTTTGCTGTGCACCGTACTATTGTAAACTAATCAATGCTCTGTTATTTTCTTTTTTTCTTCGAAATGAAATTACAAAATTTATACAAGTTTTTAGGTATTCTTCAAATTTTAAAACATAAATTTTAAAATTAAAGTTTATGAAAGCAATCCTTTAGAAAGCTAAGATGGACGAAAAACAGGAAAATTGTACAAAACAGGTAAATGGTAAAGAATCAGAAAAAGGAAATAAACTGGAAAAAGGACCGCTCACTATTGACGAAGCAGTGGACAGTATCTATAATGGTTTCAACCTAAAACTTCTGCTTGTCTACCTAACCGCTACTGGAACTGCGACCCAGACTGCCATGCAGATCTACATCACCATCTTCGCAGGATTCATCCCTTACACCCAGTGGAATTGCATCTCAAACAAATGCTCGACTCTTCTGGCCAACAGTAACGACACTAAAGAATTCTATAATCGCAAAACGATGTGCGACAACAACCTGGAGGCAGGAACAGACTTCAAGTGGACTAGTGAAAGGACAAGTTTTTCTATAGATTGGGGGCTCTACTGCGATACTGAGGCTAAGTTCACTGCAATTTCTAGCTTCTTCTTCATAGGTGCCGCACTGGGGCTTCTCATGTGTACAGCAGTGTTTGATAGATTCGGTAGGAAGAATGGAGCAATAGCAGGCAATCTGATCGGAGCTACTGCCACTCTTTTAGGGACATGGGTCCCATCTTTTGAGGTCATGCTTGTCATCAGGATCTTCCAAGGGATGGGAATGTTTATCAATTTCACTGGTATCTACGTCTGGTCTTTGGAGTTGACTCCAACACATCTTAGAATGTTTTCGACAGGTTCTATTATGAATTATTGGTCCGTTGGCTACATGCTGATAACATTGTGTGGTTACTTGATACCAACCTGGAATTACATTTTCTTAACAGTGGGTATTTTAAACTACACTCTTACTATCCCTCTTCTTATCTATCCCGCCTCTCCGAGATTTGCTCTGGTCAGAGGGAGAGAGGAGGAGGCTAAAAGAACCTTGGAGTCCTTCTCCCGGCTCTGCAACAACGAAACATCAATGGTTGCTGTGAACTTGACCTACAAAAAGAGAGTTCTAAACTTCTTCGAGCAGATTAAAGATTTCAAGACTTACCCAACTTTACGAAAAGAGACCCTCATAGGCCTAATAGGATGGTTCATTGTAGCTGTCCTCTTCTATGGGTTCTCCTTTGGCTGGGTACAGATCTCATCTGATCTGTATACAGGTCACCTAGCAGCTGCTATCAGCAAGTTTGTCGGCTACTCCAGCTCAATTCCGCTCTGCAACTTGCTCGGCAGGAAGAAGACCATGCTGAGTATCCTAGCAATAGGTCTCTTCTCAAACTTCCTGGCCATGCCTGATCTGCAGATCACTAAGGACTGGAGTCTGGAGTACGTGGCATGTCTGATTGGTAACTTAACATGCTCTGCAGCGTTTGGAGTGATGTATCTTTACACGGGGGAGCTCGCTCCCACTTCCCACAGAGGTATGATCATGTCCTTCAGCTCTTTTGCTGCTAGGGTTGGCAGCTTTACTGGTACCTATGTGGGACTCCTCTACGCTGTTGCAGATCGGCGTGTTCCTCTGGCTGTGTTCGCTGGACTGACTTGTGTCTTTATGATATCTATACTCTTCTTGTCAGATCCTACTGGCAGAAGGATACCTGAAACTCCTCTAGATGTGGAAATAATGACGGGTAATAAGGACTTCTTAGAGCCGCACCAGGATGTGGTCAAGAAGGAGACTGCAAGTAAATAGTCGAACAGTTTGCAATTATATCATCATAGCTTGGGTCAACCGGTCAGATTTTATTGTTATAAATTAAAATATAGTCTGGAGAAGACGATAGGTTTTAAAATTTCTAGTTTCTAACCCGAATAATATATTATAACATTATTGACAAAACCTTCAGTTTTATCAGCAGCTAAATATTAACACGTCAAGTTTACTAATTAATCATCTGATTTGTGCAGTAAAACCCCGATTTACCGATCGTGGTTTTACTGTACAATCATTGAATAATACCGCACTGTAGAGTTTTATCTTTATCTATTGTACACACTATCAGTATTCTTAACAACTCGAAAAAGACTCGTATTCTTTGTACAGTTAAACCCTCATTTATCGCGAAAAAGCCTTGGTAAATAGAGGTTCGCGGTAAATCGGGTTATGGTTGTTCACATTGTAGTTGTTAAAACCACAATTTGGGGAAGAAATGGCCGCAGTAAATCGGGTTTTGTGGTAAAAAGCAATTCTGCTAGTTACGTAGTGTTTTTCTGCAAACTCATTTTTCCCTAATATTTCAATATTACAATAACTCGATAAGTTCTTATGAAATCTGGTAAAAATGTTGGCTTTGCTTCAGCAAACAATTATCAGTTTTATCGGTTTAATCTGTATCTGTTTTAAATCTAGTGAAAAGATTTCATACCGATAATATTAAATCAAAGTTCTAAACAAGGGATAGTTTAAAAAACAACGCCCAAGTCTAATCTTTCCCTAAAACAAAAACTAAAAATTAAAAACTTCATTGCAATTTCCGCCAATATCTCTTATCATAACTCAAATTACGGAGATAATGCAGGTCAAAGATATTATTTAAATAAAGATTTCTTTTACATAAATCATGCACAATCAGCGAGAATAGATTGCTTTGGGGTCTTCCTCTTCTCCCTGGTAAGTCCAGTGTATTGATGGCAAAAATGAGGGAAGAAAACGCTGGTCCGTCAATAGGACCCCGCAAAACATGTCCTAACATTCTCCACCGACTACGGGCCACTTTTTCTGACAATGGTTCAGCATTGCAGCGTTTATACAAGTTTTTGTTGGAGATGACTCCTGGGTACTTTATATTCAAAATAGTGCGAAGATGTCTGCGGTGAACAACATCTAGTTTTTCAAGGAATATTTTGGGGACGGCCCAACAGGATGAGTTGTACATAAGAACCGATACGACTAAAGCATTATACAGTATTAGACGTTTGTTTAGGGGCAGTTTATCACTCCAGGCCTTCTTGTAATTGTTAAAGGCAGCATATCCCAGGTTTATGCGACGCTGAATATCAGCTTTGCTACACAAGACGGACCCTAGAGTGATACTTTTCCTCCATGCTTCATTCCCCGACACTAATTTTCCATCACTGTCGACTTCACCCGTACTAGCTAAATAAACATGAGTGAAATACCGATAATGAATAACCTAATAGCCTATAATACATACTGCAATTAAAGTCAAGTATTACCAATCTCAGAAATAGTAACTAACCAGGTGCTGACATTGTGCCAGCAGGACACTTCTCACACTGAGACTGGTAGTTGGATTCCAGAACACTACCCGACGTCATGTGGTACGAGTCTGCAGGACACTCCATACACTTCCCGTCCTCGTATACCATTCCTGATCACAAAACAATTTCAAAATATTAAATGGGAACAAGTCGTCTTGGATTTTCCTCAGGAAAGCTTAGTCCTTGATAAAATATCTGTTATTATAATGATTTCAATTGTTATTATAATGATATCAATTCTATGCATTCTTCACTTGAACATGCTGTTCAAGTGAAGAATGCATAGAATTTTGGTTGCATTAATATTTATAAATGAGTAGTCAGTAGTTTAAACAAAAAGAAGAACCAAGCATGACACTAACTTGAGCTATTGCTTTTCTTACCTTGAGCGCATTCCTCGCAGCTGGAGCCGTCACATGGGAAACAGAAACTACTGCCACCTTCAATAGTATTGGTGAAGTTTACGCCGTAAAGTTGCAGGTAGGATCCACTTCCTGATAGTTGAATGGAGAAATCCCTGAAAATAATGAAACTATTGAAGAATTTAATTTGATAACATTGTTATTAACAAAATATTCAGTATGAGTATATGATTTCCAATGATATGAACGTTTGAAAATGTCCATTCAGCTCAGCTCGCTCTAAAAACATTTAGAATTCTTTTTATTTCCTTATTTGAAATGTTGGTTATATCACTCACATTCTAATATCACCGTCCTGTCCGTCGTTCTTCAGAACGTAAGTGTGAGCAGTCTGAGGATCTCCCTCCCCTGTTGACTTGTCGAACCTCTCAGTTACCTCCTGCCTCATCACATTACTTTTTGTGAACGTCACTTTCTGCAAAGTTGTTTTATCTGCTGTCATTCTTAAAACAAAATTATTTGTTTAAACGTTTATGAGAAGAACATTTTCGTGAATGCACTAAAAAAAACAAAATAGTTACAGAATTACAAACCACTAACCAGAGAATTGAAATTACGTTTAGTAAATATCTAACCTTGATTATAAGAAAAGTGCAAGACTGAGGACAGAAGAGCTTGAACTTGACGCCAAAGAGCCCGACCACATTACTCTTGATCACTTTCGAGCTGAACCTAACCTCTTGATAATAACAGAGATATCAAATCGTGATAGAAAAACTTGGAAATTCAATAATTATAAGATTAAGAAAACAATCAATCGCGAAAAATGTCTCTAATACCACTATTACTATTATTGTATTACCTCCAAAATGAATAGCAATCACAGGTTGATGATGAGATGGTCTTCCTAAAAGGAAGGGTCCAGCTGGAATCCAACACTCGGGAGATCTCACATTCCAAGAAGATGGTATCTCATTCCACCACACGTGGTACAGCCCTGAGGTGAATATTTCATTTCAAAACTATAATCTAGGAGGAAGGAGCATTTATCAGATTCCTATAAGTTTTGATATGTATCCTTAGATAATAGGGAAATAGAATCGAACAATTCCGACTTGAACTAATATCAAAATTGTTCTCACCCGAAAACTAGGCGTGCTAAAAAGTAGAATATTCTAGTAACTTTATAATACCGAGAAATCGCGATTACCTTTCAGAGAAATGGTGTTGGGGTCACATGGGGAACACTGATCACTACCAAAGGGATTGTGAGTACCGTCAGGACAGAACACACATGTCTCTTCTTTCTTCTCACTTCCTGGCTGGCACGCCTGTTGTGGAGATTTAATCATTGATAAGCTATTACAAAATCACAAACAGGCCATTATGTGTTTTGAAGTTTTTGCAATTTTGAATAGTGAACAATTGAACGTATTATCTGATTTCTTAACTGTTTCTTAACTGTTAATATTAAATACTAACGGGACAGTCGTAAGTTTCCGAAGGGATAGATTTTTGACATTTGTTTGGAATAATCTCTTTGACTGAAACTGTACTCTTTCCTGCAAGAAACATTTTGTCGAAAAAAATAGTGGGGTGTAAAAATTTAAACCGCTGTTAATCAGGTGCAGATTATACAAATACTTTTATTGTTTAATAACAACAATAAAAGACAAATTCCAACCACCAAAAAGTTCCACTCACCAGCTGAGCATTCACCAACAACGGGCAGGAAATCACTCACACCACACGTGACCTTGTCCAAACACTCAGCTGACCCAGCTGGAGCGTACTTCCCCTCAGGACACTCTGAACAAGTTGAAGAGTCAGCAGCGTACTGGTTGTTAGAACAAGGAGTACACTCGCTGGAACCCTCCGAGCTGCTAATAGTTCCGGGAGGACACGCGATACATTTTGTGTAAGGTTCCACTCCTGACACGGTGATGTTGAGTAGGCGGGGGGATTCAAGGGGGACGGAGCTGCTCGTGATGGTCTCAGTGTCGAAGAATGCGGTCGATTTGACTTGGAAGATGTACTTTCCTTTGGCAGAAACAGGCAGCTGAAAAGAAAGTGATTTAAGCGGACATCAACAGTTTATAGTAGTACAGATAAATACTATAGGGTACTAGCCAAATGTTAAGAATTTTTGAAGATTTTTGAAGAATTTTGAAGAGAAGCTTTTCTGCTGTCTCCAGTGACCAATCAGTGAGGTCAGCGATAGTGACACAAGTCGCCATCAAGGTACCGGAAGCAGTATATCCGGAGAAAACTTACATGGAAGCAAAATCATTAGAATAGAAGAAAGGATTTTGAAATCAAATTTCGCTGTTTTGACTGAATTTGTCTTGAACGAATAATTCCTATTATATTAAGACGCAATGAAACTATATGTTCTTATACAAACATTATTTTAAATGATAATCTTATAATGCAAATTTTAAATGCTATAATTTGTGTTCGTAAACACTAAACTACCTTTAACAAGATAATTTTAAAAGGGATAAATATAGTGAATTTGTCTACAGCAAAAGTAATCAGATTGTTACAACTTTAAAGTTAGAAATGATCCACAATAAATGGGTAAGGGAGTTGCCAATTTGTTGTGGTATGTACTATGTCAAACTGAAGGGGTCTGGTCCTGTTTAACTGAATGTTACCTCGAATAGACAACAAACCCGTTAAAATTATCAATCAAATTTATAGTCAGTTGACACTCCAATAATTGTAGGTTCAAAATAACGCGAGTCTATGAAGTTACTGCAAAAACTGTCCTCAAACTCAAACGTTGATGAGTGCCTGGAACTCCTCAAAAGTGATCCTTCCGTCCCCATTCAGATCAGCCAGTTTAAACATATCCTCCAGCTCTTTATCACTGTGCTCTTGGTCGGAGTTCATGGTGGCTAAAACCTGTCTCAACTCTTCCCTGTTGATGTGGCCGTCCCCGTTCTCGTCGAACATTTTAAACGCCTCTTTAAGGGACTGCTCATCACTCATAATTTCGTGTTTTTCCTCTGCCTCCTTCACCATTAGAGCGAACTCTAGGTAGCTAATGAGGCCATCTCCATCCTTGTCAGCCTGACCTATCATCTCCTTGCACTCTTCAGGTGAAACAGCTTGTCCCAGTTTCTCCATACACTTCTCTAATTCACTACTACATATCGTCCCGTTTCCATCCAGGTCAAACCTAGTGAACACATCTCGCAGCTCTTTCAGCTCCGCCAACTTTACTTTCTTCAGCACTGTAACTGCTACATGGAACTCCTCTGGATCCATTCTCCCGTTCAGGTCTCTATCTGCACATAATATAATGAACTTTAGGTCATCTTTATTGTATTTTTCTCCCAGTGCTTTTTTCATACACTTGCCCAGCTCCTTGCCACAGAGGAACCCATCTTGGTCCTTGTCGAATGCTTTGAAGATTACCTCGTAATTCATCGCTGTACAGGAGTTTGTGAGATAGGCAAAGATTTAAAGAAGCGTGATAAAAACTGGAAAAATATTTGAAAATAAGTGAAACTAATGAGATATTGTCTATACTTGCGAAGCAGGCAAAACTTGTGAAAACTCCATTACTGACAATTACGAAGCTAAGTGCATTTATTTCCTTAAATCAGAAAGCATGATGGCGGCAGACAGCCACGCCGGGCAAATGAATAATGATGATACCAAAATAAACCACTCCTTTACAGAGATGGTACAGAATACAGGTGGACCTAATGAACGCCTACGGCCGGGTTCCCCACAACTTGATAATATATGCTCTAAGACATTATAAGTTCCCAAACTGGCTCATAGAATATATGTTTAAGTACTATGATGAGCTGATTGTGAGAGTGGTGACAAAGGACTGGAAAACAAACTGGTTCTTTTATATGTTAGGTCTTTTTCAGGGCGACCCTCTATCGGTTGTACTGTTCTTAATAGTTTTCAACCTACTATTGGATCTCCTGAAAAATCAAAGCGACTTGGGTTACAAGCCGTCTTTTAGTTCTAGCAGCACGTCAAGTCGTGCTTTTGCTGACGACCTAACTCTGATGTCTCCCAGGCTGGAAAAGATGAAGAAGCTAATAGATGTGATGGAAAGATTTCTTACTTGGTCAAGGAAAATGAAAGCCAAGCCGAGTAAATGCGTATCCCTGGGGATGAAGGTTATAGATGGAAGGTATGTGTCCTATGACCCTGAAATTTTCATAGATGGAGCTCAAATCCAGTTTATTGGAAATACACCGATGAAGTTTCTTGGCCATTGGATATATGTGGATCTGGGCCTCAAAGATACCAAGAAGCTGATAGAAGACAAACTGATTACACTGTTTCAGGCAGTGGACGGATCAGGCCTTAATGGAGTGATGAAATGCTGGATTTACAACAACCTCCTAACCAGCAAGCTCTCCTGGGACCTGATGATCTACAACCTCCCGGTTAGTTTTGTCAAAGATCTTGAAGCAATATGTACGAAGTATCTGAAGAAATGGCTAGGTGTAACAAAGACAATTACTGTCAGTGTGCTTTACAGAAATAAGGATTGCTTTGGATTGAATCTTAAAAGACTATTGGACTTATACAAGTTCCTTCAGGTGTCCAAAGGTTACTCTCTAAAGAACAGCAAGGATCCTAAAGTTAAGGAGGTCTACGAGCACAGGGCCAAGAAACAAGAAGGGAGCAGTCGGTGGGGTTACACTAATGAGCTGAGTGCTAGAGAAAGAGATCTCTACTTCAGAGAGTTAGTAGGGGTAACAGTGCAAGGCAGGATGGGCTTGGGATCCAAGAGGAGTGTAGCCAGTGAAAAGGAAAAACTGAAAGAACTGGTATCCCACATCTCAGAGCAGGATATCCTGTTGACACTGGTAGACAAGGGAGTTCAAGGACAATTCTTAACATGGGAAAACACCATGCAGCTAGACCTAGGTTGGAACAACCTTATTTACAACTACAAGATGAGCCCTGCTCTTCTTAAGTTCCACCTCAATGCAACCCATGACGTTGCAAATACTCCAGCAAACATGAGCCTGTGGAACTATGCTGACACAGGACACTGTCCACTTTGCGGATGGAGACACTGCAACATTAAACACATTTTGGTAGCTTGCAACTTCTCGCTAAACAACAAACGATACAATTGGAGGCATGACAACGTGCTGCGGGTCATTGCGAAATCCCTACTGGATCAAATCGAGAAGTTCAACAACAAAGATTTTAAACTTGAAGTTCAGGACTGGACAGGCTTCAAGTCATCTAGCAGCTGTTACCAAAAACCGAAGACGAAGATGAAAAGAGAGAGCCCTTTTGAGAAAGACCAAGATTGGCAGATTATCTGGGACGAAGATGACCTCCCAGCACAGTTCCCCCAGCACATCTACGGAACTGCAGAACGTCCCGATATTGTAGTCTGGTCTGATAAAGGAAAGGTGGTCATATTAGTAGAGTTGACAGTTGGTGACGAGAGTAACTTTAGTGACCAAGTAGAACGTAAACAAGCACGTTACAACAGAGAGCTTATTCCTGGGCTGCATGGCAGTGGGTGGAAAGCTCAGCTTTTTACGGTAGAGGTTGGGTGTAGAGGCTTCTGGCATCATACCTTACCAGCCCTACTAAACTACTTTGGTGTTACAAAGAGAGTAAAGAAAGCAGTGTTCCAAGAGGCGGCTTTGGTTGCTCTCAGATGTTCCTATGCAATCTGGTTAGCAAGAGAAAACAAGAAGTGGAGTCCCTGCTACAACATCGCACAAAGACCCACTATTCTACCATCAACTGAGTGAGCTGAGTGTTGGGCCCTTAAAACATTGTTTAAAGCCACACCTGGAATCTCAAGTACCAGGATCAGTGATGGAAGCTAAGCAGATACATAGATGGAGTTGCTATCGAAAGATATAGAACTCAGGTATCCAACATCGTACCTTGATTATATTGTAGTATTTTCTCACAATGGAAATGGACATGGCGCCTTGCAGGGAGGCGAGTTTCACTGTTGACAGCGGGAAAGACAGCTGACTCTGACGAAAGTGTTAGTGACTCTTGGGAAAGACCGAGTGACGCCTGGGAAAGACTGGTGACATCTGGAAAGACTGATGACCCCTGCGAAAGTGCAGAGTTTAGCAATAGGCTTAGTAGGCCCCCGCTTTACAGAAAGCAATCACTACAAAACAATATACAGATAAATGCCTCAAGACCTCCGATCAGGTGGGGAGCATCAAAGGTCAACCCGGATTAACTGATGAAGGACCTTTGAGAAAGGACGACAATATTTGTCAATGGTGCAAGCGCGAGTTCAAACAAGTCGCAAAACATCTGTGGAGATGTAAGATGAGACCGGCGGAGCTCATAACCGAGCCTCAGGTGAGGGGAGATGACATCCGTAATAATTTGTCGGAGCAGGGAACAAGCCAGGTTTACAACCACAGCGCAGAAACGGGACCTGCAAGCTCTGATATACAGTTCCACTTTAAAGACTTAGAACCGCCTGCCATAGTGATGGAGGTCACAAAGAAACTTAAACTACCAACAGCAGCAGAGAAGGGAGTATGGAAGGGAATTGATGAAGACCTGATTGTTTTGGTGAACAATGTAGCAGCAGAGGACGTGGAGTCCCGACTGGAGAAGGTAGAAAAGCTGGTATACAGCTATCTGGAAAGTAGATTCGGTGAAGAGGAAGCGAAGAAACCTCGTGTTCCCCAGAAGGAAAAGGAGAACAAGGAGACAAAAGTTATTCGCTTGGCCAAGAGAGAGGCTAAGAGAAACAAGAAAGATGCTAGGAGAAGCAATGATCAGAATATGTTGGCTCAAGCTAAGACTGAGTACCTGAGACTCGTGCGCTTACATAACAAAAGCCGTCGTAATGAGCTCAGGAAGAAGAAGAATAAGGAGAGCAAAAAGGAACAGTCACAGTTTAAACAAAACCCATTTCAATTTGGAAGGAAACTGCTTGACGGGGATAAGAAGAACAAACCCCCTAATTTCTCCAAGGAAGTGGCTGACAGATTCTTTAAGAATGAGTACTGTGATAAGGAGAGAAGTGCTCTATATGTAAAGCTTAAAGGACTGCCCGATGCCCCAGTACCAAAGACTGCATTTGAGATGGAGAGATTGGACTGGGATGAGTTTCAAACGAAGCTGAAAAGCCGTAGAAACAAATCATCACCTGGTCCGAATGGAGTCCCATATCTGGTATATAAGAGATGTCCCAGAATGGCGAAAGCAGTATTCAAATTGCTGGATTCTCTATGGGAAAGCCAGAGAGTCCCGCTGCAATGGCGAGTAGGTGAAGCCATTCTGATAGCAAAAACTGAGGATTTAGATGACCCTAGTAAGTTCAGAAACATCACTAAAACAAACACTAGTGGGAAGTTGCAGATGGGATTACTAGCGGACAGAATGCTAGAGTATATGGTCAGTAATAGCTACATAGACACGTCTATCCAGAAAGGATTCCTGCGTAAGACACCAGGTTGCCTCGAGCATACTCAGGCTCTGATGGAAGAGTTAAAGGATGCCAAATCTAATAGACGACAGATCTTTGCAGTTTGGGTGGACCTAATGAACGCCTACGGCCGGGTTCCCCACAACTTGATAATATATGCTCTAAGACATTATAAGTTCCCAAACTGGCTCATAGAATATATGTTTAAGTACTATGATGAGCTGATTGTGAGAGTGGTGACAAAGGACTGGAAAACAAACTGGTTCTTTTATATGTTAGGTCTTTTTCAGGGCGACCCTCTATCGGTTGTACTGTTCTTAATAGTTTTCAACCTACTATTGGATCTCCTGAAAAATCAAAGCGACTTGGGTTACAAGCCGTCTTTTAGTTCTAGCAGCACGTCAAGTCGTGCTTTTGCTGACGACCTAACTCTGATGTCTCCCAGGCTGGAAAAGATGAAGAAGCTAATAGATGTGATGGAAAGATTTCTTACTTGGTCAAGGAAAATGAAAGCCAAGCCGAGTAAATGCGTATCCCTGGGGATGAAGGTTATAGATGGAAGGTATGTGTCCTATGACCCTGAAATTTTCATAGATGGAGCTCAAATCCAGTTTATTGGAAATACACCGATGAAGTTTCTTGGCCATTGGATATATGTGGATCTGGGCCTCAAAGATACCAAGAAGCTGATAGAAGACAAACTGATTACACTGTTTCAGGCAGTGGACGGATCAGGCCTTAATGGAGTGATGAAATGCTGGATTTACAACAACCTCCTAACCAGCAAGCTCTCCTGGGACCTGATGATCTACAACCTCCCGGTTAGTTTTGTCAAAGATCTTGAAGCAATATGTACGAAGTATCTGAAGAAATGGCTAGGTGTAACAAAGACAATTACTGTCAGTGTGCTTTACAGAAATAAGGATTGCTTTGGATTGAATCTTAAAAGACTATTGGACTTATACAAGTTCCTTCAGGTGTCCAAAGGTTACTCTCTAAAGAACAGCAAGGATCCTAAAGTTAAGGAGGTCTACGAGCACAGGGCCAAGAAACAAGAAGGGAGCAGTCGGTGGGGTTACACTAATGAGCTGAGTGCTAGAGAAAGAGATCTCTACTTCAGAGAGTTAGTAGGGGTAACAGTGCAAGGCAGGATGGGCTTGGGATCCAAGAGGAGTGTAGCCAGTGAAAAGGAAAAACTGAAAGAACTGGTATCCCACATCTCAGAGCAGGATATCCTGTTGACACTGGTAGACAAGGGAGTTCAAGGACAATTCTTAACATGGGAAAACACCATGCAGCTAGACCTAGGTTGGAACAACCTTATTTACAACTACAAGATGAGCCCTGCTCTTCTTAAGTTCCACCTCAATGCAACCCATGACGTTGCAAATACTCCAGCAAACATGAGCCTGTGGAACTATGCTGACACAGGACACTGTCCACTTTGCGGATGGAGACACTGCAACATTAAACACATTTTGGTAGCTTGCAACTTCTCGCTAAACAACAAACGATACAATTGGAGGCATGACAACGTGCTGCGGGTCATTGCGAAATCCCTACTGGATCAAATCGAGAAGTTCAACAACAAAGATTTTAAACTTGAAGTTCAGGACTGGACAGGCTTCAAGTCATCTAGCAGCTGTTACCAAAAACCGAAGACGAAGATGAAAAGAGAGAGCCCTTTTGAGAAAGACCAAGATTGGCAGATTATCTGGGACGAAGATGACCTCCCAGCACAGTTCCCCCAGCACATCTACGGAACTGCAGAACGTCCCGATATTGTAGTCTGGTCTGATAAAGGAAAGGTGGTCATATTAGTAGAGTTGACAGTTGGTGACGAGAGTAACTTTAGTGACCAAGTAGAACGTAAACAAGCACGTTACAACAGAGAGCTTATTCCTGGGCTGCATGGCAGTGGGTGGAAAGCTCAGCTTTTTACGGTAGAGGTTGGGTGTAGAGGCTTCTGGCATCATACCTTACCAGCCCTACTAAACTACTTTGGTGTTACAAAGAGAGTAAAGAAAGCAGTGTTCCAAGAGGCGGCTTTGGTTGCTCTCAGATGTTCCTATGCAATCTGGTTAGCAAGAGAAAACAAGAAGTGGAGTCCCTGCTACAACATCGCACAAAGACCCACTATTCTACCATCAACTGAGTGAGCTGAGTGTTGGGCCCTTAAAACATTGTTTAAAGCCACACCTGGAATCTCAAGTACCAGGATCAGTGATGGAAGCTAAGCAGATACATAGATGGAGTTGCTATCGAAAGATATAGAACTCAGGTATCCAACATCGTACCTTGATTATATTGTAGTATTTTCTCATATTGTATATTCGACATGAACTTGAAAAACTTTACCGATAATCTATTTAGGTCATATTTGGTGATAGATCTTTAATTATATGAATCATTTTCTAGCATTAGTATTACATATGTATTTCCAAGCATACCATACGTTACCAGTCCTTATTATATATCATTCAAGTACATTTCTGGGATGTTTACATCAAAGTTTAAACACTACTGAGTATAAGCTTTATCTTAATTGTTAATAGTGGTGTTATTAAACTTTAATTCGTTATAATTATTATTATTGAATCTTGTACGAAGTTGTCTTTAGTTAAAAGGTTATGAACATTTTCCAATCCGTCTGAAGTTAAATGCGCCTAAAAATTGAAAATTGGTCAATACTCATATCAGAAAACATCGAAAAATAAAGCTCAAAGATCGCATCGAAAATTTTCAAAGGCTACTAAAACAGATTCATATCGACGATCGTTTGATTATTGGGAAGTTCACCAGAAGTAAACTCAGCAACAACGCTTTAAAAATTTAATAAATAATGATCAAAGAAAAACACAAAAGCGTACTAAAATCGCAAACATTACGTACGAAATTTGTGAGTGGGGACTGGGGAGCACCCCTGGCGACTCCATATAACGGTTTGAAATATTAGGTTTCTTATTAAAATTCAAATAAAGATAGGTTTTAAAAGTTTTTTATCGAGTTAGCCAGTTGCCAGGAGCGCTCATGAATGTGTTGCAGTGTTGGTAGAAAATTCTGTCAATATTTAAATTCGTTCAATATATTTCAATATTATAATATATACGTATTTTCTGTTAGAGTGTTTAAATTCTTTTGTTTGATTTTTAAGACGTTCATTAAGATAATAATATGCTGATGATGGATTTAGTGCTGCTTTTATAATCACATTATACAACAGTAGTCCTTTGAAGAAGACAGAATTCCTGCAAAATATTGACCCGTAGATTTTCAGCCATGACATGACGAATGTGAACCCGTGTCCCGTGATCACAGGAAGGAAATTAATATATATAATCTATATTAATAGTATTCTTTGATAGTCAGTTTTGATCTTATCAAAACTTGCGCTGAACACAATAAAATAACAACTAAATTACTACAAAAACGATCAAAATGTCGACCCAAAATCTTACACGTGCAATTGCCCGTTTCCGCCCGCGTTAAGCTATGCAAATTTTTAATTTGCACGTGGGCGGTCATACAAACATAGGTACAGGGAGAAACTTATTATTTTAAAGTGCTAAACCTCAATATTCTGCCAGTTGTTCAGTGGACTTCCTGACTTTGTTACTTTCGCATCTCCACCATCACAACTTTGGTAATCTTTTAGCTGGAAGAAGAAGTATAATTATAATTGTATATTCATGTATAGAGCTGTGTCGGATTAATCCCAAGTTATTTAAAATCAAGTATATTATACAATATACATGGATATTCGTGAATTTAGATCATAACATAACTGAAAAGAGAAAAGTTTTTGCGTAAGTTAAGTTTTGGGGTATCGAATATCAGTTAACACGTACTCAAAGTTCAACTTGACTCATCTTGAAACCCGGATTGTATTTGTACTAGGTAATTTACAGTCAAATTGTTATCTCTCAATGTACAATGTATTAATAAAATATCCCGCCCCTTACACCATAAAAGAGATGCCAGCGACTTAGGTTACAGCTTTACACATTACAGTTCATAAAAGTTAAGCATTGCACTACTAAAACAGTAGACCTAGAAAATAGCCGATACCTCAGCAAATTACTGTCTCATCTTAAATCGTTTAAATTATGAAATGAAATGAGGTATTTATATCCCGCTCATATGATTAACCAACAACACAAGGAAGAGGTTAACCATGTCAGAGCGGCTGACTGTGAGTAATGTGAGCAAATGTGTAAAATGAACAAAAGTATAACTCAAAAAGGCTTAAGACAAAATTAAAACATCTTTTATTGTAAACACCACACTAAACTAAAAAGAAGCAGAAACCATACAATACGTGTAGGTATTATAAATGATAATACAGTGACATGATCAACAAAAAAGAGAGACAGATCCTAGAAAGGTAGAGATCAAGACATAAAATGGAGTGCAGTAAAAAATAAAAGCCAATGTGTCTTGCAAAGTGAAGACAAATGGGAAGAAAAAACATCAGAACTGATTATATAAATGGTTCTTTAACATTCGCTTGAAGCAGTTGGTATCAGTAATACATCTCAACATCATTGGAAGAGAGTTCCATGCAATCGGTGCATGGCTTGAGAAACGTCTGTCATCAACTTTTGACCTTTTATTCTTTGGTACCTTTAACATGAGATGGTCACCAGATCTTTTCGACCTGGTCATGGTGTTTGAAAGTTCTGTATCCACTACAGCCACATCTAGTAATGCTTTTAGGTAATCAGGTGCAGTACCGTGAACTGATTTGTGGGTTAAAAGACAAACCTTAAAGAAGATTCGTTGGTCTATAGGGAGTATGTGGGCCTTCTTATAGAAGGGAACCAAGTCCGTGGTTCTGTCTTCTATGTTATAGATGAAACGAACTGCCCCATTAAGGGTGGATCTAAGTTTGTTTAATCTGGTCTTGGGTAGATTCATGTACAGAGAATTACAGTAATCTAATTTAGATATAACTAGTTGTTTCACCAACATCAATTTAATGCCTTCATCCAGGTAACGACCAATAGTTCTTAAGTTCATCATTGTCCAGCTACATTTCCTTTTCACATTATTTATTTGTCTTTCCATGTTTAAAGTTTCATCAAATTTGACACCTAGACTCTTCCAGCTGTCTCCTTTGCACTCCGTAGGTAGAATTTCAGTGCTTCCGAATTGTAGTCTGACACTGAGTTCACACTTTTTTAGAACATGGCTCTTTCCTAACACCAGTAGTTCTGTCTTTGTTTCATTCAGTTTCATGTAATTGTTCACCATCCATGTTTTGATCTCTGCAAGACATTTGTTTGTCCTGTCTTGGACATCAGTGAACTGTACCACACGGTTTGGTTGAAACGAGATGTACAGTTGGGAATCATCTGCATATAGCTGTATATCAAGACCATATTTGGCAGCAATTTTTTGGAGAGCTTTGATATAGAGGATGAAAAGAATAGGCCTCAAGAGTGATCCCTGGGGAACTCCAAACAAAAGCTCCAAGAAAGTAGAAAGAGTATCGTCAATCTTCACACAGAAGCACGTCTCTTCTCAAGGTAGGACTTTATCCATTGCAGTGCACTTCCAGTAATTCCATAGTCTTTCATAAGCTTTTCCAATAAGACTGTGCAGTGTGGTCAATGGTATCAAACGCTGCACTTAAGTCGAGAAGTACAACAATAACAACATTCCCAGCTTCAATTTCTTTGTTAAGATCATCATACATTCTTACAAGTAGTGTTTCACAGCTGTGGTTAGGGCGGTATCCAGATTGGACGTCCGAGTAGAGGCTATGTGTCGTGAGATGGACGTTGAGCTGGTTAAGTACAGTTCTCTCTAGGATCTTGGAGAAGGCAGAGAGGTTAGAGACTGGTCGATAGTTACTGAGAATATCAACATCAGCATTTTCCTTCTTCAAAGTCGGCTTGATGACTGCTTTCTTCATATCTGAGGGAAAGATTCCAGTCTTTAAGGATGAGTTCAAGACGTGGAGTAAAATAGGTGTCAGTTCAGCGACACAGTTTTTTAAGAGAAATGCTGGGATCGGATCCAAGCAGCAGAACTTGTTGGACATCTTCGATACCAGGTCTTTGAGTTCATCAGCTGTTATCTCAGAGAAATTATCAAAGATGAAGTCTTTATCAAGAACAGGATCTTTGTCTTTGTCTTTGTCTTTGTCGTTGTCGTTGTCTTTGTCTTTGTCTTTGTCTTTGTCTTTGTTTATATCTTTGTCTTTGTCTTTGTCTTTGTCTTTGTTTATATCTTTGTCTTTGTCTTTGTCTTTGTCTTTGTCTTTGTCTTTGTCTTTGTCTTTGTCTTTGTCTTTGACAGAATCTTTTCCTTCCTTCTCAATGGCTCGTCTGATGGTAGCAACCTTTTCAGCGAAAAAATCTTTAAAATCTTCTGATAGTTTAACAGGATCCTTGTAGTTTGGAAGGTTTTGGGTGTCATTTCCTAAAAGTCTGTTGACTTTTTTGTACAATGCTTTAGTATCCCCTGAAGAGGACCTAAGAGAGGTTTTGTGGTGAGCACATCTTTTAACAAACTCTACTCGGGAAAACTCATCTCTTAGCTTAATATAATCAGATCTCAAGTACTCAGATCTTTCACTGTCTATATAATCTACTTTATCTTTTCTCCAGGCACGTTCCGCAGTTCTTCTTTTTCGCCTGAGAATACGAAGTTCTAGATCTAACCAGGGCATTGGCTTCTTGGTAATCTTCTTTTTTATGTAGGGACAATCTTTATCCATTAACTGAGTGAGTACGGTGTTGTAAAGGACGACAGCATCATTCGGAGACATATCTTTGGGGAAGTTTGTCAGTTTTGAAATTACAATATCTTCTTTAAACTGTTCTGTATCAATTAAATTAAAGTTTCTGTAGTTCATAAATTTAACGTCTTCTTTGGTCTTTGTCTTGATGTCTGCATCGAAGAGGACAAGGAAATGGTCAGATTTGGTTCTTGAGGGACGGATTTCAAATGAAGTCAGTTTTTCCTTGAAGGATCTATTAGTAACTACAAGATCTAGGGTTCCACCTTGGTCATGGGTTGGCTCAAGAGGAACATGTTGATAAAGGTCATACTCCTCCAGGAGTTGGTAGAGCTTCTTTGGGTAGTGTTCTTCAGTCTTTTCCATGTGAAAGTTGAAATCTCCAGCGATAATAGGAAAACCAGGTTTGACTGTGAGGTCTTTAAGGTAGTCTTCAAATTCTTCTAGAAAGGCACACTCCGTGTACCGAGCCTTCTTGGTATAAGGAGGCCGATACAAGTTCACAAGTCTCACAATATCTTGTTGAGATTGTAGCAGTGATTCCATCACTTGGAAGGATTTGTACTTCGTGACCTTACTATTACATTTTAACTGGAGGACATCACGAAATAGCATAGCTATACCTCCTCCTCCTCTATGTTTTCGTGGGTCCGAGAGTATATTCCAACCAAGGTCTTTGATCTCCATTATCTTAGCTGTGTTTCCATCACGAAAGAAAGTTTCTTGTACAAAACAGATGTCACAGTCAACTTCTTGAAGATGCTCTAAGACTCCGACTGTTTTGTTCACTAGGGATCTTACATTGAACGTTCCAATCCTTAAACTCTTCCTAGGCGTAGTTTGGTCTCCTTTGTCTTCTGTACGTACCAGTTTTTTGAACTCTCACATCCTGCTGTCCTATTCATGATTCCAATCCGTTCTCTTACATACGAGGGACATAGGTTGTCAGAGGCTTTATGGGTCTTTGCTGAGTTCTTCTCCGAGTGTTTACTACTTTTGGCGCAGTTAGAGCACTTTATCTTTGTGACAATATTTTCACTCTTGCTTCTACAGTCTTTTGACTTGTGGTTTCCTGCACAGAAGAAACATGTTGGGTCTTTATCTTTGGCTTTACAGTACAGGGAGTTAGCCATGTGACCAAATTCCTGGCAATGATAACATTGGATGACATGAATTCGGTCTGTGACATGGTGTTCCCTAAGGTCAATGTGTACATAGTCTCTGTTTTGTCTGATTGACTCACGTACTGCTGCAGTGACACGGATGACAGCCGTTTTCTCTTTATCATCGAAGAAAACCACTTTAACCGCATCGTCTTTTTCAGAAGAGGACTTCAGTACTTCATTCAACAGTTTCTCTAGCAATGTATCCTTGTTTGTGATGTCAGAGGGAATATTTCGAATAGACAGTTTGGGGTCCAATTTCTTCCCTGGTTCGGACTTTGTCGATACCTTGTATTTATCTTGACTTTTAAATACCGTCTCAGCTTTGTTAAGTTGATCCTTGGTACTGAACTTGAAAGTCGCAGTATTTCCGGACACTCTAAAATTCTTCACTGGGTTTATTTTAAGGGAACCTTTCATTTCCTTTTCATCATCAATTGTGATAGGTTCTGCGTCTTCAGAGTCTGTGGTCTTTTTCTCAACTGTGAGTGTGTGTTTTTCTGCAAGCATAGTTTCTTCTTTTGCTTTCTTTTCTTTGGGTAGTGTTGCTACCACTGTATTCAATAAATCTGGTAGTATTGTGGGCAGTACTTCTGCTAGTACCTCTTTGAGCTGTGTCTTTATAATTTCCTTGAAATCTGGTGATTCCTGTTTAATAGGAGTTGTGGCTTGTTTTGTTCCTAAAACTTTTTGTGTTAGTTGGAGAGCATTTTTGGAGAAAGTGTACAAATCCTGATAACAACAAACATCTCCATTTTTTTCATTTGCAGACGTAAGGTCATCAAATATCGCTGATTGAATAGTTACCTTAATCTTATTGTCATTATCATCTTTCTTACCTTTAAACAAAAGTGTATTGCGGTTTATCTTTTCCAATTGTTCCTCCATCTTTTTCATGCCCAACTTCATCTTTTCCATGTCAAAAACCCTGCTAGAAAGATCAAGGACCGAAGGGACAAGTGACAAATTGTCAGTTCTTAAAAAAACTAAACAACTGTTTTGTAATAATTCGATACCTCAAATTATTTGTTATATAGTAGTGTTGAAAGTATAAAAAAAAAAGAAGATGAAAATCTACAATTATTGTACAGAAACTGCTTCATTCTTTCTCAAACTCACATAAAAGTCAACACTGACTCGATCATCAGTATGGAGATAGTGAAGTGAAACTGATCCAGGTTTTACCACTTCGAAAGGAATGTTCACCACATTCCAGCAATAACTTGTCGGTAGCACCACACTTCCATCTTCCACTCTGATAATAAAGCAATAATATTAAAATACAAATATAGATATAAGATATTACATCATATTATATTAGATATTTAAAATATAAATGTAGTATTGAAGTATGATGAAAGAGCTGTCATTCAGACTTCAGTCATTCGTCTTAATTATATATTGGCTAATTCTCGCCTAAAAGTTAGCATCTAAATATATACAGACTTATCCATGTCCTCAGAAAGGTAGCAAATATTCATACAATTTCAATAAAAGTACCATGAGTGGAGATCAAAGAGTCTAATATAATAAATAGTATTGATCGATACCGATCAATACTATTTTGGCCCTGATTAGCAAAAGTGCTGCTTAATTTTACACAAAGCGCCGACCGAATACAATGGTAACCGCAAATGATCGGCGAGTAATTTATTATTATTAGCGAGAGTGGGGAACAATGATTCAGTCGATCACCAGCTAATTGTATAGAAAGTAATTTTACTTGTGATGAATTGACCATAGTATCACTTACCACCGATTTATCGGTGGTTAGTGATACTATATATGGTCAATTCAATAAACAAGCGATTTATCCCCAAGTCTTTAGTTCAAGTCTTCTAATTATGTGTCACTCCTTCGCTCTTCTGAGCAATGACCCAAAGACATTATATAGGACAGGCGGCCGGCGGGTACGTTAAATAGCCTCAGTTCATGCAGATTGCACCTGTTATATCTCTTAGGCTTAGTTCGTAGCCTCGTAGTAAGATATAGCCCGGCTAACACTACCCGATCCGCAGACATACACGATGCCGCCAAGGTGACCCATTATGCCAGTAAGCTTTTTCTAAACCATAAAACATGCAGCAATTTCGGACTGTCTGGTCTTCAATATAATCAGTTAAATTGTGCGTTTAGTAGACTATGTTCTTTAAAAGAATGAAACATTTCCCCACATCGCATCGTTAGTAAATTATGAAACAACTTTCACCGCTGCAATAGAAAGATATCAGATAAACGAGCTTAAGATGAGCACGTGCACGTTATTGAGCACCTGGGCCTACCGACGCGTTGCGCCCATTTGGCATTTCCCACACCTTAACACGCCATCCTAGAGCTGGCTGGATTTCAACCAATAGTATTATTGTAACACAGAAATAATAATCTATCAGTATAATTTTGCTCTAAGTCTGTATTTCCATATGATATTAAGCTCACAAAACAGGATTTTACTTGGCGCAATTTTTGTGTCATATCAGTTTTTCAATTGGTTTGGATTAGTCATCTCCCCATGGTAGCTTTATATAGATTGGGTGCAACTGTCCGGCATACAGTGCAGCACGTGCATGTCATCGTAGTATCTCGCACGTGCATTGTAGTATCTCGTACAGGTGCAGAGTGTCGTCACGAGCAGGTCCCAGGTGGGCAGAAGAACCTATAACCAAGACGTGCAGTAGGTATGATTAATAAACTTAATTAAAACTTAAATAAACACGACACCGGTAACATTGAACTAAATTTTAATGTAGATCGTACAGTCGCTCTGATTGATAACCACATTTACCTGGTTGTGCAATGTGTAAGTTGTTGCTATAATTGTTATCTGCTAGTTAAGTAGTTACTGTCAGAACGAGGAATTCAAAGAGGGGGGCTGGTCACTAGTGTTACGACTGTTCAAACTTTAAAACATTTGCTGAGTTGTTTAGTTTTTTTGTGGATCTATAGTAGCTGTGGTTTCTTGTGTTTAGTAGCTGTATGTATAGTAGCTGTGGATTCTGGTGGGGAGGTGAGGCATATTTTTGACAAAAATGAACCAATCAGCTAGACTTATTAGACTATTGACCAATCAAACCTCTGAATCAACTTCACGTGTTAAAACATCACCTCCCCAATAGAATCCACATTAATATTCTATATGGATCACAATTACTCTTAACCATTCACGCAGTAGTTTTATTCTAAAGATGTTATATTTTGCGGCCAGACTAAAATATATATAATATACTGTTACCTTGCTTTGTAAAAAGCTAAAGACGCAGAGTAATGACCAAAACCATACATCACATCTACATTCTAGACCGCAGCTTCTAGAAAAAACCGTTCAGTACATGCAGATTTCTTTGCATCACGAAGTCCTTAGTTTACGGCTTGTAGTAAAAATATTTTTTGTTATCTCAAATCATTAAAACTCTCAAGTGATAAAACTTAAGGGCTCCAACTCTTAATGAACGTTTAATGAATCTCGTGAAGGATAGGACGTGTTATCGAGGGGTTACTTCTTACTCTCGCTCTTTAGTTAAGTTTTAAACTGGTTGTCAGACAATGATAACCGGGACTATTATTTAAAACCATCGGGCTCCTCTCCTCCACGTCGTCCTGTAGCCCCATGACCCAATGTGGCTGGTACTTGGTAGTTTATTAGTCGCGTGTGGTAAAAATGTCCAATAAATTTACTTCTCGGCCTAAGAAAGGTGTCATTACTCATCTGAGTGATGGAACTATGTTCGGTCTTTAGGTTAAATTTATAACTTAATTATATGGCTATTTTCCGACAGACACGATTATTATCATATTATCCATTTACCCTTATACTCTCATATGACCTCAATACTCATGACAAAACGCACCTGTTTGCTTTTGGAAAACAAGACAAGTGCATAATTTGAGACACAATGCCATTTAGAGATCATCACATTATTACATATACTTGTACAATGCAATATATACAGGATATATGGAGGACGAAATATCGTTTACACACTAACTGACGAACAGTCTGCCTGCATTATGATAATTACAACTCACTGAGAAAAGTCAATTTATCATTACATATTTCAGTGATCATTCCAGAAATGGTCTCATTCCCTCATCTAATGTTCATTTTACAATGTTTTAGTTTTGATATTTGTTACTCTGATAATAATACTCACAACTTTTATGATAATTGTGAAATAACCCGTGCTAGTGGTCGAAGATGCTTATTTATTAAAATCGTCACAATTTACATAAAACCGTTAGTAAATATCTTACTTAACGTAGCTGGCTCAGTCACTTTATTAAGATAATGCTTATTCGCATTAAAGTGTGATAACAGGTGTTACTGTATTCACCTGTCGCGAAGTTGTAAACAAAGCACAAACCTTCAACCATATAATAATTTCGTCAAGCTTTGTAAATATAGGGACACAGAGCTGTCGATTTGAGGTCTTAGACTTTGATACACCCTCACACAGCGTCTAGAGTGTATATTTTGGCGAATTATATGCCCCTGGCCATGGTCACAATTCGAGGCTTGACTGTAATGTTATTACAGGAATTGAAGCAATTGAGATACGTTTAGTTTTGTCTCGCTTTGTTTTGCTCTAATCATGAATCACTGATTGAAGCAAAACATAACTTCGCCAACAAGACGATTGTTTGTTTCGTTGCAATATTTACCATACAGATTTTAAACTTCTCACACCACATTATTGATACTAGTGATAACTGATAATGAACGAGAGTACACCGCCTCCCTCACCTAACGAAACCCTACACTACCTCCACTACAACCTCCCATCCCACAGTACCCCCATCCTGGTCACATGGTCACTTCTCACAGCCCTCATCTCCCTCACTGGCAACACCATCATCCTTATTGGGACTATAAAACACAGCGCCATCAAACTCGACAAGATCTCCCTGGCCCTGATAAAGCACCTGGCTGTGGCTGATCTGTGCAGTGCGGTGCTGGTTGTGCTGCCTTCTACTTGGAGTTTGGTAACCAGGAGAGCCCTTTTTAATGACAGTGTCCTGGCTTGTGCTGTATCCAGCTATATCCAGCTTCTTTTCCAATAATCAGTTCTATAATCGTGTCAGCGATGACTGCCAACAAGTTGCTAGTACTGCTGAAACCCCTGAAGTCGCTGGAAAGAAGCGGGACGACGGGTCATGTGATAAGTTTGTTAGCGTGGGTTTGTGGACTGGTTCCTGCTGTTGAGCATCTGATTGTGGGGGAGAAGACACCTCTCTTCGACACCAGATCTTACAGGTAGGTGTTACACTGATCACTATTGTTTAGAGAGACTGGTAACCCTGACTAGGGATTCGTAAACCGTCAAGTGATAGACCATTTAACGAGTTGTCTGAGAATAACAAAAATTAATGAATTCTGATATGAAAATGTCCCATATCTCCAACATTCAGTTTAACAGAATCTCAACCAGGTGTATATTGTCCTGGCGGGGCTCACGACTGGTGAGTCTGTGGATGTTACTGGACAATCTAACTACAGTCTTATTCGTCCTCCTTCCCTTCCTCGTTGTCATCATCTGCACTCTCTGGTTGTACGTGTTTTTAAGGAAGGTTCGAGTGCTACAGAAACAGAGCATCATGTTAATCCTAAGCGTGGGAATCATGTTCTTGGTATCCTTCGTACCGTATCTATTCTACATTATCCTGGCTAATATTCTAAAACTGACTCCTGCTGAGAAGTATCGTGATCACGTGATAGCCCAGGTTTACGCGGGAGTTCTTTATGTGAACTATCTGAACACTATGTGTAATCCTATCCTGTATTATTTCACCAGCGCCAGTTTTAATAAGTATATCAGGAGATTCTCAGCGTATTGGTGGAGTAGGCTGCGTGGTACTCAGATTGAACCTTTAAGAGATCTTAACTTCAGTAGTACTGCAACTCAGGATACCGCTAAAAGAGACATTACGCAAGGAAACAGAAAATGTAAGTCTACTAGGCCTAGACCCGACGGCTAATATAAGCGGGTTTATATCAGAAGTCAGGAGTACAGTATTTATCCATATTAAAACAGATTTAACCGAATTATTGGGCAATATTCCCTGTTGGTAGAAGAGAATCTCAGAATCTGGTTTTTTTGTATTTGTCGGAGAGACAGCAATAAATACCTTCGATAAACATTTCCTTCTCTTGATTTACCAAATTCTCCTTTTTAGTTATTATACCGGACTGTTCTATCTGATATTCTGATACCACCGTTTAAGAGTTGAATTGATTGCTTGCATGATTTTATATACTTATTATATACTATATAGTGGAACTAATTAGTAATTACCCGTTGGTTCTAAGTTATTCCGAGTTATTGAACTATCAATCACTATCAGTATTCATATTTCGCGAAATTTCCCACGCTAGCACATCAAAATTAATGATTCATTTAAAAGATACATATGTAATTTAATGTGTGTATAACTATAATGCACGATAAATAGGAGTTACTCTGATCCATAAGTAAAATCAATCTAAGACAGCTCCCAGCTTGAAATGAACTGATGCCTCTTGTCGTGTTCCGAATTACAGCTGTATATGACAGAATGACCTGGACCTGAGGATCATGATGCAGTCTTATCTTATCAACACGTCATAATCTCATCATTCTCGGTGGCACAAATGATCAATCTCTTATCACAGTTTGAGTTTTCTACCTTACGGAAAACATTATTCGCGAGAGGGTGTGAAATCGAAAGTCAAAACTCAACATAATTAGAGTCATGATATGTAATTAGGATTTCAGGTCAACGAGACGCCGTACTAATTATTTCGAGAACACTAATTAATTAATATTCATTTTGATGTTCATTCCCAGAGTTGTCTTTGCGGCTGGCTAGTGGCTACATTACATACTGCTAGTAAATTGAGCTGTGATCCAATTCAGATGTATGTACTAAAAATCGTAATTATACACATCTATTCGCACACTTCTGGGACTTCTATATTTCAGAGTTTCAGGTAGACTGGAAAAGTTAACCATGAGAAGATTTGATAATTGCTAGCAGTCAGTAATGTTTGGATGTGAAATATGAGATGGAGTTACGACGTAACAATGCAAAAAGAATTCTCAGCAGTAGAATATAAAGTCTGTTTAAACGGGTCCGCAGGAGTTCTTGTTTCGATTGTTAACGACTGTGAACGTAAGATAAAATAAACTTGGGTCAAGATTTAATATATAATAACTTTATAAACAGAGAGAAGTGTAGAGAGAAAAATTTTGATTTAAGTGTAAACCTGATTTCTGGACAGCTTTTATCGTTCTGATTAATTTTGCTGGTCAAGAAGCTTATATCTGGATAGATTTTGGGATCCAATGTACTAATAATCTTGCTGTCTCCTGAAACGGTGAGAAATAATTGTTTACCTCAAAAGACTTGTCCGTGCCTTTATATCCACACTGTCTATGTCTATTCTATACTTGATATTTTTAACTGGGTCCAATATACACCAACACATTAAAGATGCCCTATTAATTAATCGTTCATACCGGGACTATAAGTTCCAACTCCACATTTTGTACAATTGGAAAAGTTGTCTAGTACCTCTCCACTTGGACAGGTCTGATCTGAAAAAAAAAAGTTAATTTTATGTACAAAATTTGAAACAACACAATACACATAACATCATTTGCATCTGCACTAATCGTAGATAATGGAACATTTTACAACAAATTAAGGTAAACTTCATCACCACTGCACAAATACTTTTAATATAAAACATTCTAGATAATATGAAGAGTTAAAAAGGTGAGCCTCACCACAGCTAGCAACTCTAACAGGAGAAGGAGGTGTGCAGCTGGAGTTCTCAGATACGGTAACTTTCCACCTCTCCGTACCCTCCTCATTACACTCCGTGTACACTGTCCTCTGGGGATGTTAACATTGTGTATTTGCCGGAGAAATAACCTATCAGGCCCTCAATTATACATTATGGAGATTAACAAGATGACGTTAGTTCAAAAGTTTTGTTCACAGGTAGGACACACAGATGATATTTAAAAAGGCCAATAGTTGAAATCACTGCCAGACACAGTCAAAGATAAGATATACTAATCTGTAAACTAATTACAACACTACAAATCTATTACATTTATTAAGAATTATGTAATGTAACGTGATGGAATCCACTACATGATGAAGAATTCGCTGTAACTTTGTTTGAAAAGCATTAATACAGTGAAGTCGAGAGAATCAAACTTACATAGCTATCTGAACAATTATCTTCAGCAGATGATATGGTCAAGATAAGAAGGCAGATCGTAATGAACGTTACATCTTGATACATGCCCTGTGAAACAAAGTTTAAACCTGTATGATATCTGTACGCTATACTTTCTCAATGAAACGAATTTATGTTATAGCAAACAAAAGGCCTAAATATACCTACTTGACAGTTGACAGTATAAAATAATATCATTTGCAGTACAATACAAATTTTGAATTTTCGGAGATAAATTCAAACAAATTAGAACCCTATCTTAATACCATACAAAGAGTGAAACCTTAGACTGTAATCCGAGCGGTACAACGAACAACCAAAACCAAGATTCATATCATCGAACTGCAAATGGCGCGAATTCCTTTGGGTGAAGAAATTCTCTTAGGGAATTAAACGTAAGACTGGTAACGCAAGGCAAACCTCTTCGAAGAAATTGCTTTTACTTTAATGGCCGTGGCCTAAACATGCAACAACCAAAGTCCAAATAAGGGCGACTTCAATCATGAACCGATGCAAGAATTGGAAAACATTTCTTTTAAGGGGGGGGGGGGGGTTCACCCTGATTATTTTGTGAAACTTGTTTTCGAGATAGCAGTTGACCAACAAACTAGGACCGGTGACCGAACTTTTGAGGGGGTCCTTGACCCCAACCGCCAAACGGTGCCCGCGGGGCAGCCACGCCCATATTTTGTCCGGCCAAATTCCAAAATTTGGCGGGCATTTTTCAGAATTTGGCCGCCAAATTTTTTTAAAGGCCTAACTCAAAATTCTGTCCCAAAACTTAAGGTCGAAATGCGATTCTACGTTGATTCTGAAAATTTCATGTAAAAATATTGAAACCCTATTGAGTTCTATTGTTTTGAGCGAAGTCAGTTTTGCAAATATCGCGAACTGAGATGTGGGCAATTTTGATCATTTTTTGCGATTATTTGAACACAAAATCCACAGTTAGGTAGATATTGAGCTGATATTCATAGAGAATGTGTAGTATAGGCTTACCTTCCATATAAAGTTGGTTTCATTCAAAAATATTGATATTTGATAAATTTATGGGCCAAAATCGATCAAAATTGGTGCGTATGCCCAAATATGGTCATATGGTTTTTGGCTCATAACTCAGCCAATTTTTGTCCAATCTTGATGAAAATTCATATACGGGTTCAAGGGACCACTAGCTACAAGTAGAGCACCTAAAATCTGGGCTTTGGGTATGTTCAGGGTATTTGGCTAAATTGGGCCTAATTTGGACAAAATATGGGCGTGGCTGCCCCGCGGGCACCGTTTGGCGGTTGGGGTCCGGGACCCCCTCAAAAGTTCGGTCACCGGTCTTAGTTTGTTGGTCAACTGCTATCTCGAAAACAAGTTTCACAAAAAAATCAGGGTGAACCCCCCCCCCCCCCCCCCCTTAAGTTGCGTACGGAGATGTCTGAAATTGAAACGTTACCTGCGGCTGGCTGGAAGAAAGAGAATAATATGGTGTTCATAGTTCATTAACCTGATTCAAAAATGCCTATTGTCTACGTTGGAATGATTAAAATATTTGCGGGGGATTGAAAAAGTGTGCCTGTATCGGAATCATGTCTTCAATTTCGATCACTTGAGTGTGACCACGAATATCTAATCCGCAGGTTCTCGTCTCAACTCTCAAGAACTGGATCTAAATGCATCTTATCAAATGAAATGCCAAATGGTAAGACAATTTCCAGTCATGAGTCATCTGCAGTGATATTTTCCTAAATAACGATGTCTAAGGATTGAGGAATGCGGCTAATTTCTAACACGAGGTTAATGAATCGATAAATTGCAACAGTGGTGTCTGGTTGAAAAATTTGGACCAAACGCTTTATTATTTTGTTATAAAATGCTATACCCACATAATATATGCGTGCATTATCGCATCATTATAGCGCGCGGAACATTTATGTCATGGTCGATACAATAATTATTCGTTTAATTACAATTCTGCTACCGCGCGCTACGTTAAAAGTTTGGGCCATTTCGCCGACACAGTTTTTTTTTTTTGGAAAACGAAATTAGATATATACAGAATAGTATTACAGGTTATATATAATGAATATCATCATTGTCAAAAATAAAAACCAGTCCATGGGACCGAAAAAATTAATTAACTTTCGATTCGAAAGAGTTAAATTCTAAATCATCCATGTTAGATAATTCTACAGTTCTATTTGAGGTTTTTCTAGATCCTCTTATACATAATAAAATCATTTTTCTAATTAAAAAAGATAACTTACACCGATAATAATTAATAATATCGTTGTAATTCTGTTTTTGTTTATATGCAAGTTTATTGCATAGTAGTTTCTCGAACGTCTTAGCCTGCGGTCCCATGCCACCCGTCACTGAGTAGATTAATGGAGCAAATGATCCGTGCTCTACATTTAAAATCCTTTCGTTGTAACATCTGGATTTCTGTTTCTCGGCATTCTCCATGACTTTCTTTGTCGAATGTTGAAGGTAGGAATTAGAATTAGGATTAATTACCTTAACATCGAAAAAAGCCACTTGGCCTGCCCTATAGAAACCACGAGCTTTTATATCCGGTCTCGCCTGGTCACCCGTAAGTGTCGAAGACCTCGTGAACTGCTCTCCTTCTAGTTCTTGAAGCTGAGGTTCAACTTCCACGTCCGAGCAAACCGTCTTCAACAAGCCTCCTAAAAAATCCCTAATTTCGTTGTGTCTGATAATGATGTAGCCACCAAGATGGCAATTTAGAGAATGGTTCACATCAAACGTTTTTCCACATGGACAGTGTGAAGGTAAACGATCCAGATCTAAGTTGTATCGCAATCTGATAGAATCCCTAAATTCAGATTTATTTAGAACGAAACCATGTTTTCTTAGTGGTAGACATGAGAGCCAATTTGAGCTCCCTGGTTCGCTAATCTGCTCCAAAATCCTTGCAGTCTTCTTGTCAACCTTTTTAAGTATCTCCTCTTGTTGTTCTTTATATTCCAAAACACGCTGTTTTAACATATCTTGAAGCTCATCTCTCGATTCCGTGTCAGTTGTAGCAAGAGATTTTCCTTTCATGGAATTTACCAGTCCCCGGGTTACCAAAAGCGATGCAGCATGTTCTCTTTTCGCTAGATACTCCAACTGTGGCATTCCCATACCTCCGTTCTTTAATGGTAATGACATAAGCTCTCGGTGTATAGGAGATACTGGACAACCAAATATAGTTGGAATAAGCTCATGAGTGATTATTTTGTCAAGAGGGCCCATATAAGAGCTGATATCTAGTGTCCTCATAAAATATGTAAATTTGTGGCGGACACCGTGCGTAAAACAAGCGTAGGCTGCCTGAGGCTGTGATTTGGCAAACTGTACTAATTTTTTTAGCATATCACTCCACTCACATACAAGGTTGTTAATGTAGGTATCCTTGAATTCAGGCGTCCCCAGCACAGCTCCTAAATGCCTTTGACCATCTATTCTGATATCTATATTGCAATCGGAAAATATTTCCTGAGCTGTATGTAAATGTTCAGGATTTTTTAGGATTAAGCAAGATTTCTCCTGGTTCACGAAGTAGCCATACTTAAGTCCTTCTTCAATGATATCTTTCCACCATCCTAAAAGTGCGTGAAGAGTACCCACTCCTGTGGCGTCATCTGCTAACCATACTTGTGCCACTTTTTCGTGATCTTCTAATTTCCGTAGTACTGGTAGAGTTGCAATGGCAAAAAGCGACATTGCCAGGTTATCGCCCTGGGTTGTACCCTCCCGACTCGGGATTTCAGCTCCCCCAACAAATAGCCGGCATGGTTTCCGGTACATGTTGATTGCAATCATGCTCAACTCCGGGCATAGTACTCTCACGTTGTGTAAGAGAGCTTGTCTGTTAACAGAATTAAAAGCGTTACTGGCGTCAACTAAAATCACTGCTTCTGCAGATTCTGTTTCGAATTGCTCCCGCATGTAATGTACTGCCGCTTCCGATCCACTTTTTAGTCCTGTACAAACCTGCAGTGGTCCAGCAGCAACTTGGATCGCTGTTTTCAATTCCCAACTCAAACATTTTCCCACTATTCGTCTAAAAGTTTCCCCTATTCCTATTGGCCTCACCCCTGGGCACTTGTTAAGCGGGATGAGTCTACTGTTAACGTAGGAGTCCAACAGATCAGGATTATACGGTTTTGACGCGATCAACCTTGCAAACTTAGCAATCTCATCTCTCAGTTTCTTTCCCTCTTCTTTAAAATTCTTATGCGTCAAAATGAATCTAAAAAAATCAGCATCAGTTTGTGATGGTCCAGCAGAACCGTTAGTAAATTTTGCCGCCCTAAATACCATTGTCTCGTCTATATTATAAAACAACGATTCTTCTATTTCCTCGATCGGTCCAAAAAGTAAACTATTCTCCACTATAGGCATTGGTTCTGGATGCTTCTTCAATAGCTGGTCCATAGTCTCTGTAGACATTTCTAGTATTCCTTTGTTATCGTTATCACACAACATGCGCACCGCAGAGCTGACTTTCCCTTCAAACATGAGGTTGGCAAATTTTCTCGCACAATCCTTTTCTTGCTTCCGAGAGCTCCTCGCTAGTTGTCGTTGTATAGTTCTTGCTTCCCTCATAAGTGCAGAAATATTCCCCTGCCTCCATAATTCTAACCGTTTTTTCAACAGGACTTTATGTTCAGCTTTTTTACTTTTTGCGGATGGCTTTTGCAGAAGCAGAGCAGGAAGGACAATAAATGTTTTGATTGATGAACACTGATAAACTGATCCTATATTAAAATGTTCAAGCCACGTAGATAATTCCTTTACAAATTGCCTCCCTATCTTACATGTTGGGGGCTCAAAAATATTCTTTTTCCAGTGTACAATTTCCTCATAGCAACTGTCAATTTGTTCTTTAAACTCCGTACATTCTGCTGGTATGTCATCATGCTCACTTTTTATTGGAGATGGTAAATACGGAGTCCGTTGATGTATTCGAATCGCTGTGTCTGAAACCTGGCACGATTCCAGCATTTCATCCAAAGGAGAGTACTGTCCAATGAATGAAACTATGAAAAAAAGCAACTCAAACACACGTAACAATATTGATTTGCCGACACAGTCAATTTTGTCTGTAAGCTCATTGCTCCTTCATAAATATAAAATGTTCAAGTATTGAGGCAGTTAAAACACTAACCTTAATTAGTGGTACTCAACTCATAACTCCGAACAGAGTGCTACCGTATATTTCCACTTCTTTGACACACCGTACCTTTCTGAAATAGATTTTAGTCGAATGTTAGCAATCATCGTAAAAGCATGTGAGCACTCTCTAAAAAGATTTCGCTAGTTGAAACTTTATTTTCCCGATTCTTGTGAAAAGTTTGATTATTTCAACATGATCTAGCATTGAAATTACCTCTATAATATCACCCCATCAGAGACAAGATTTCTGAAAATCTGTCTGAAGAAATAATGTAGCTCTGAAATTCAAAATCGTTCAAGCTTGAAATTGAATATTACACTGCATTGCTCCTGTGATGTATCCACATTAAGTTCTGATGTCCCGATTAGATGCAGCATCAGTAAGGAACAATATTTAAACTGAGTTAAATAGGATTATGATTGAACTATAGTAGTCAATGTCATTGAAATTTAATCGTATGTATTCAAACGATGGAACATAACATTACACGATTAGGAATCTGATGCGAATACTGCATTTAAGTATATTTCTTACAGCAAAGATTTCTCTTCAGTGACAACTGACATGGAATGTGCGCAGCATGAACTGTGAAGTGGTGAATGAGGTGACTTATACATTCCATTCGCTGTGGAATTTGTATTTTGAGAAGAAGGATATGAGAAATTATGATTGAATGATTTGACAGAACTGTTCAGTGAAATTTCTTAAAATAAGGTTACGATAGTATGATATGATTTAAGACAGAGACCTAAACAAATATTGAAATTTGAATGAAAATTCTGTTAGTTTCCTTGAAAGCTGGACATATAGAATCAAACCATTTTTCAAAAATGCATTCCTAAATGTTGAAAATAATTTATGCGCGTTAAATGGATGGCTGAATGTTGACAATAAACCTGCACTATGTGTCTGTTCAATGGATAAGAATGAATGATCATAATATGCTACCTTAATTCCCAAAAATTTGGGCAACAAAAAATTTGAGCGGGCCTCTCGCCCAAATTTTTTGCAGACCAAATTTATTGCATAAATCTTTTCCGTCTGCTAAATTTTTTGGTAACCAAACTTTTGGCATTTGGCCTGTGGCCCTGAAATCTATAGAAAGATGGCTTTTTCTTCGTATCCAAGTGAAATTATATTTGAAATTTTAGTTTTCTAATCTGTCATTCATGGCTTGACCAAGTAAAAAGGCTTATATTTTAAATGAATAGAAATAACTGGAATAGCTAACAGGTACTAATAAAACAAATGGCTAGAGGTAAGGATAGCTAGAGATTTAAACAAGATCTGCAAATGGATTATCATCCACCGTAAAGTCTGATCTACAAGCATCAGTTATACCCGACTTCTCAAAGCCTTTCCTTATGTCATCTGGCCTCCCTTTTAAATAAATTTTCACATTGTCTGATGAAACTCCTCCATTGAGCTGACACACTATGTTTTTCTCGTACCAATCTTCGTACTTATTGCGCATCAATTTCTTAGCCAGCCCATTGATAGATATGTCCAGGGGCTGTAGATGATTTTAGTGGAAAATCGTTCATTTTTCGAAGAATTTGTGCCCAAATTTTCGGTCGCCCAAATGAGTTCAAATTTTCTGCCCAAATTTTTCGGGCTCAAATAAATTGTGCTCAATATAATGGCACACAAATTTTTGGGAACTAAGGTATGGGTAAATTACGAAGAGAAAAGAATTACAGATTTACTTAAATCCAGTTCATGTCGATAGTAAAGTCATTTTCGAGTAGTGTTCAAAATATTTTACTAGGTTAAAATAACCAGATTTAATAAATATGTATAAAACTCTCCACACATACATCTTACAGACTGTACCCGTTCTTCCGCTATCAATAGATATCAGCAGCTTATCCAGCTTACCTCCTCTGTGTACGGTCACTAGCGTGTAGTCACCTCTACCGCTATTCAAATTGTTCCATCCATCTTGGCCATAGGAGCCACCTTCGACACCGCTCCCTCCAAGTTATTTGTTACCACCTCGTCTGCGACCTCGACCACCACTTCCACCCCCACTACCACCTCGACCACGTCGACGTCCACCACGTCCACGTCCACGTCCACGTCCACGTCCACGTCTCCGTCCACCACCACCACCACCACCACCACCACCACCACCACCACCACCACCACCACCACCACCACCATCACCACCACCACCACCACCACCACCACCACCACCACCACCACCACCACCACCACCACCACCACCACCACCAGGCTTATAGTCACACAGATTGCAAGTATCTGCACAATATTTTGCCATAATCAGTTTTTTTGATTCACAATCTCCCAAGGTTTTCAGATAAGCACAGTGCATATTTTCACTCTCCTTCCCTTTATCCTTACATCTTATTTGCGGTGATTCGTCTGAAAAAATTATTTAATTCAATTATTGAATTAACTTTTTATTGAACAAGTTAATACAAATTTTCCAAATTCAAAAGGCGTCAAGAAACCTTTCGACATAATACTATAATAATAAATATTAATCAGCAATATGATTAAAGAATTCAGAAAGAGAAACTAAACAGATAATAACTTTGACCTCTATGATCGAGAAGGACCAATTATGTATTAATCTGATTTTTAAAATACTGTTTTAAAAAACTTTTTATTATTGAGATTTTGCTTTTATTTACCGCCCGCTCCGCTTATTCTCTAATCACTTTTCGCAATTTACTCATCTGCATTTTTACTTGCATTGCATTAATTGCATTTCTCTTTCACATTTGGTGGCAGTAGCATTCCTTTTTTGTGTGTTTCAGGGCAAAATTATCATTTTACTTTTGTAATTTTATTGCAAGGTAGAGTTTAACTTGTGGTCGTTCTTAAACGTAGGTCTATAAGAATTTTGCAATGATGACCTCAAGAATCCGTGACGCCCAAAAATGAGCAAAAATGTATTTAATCGTAACCCTGCTTCCTTAATCTTACCACACTGCTTCCGTAATCTTACCATTGCCATCTTTCTTCGAAACATAACCAGCGACTTTCTCAACAACTGAAAGAAATGTTTGATAGGGTATGAATATCAACAGTTATTCAAGCCCATCGCATTCTAGCCCATCAACTTTAAAAATTCTAAGAATTTATCCTCTCTTCTTTAAAACTGTCTTACCTATATAATAAGCAAAGTCCAAGACCGCACAGACATTTCGGCGCTTTAATCTTATGTAACCCTTATCTCCCCACTGCTCGCCCCAACTGAAAAGTCGTAATATAACGTTTACAATATAAATGGAATTTAAATCGTGATTAGATTTAAGAAACAAAATGAACATTGAACAGCAATATGACGAGTCTATAATATAAGAGGAAATTAGCAAGTTTGGTTGCATTATTACATGTTAAGGCCAGAGGGGGGGTAAAAGTCGATTTTCCAGTTTTCACATATTTGATCAGAGCTGCTGGAGACGAATAAGAAGAAAAAAACCGGACCGAAATCTGACCTTGCGTTTTTAAGATATCGCGCGCCAAATATTGAGGTTTACATGTAATTACATGTAAAACTCTAACTTAAACTGTAAAAAGTTAAAAGTCCCTTAGTTGAGAATACTGGCCACACGCAGAAGCTGAAACTTGGCACAGTTGTTCCTTGGGCTGTCACCCACAATTCTATTGCACAGAATTTTGATATTTGCCTCTGTTCTCGAGATATGAGGTTAACTTTACCCCAAATTCGACATTTTTCGAAAAATGGGGTAAAGTTAACCTCATATCTCGAGAACAGAGGCAAATATCAAAATTCTGTGCAATAGAATTGTGGGTGACAGCCCAAGGAACAACTGTGCCAAGTTTCGGCTTCTGGGTGTGGCCAGTATTCTCAACTAAGGGACTTTTAACTTTTTACAGTTTAAGTTAGAGTTTTACATGTAATTACATGTAAACCTCAATATTTGGCGCGCGATATCTTAAAAACGCAAGGTCAGATTTCGGTCCGGTTTTTTTCTTCTTGTTCGTCTCCAGCAGCTCTGATCAAATATGTGAAAACTGGAAAATCGACTTTTACCCCCCCCCCCTCTGGCCTTAACTGCATTTTAATAGCAACTAGCCCAAATAAAATATATTATAAGAAAATCGGCCTTGCCAAAAGATCAAGAATCTTCTTAGGATACCCCTTCAGTACATCTACATTGTAGTATAATGTAAACATAGCACATACTATGTTGTGAGAGCGACTTTGAGTTTACATGCTTTGTATCAAAGCTTAGCTAAATATGAGTCCCATGGATGAATTAATTGGTGTATATCTTGTCGATATACAGTGTTGTAAATTATATTGTTATATATTATTCTATTTGTTTTCTCAAAAAAAATACATACTATACTAAAGGTTATATTTTGATTTAACCTGTTTTTGACAAGCCATGAGGCTGCATCGTAACCCACTATTCCGACAGCGTGGTTCGGGAATTTATACTGTGGGCAACCGTCATAAATCCCTGCATAAAACAATGATCACTGAACAACTTTTAAAACAGCTTAAAAAAGTAATCCTACGAAAAGATTGGGGAACCTTGATCTTCAATTTTTTTAAATCTACCCTTGTCGTAGGTAAAGAAACCGTTTGCAGCACGCAAAGCTACCGCCAGCGGCCCGTGCTGTGCTATTCCAGCCATAGCTTCTTCAACAGCTGAAACAAAACAATCAAGTTTATCACAAGGACACTGTAACACAGATGACAGAGATTGTGTTCCGCTGAAAATATGTCTGCGATAAAAGCTAGAGTAGACACTACAAAGCTACAATCAATACAAATTATAAATATAGCTCTGAAATTCAAACTTACTCTTCACTTGTTTGTAACTGGTAACTTTGAATTTATTAGCCATAGCATTCTCATGTTGTTTGTAACGGCAGGGTAGATCCTGGTTTTGGTAGGGGTACGCTCTCATTGTGGGTAAGCTCTGAGTATAGTATACAAATTTCCACGCATTTGTAGGCCAATTCCCGCTACATCCGTCAGGAGGGCCACCATACCCTTCTGGAGTACAGTCCACCAACTCCTGTATTGTTGTATTATTAACAACTTATTATGAACAACTAATTACTAATATATAATCATATTTTCTGATATCCTGGTCCTTGATTAAAGATCTTGAAGGTTGAAACAACTGATAAGAAAAGATCATAGTGGGCACAAAGATATCGAAGAAGGCATAAGGCGAAAAGGCCATAGATCAGTTATCAGAGCAAAAAAGACAGTGGAAAAAACAAAGTGATCCATTTACTTAGCCTTATCAAATTTAAATTGAGTCTGAATATTAACGAGTTTTTTCACTCATAAAAACGTTTGGCATTAATCAAACCTGTTCTGAGAGTGATACAAGATTCTTTGTGATTTTCTTGTATACATATTCCAGCGGCACTATCTGGGTGTTGAAACATGAAAACTTGGGTTGACGGGATTTTGAGGTTCTAACAATTTTAAGGTTCTAAAATTAAAATTGTAAACTTTTAAATATTAACGGTTCAGGCCAGAGGGGGGAAATTGTCCCCTAAATATAGCGAAAACGCTTACTGCACTGAATGCCCAGCAGGAGGCACATTTTTTCTGGCCCTTCACTTTTGTCACATACCCCTTTTCCACCCAGTCAACAGATTGAGGAAGACTGCTCCGTAACAGTTTCGAAGATTGTCTTCTCACTCTTACAGATTCACCTATGAATTATGTTAACAAGTTAGTCGAACGCTGACTTGACTTAACATGGGCTTAATTGCTATTATTCTTCAATTTAAGATAATCTATGCTTTAAAAACCTTACCACCTTCTCTTTCAGTTGAATTTGCAATAAATCCTGTATACATCTTTCTCTCGTCGTCCTCCTGGAAAATTAGCGTCTTTAATTATTTGCAGAAAATAACAGTTCCTTTGCATCAATGTTAAGATATTTTTGAGCTCAGTGATGTTTCATGGATCCGTCAGAAGGTGGAGAATATTAATCTGGCCAGTCTGATTTAATGTTAATATTACTCTGTATAAAATGAGGCCTAAATTACGTATTTTACACATCAAATGAAATTGACTTAATAATATCTAAGCAAATATTTACTACAGTCTAACCTGATAACCTCTCTATACCGTGCCTCTCTATACCAGGTACCTCGATATAGCATACCCCACCCCCCCTTTAATTACCATGACGGTGAACTGATTAACAGTTTCAAGGTATCCTGAAATACCCTCATTGAAGTTCTTGTTGTGCTTGTTAACTTGTTTTAGAGTTTTTATAAACTTGCGCTGTTTACGTTTCCTGAAATGATAATGTTTACAAACCTTATAGATTGCATTACTAATACTGTTAAATTACCATACAAAATAATAATCTTATCATCATTTAAAATTCGGTTACCATTACAAAATCAAATGACAAAACTAATTACTCTTTTTCTTCTACTTCTTTTCTTTGTTCAGGACTTATGTGCAGTGATCCCAAATAGACGGTTTTATCTTCTTGTTGAAATGCAGCCAAATACTTTTCATAAGCGTCCTACAAGCAAAAATGATCACAATGATTAAAATGATATAATATCAAATTATGAGAGAATTCTCCAAAAATGTTTAAAGATTTAAATGACTGACTTCACTTGTGAATAAGTGATAAAAACTTACTGCATAACTGGATGCATGAAGAATTTCCTCTTTAGCTGTTTCGTCTACACAATCCACAAAATGTACCAGCAGAGAATACAACAATATCACTCTAAGGTTTGACAGATCCAAATTCATAATCGTTAGCTGATTCACCAAACAGACATAGGTTCATTAGCTAAAATATAATTCTGGCGACATTATTAGAGTCAGGTTCACTACGGTAGTAATTCCTTCATTTCATCAAACAAATAATAAAACTTTGCGACAATGGCCTGGAGGAGTAAATCAAGTTCTGCTCTCCGTGCAAGCTGGTTAGAATCCTGTGGGAAAGCTGGCCTCATACATATATATTCTGTAAGCTCTGAAATGTTTGTGAAATTCTTATCAGAATCATGCGGATTATTTAAGGGTTGCTTGTGCGGTACGGGTAATGAATTCCGAGCCACCCGTATATATGAAGAGTTGAGCATTGAAGCAAATGGTGAAAGTTGAATGAAAATACTGTCAGTTTCCTTGAAAGTTGAAATATGTACATATGAAATCACAAATGTTTTGAAGGTACACGGCTAAATGTTTAAAATTTACATCATCATGATCAATGGATGAGAGTAATTATCCATCATGTTATACAATGGTAGGTCACATAGCTTAGGTAGGTCACAATGGATCACTTACGGAAGTGAAAAGTAAGACTAATTTTAGTCGAGTCCAAGTTGTAAAGTCATTTCAAGCAGTGCTTACAGTTTCTTACTGGATAAAAATAACCAGATTTAATAAATATGATTAAAACTCTTCACACATACAGTGTAAGATGTCATCTTACAGACTGCACCCGTCCTTCCGCTATCAGTAGGTATCAACAGCTTCAGTAACTCTTATCCAGCTTACCTTCTCCGTGTACGGTTATTAAGTCTACGAGGAAGTGTGTAGCCACCTTTACCGCCATCTCTTCTATTGTAGCCACTACGCCCACCTTGTCTATTTGGCATGTAGCGACTTCTGCCTCCACTTCCACCTCGACGACCTCCACGTCTCTGTCCAGCACCACCACCACCACCACCACCCCGAGGCTTGTAGTCACACAGATTGCAAGTATCTGCACAATATTTGGCCATAATCAGTTTTTTTGATTCACAATGTCCCAAGGTTTTTCGATAAGCACAGTGCACATATTTACTCTCCTGTGCTTTGTCTTCACATCTTGTTTCCGGTGATTCGTCTGAAAAATCATTTATTGAAAAATTCAAGGCAAATTTTCCAAATTCAAAAAGTGTTGAAGAAAGGTTTTGACATAATAATTACTAATCAAGTTAAAGAAAAAAAAATAGGAAAGACAGAACTTTGCCTCGACTTTCGTGATCGAAAAGGACCAATTATTGATCAAACGAAAATGCACGAAATTATCATTTAACTATGACATTTTAATTTCAGAGTAGAATTCTAACTTTGAACCATTTGTATCGTAGGTCTACAATAATTTTGCAATGATGAGACAGACTGATGACCTCAAGAATAACACAATATGATGATGCTGTATTTGTGTTGGTGTACATCCGTGACACTCAAGAAAATGCAAATATTTATTTAATCATCACCCAAATTCCTTATCAACAGTAATCTTACCATTTCCATCTTTCTTCGGAACGTAACCAGCGACTTTCTCAAACACTGAAAGAAAATTTGGATGGGAATTCGCAGAGAGACATGGTTTATGTCTATGATACAGTTATCAGAGGCTTCAACATTATAAGCCTACTTTTTTAATCTAAACTTTCTTACCAATGTAAAAAGCAAAATCCAAGCATGCACAGACATTTCGTCTCTTCATTCTCATCATACCCTTTACTCCCCAAACTTCACCCCAACTGAAAATAGAATGTCATAATGTAAAATGTTCACAATACGAATTAAATTTGAATCGTGATTAGATTATAGGAACGAAGTGAACAAGCACTTAAACCAGAGAGACTGCTCCAGAGGAAATATTATCATTACATCTTGTCATCTTAACTGCATTATAACTTTATAAGTAAATGCTATTTGATTTAACCTGTTTTTGATAAGCCAAGTAGTCGGATCATAACCCACCATTGCAACAGCGTGGTTTGGTTGGGTATATTGTGAACAGCCGTCATAAACCCCTGCATAAAACAGTTATATCACCAACAAACTTTTAAGACAGTTTTTAAAACATCAATTCTTCGAAAAGATTGCGGAATTTCAATGTTAAATTTGTAAATCATCTTACCCTTGTCGTAGGTAAAGAAATCGTTTCCAGTAAACAAAGCTACCGCCAGCGGCCCGTGCTGTGCTATTCCAGCCATAGTTTCTTCAACAGCTGAAACAAAACTCATTTTTACATAACGATCAATTTGACCACTTGAACAACACGTTTACGCTGATAGTTGATACACAAAGCAGAGATTTCGTTACGCTGAAAACATGTCTGTGATTAAAGCTATAGTAGACACTACAACCAACACAAATAGCTCTTAAATTATAACTTACTCTTTACTTGCTTGTAAGTGGTAAGTTTGAATTTATCCGCTATGACACTCGTATGTTGACTACTACGGCAGGGTAAATCCTTGTTTTTGTAGGGGTATGCTCGCATTGTGGGAACACTCCCAGTCTCATATACAAAAGTCCACGCATTGACGGGGAAATTCCCTGCACATCCGTCAGGGTTACCACCATAACCCTCTGGAGTACAGTCTAACAACTCCTGCAATACTATATTATCAATTAATATCCTGGACCCTGGTTATCTGACATCCTGTTTCGCGATTTAAGAGTTAATTTTAGCTTATCCATGTCAAAATATTTCTTTTGGCATTTTAGATAACAAATTACTGATAAGTTAGCAACTATCACAGTCGACACGAAGATATTGAAGAAAGCATTTAAAAGGCGAAAAGGCCGTAGATACATTTTCAGAGCAAAAACGTTGTGAAAATGTATAATATATGAATAAATATGTATTAACGCGATACAACGACTGAATCTATGTTGTATCTTGAATAGCTGTTTGAAAATCATCCAGCATTATTAATTATTGAAAATTCAGACATAATATTAATATTTATTATTTTTCTTTTAGCATTAATCAAACCTGTTCTGAGAGTGATATAAGGTTGTTTGTGATTTTCTTGTATGCATATTCCAGCGGCACCATCTAGGCATTGAAACATGAAAACTTTGGTTGAAGGGATTTAAAGGTTCTAAATATGTAGTTATTTGATTCGCATTGTATAATTAAATGAATATTGAACAATATTTGTCAAACTTCAACAGTCAGCAGCCCCTTACTTTAGGGGAAGCTAAAGAACTTACCGCACCAAATGCCCAACAGGAGCCACATACTTCTTGGTTCTTCACTTTTGTCACATACCCCTTTTCCACCCAGTCAACAGATTGAGGAAGACTGCTCCGTAACAGCTTCGAAGATTGTCTTCTCACTCTTTTAGATTCACCTATGAATTATGTTAACATTTCATCATCGTAAGCTAGGTAGGCAATAATTAGATTGACTCCGGCTGTATGTAACTAACATGCGGTACCATCATTAAAGGGCTAAGCTACGTCACTAACATAATTTTGATCGCTTTTCTTTTAAAGTTTGTCAAACACTGACTTTAATAGTAATAAATTAAAGTCTAATAACACCCCTATTAACATTAAGATTTTACTCAGCAGTCGTTGATCTAAACATCTCAGAAATGTACTTGCAATTTGCATACTAGGTAATGATATAAGGACTGTCCGACACTTATTCTTGAACAGATATTACGATCTGAAATGCTTTTAATTATTTAATTGAAGATAAGCAAAGCTGAAGAACCCTACCTCCTAGTCCTTCTTTGATTTCAGTTGAATTTATAACTAATCCTGTATACATCTTTCTCTCGTCGTCCTCCTGAAAATATAGCATCTTAAATTTTTTCAGCAAATAACAGTGGAGTTCCTTTGCATCAATGCTAAGATATTTTTAAAGCTTGTGATGTTTCACGAATTCTTCAGCACGTGGATCATCATGATCTGGCCAGTTTGATTTGAAGTACGGTCTTAATTAAATAAGTAAAATCAAAAGCCTTATTGTTTAACCCACTAATCTTTACAGTATATGAAGCTGAAGTGAACTACATTATTTTATGTAAATAACTACATTGATTTGATTACAAATTAATTACCATGACGGTGAACTGATTAACAGTTTGAAGGTATCCTGATAAACCCTCATTGAAGTTCTTGTTGTGCTTGTTACATTGCTTAAGACTTTTTATAAATTTGTTCTGTTTTCGTTTCCTGAAATGAATGTTTTCAAAACCTTTTGGATTAATCAGTAAAATAAATTCACATTACCATTCAAAATCATTGATCATCATATATAATTCGGGTACCATCACAAAATCAAGTGACGAAACTAATTACTCTTTTTCTTCTACTTCTTTTCTTTGTTCAGGACTTATGTGCAGTGATCCCAAATAGACGGTTTTATCTTCTTGTTGAAATGCAGCCAAATACTTTTCATAAGCGTCCTACAAGCAAAAATTATCACAATATGATTAAAATTATATAATATCAAATTATGAGAGAATTCTCCAAAAATGTTTAACGATTTAAAGGATTGACTTCACTTGCGAATAAGTTATAAAAACTTACTGCATAACTGGATGCATGAAGAATTCCCTCTTTAGCTGCTTCGTCTACACAATCCACAAAATGTACCAGCAGAGAATACAACAATATCACTCTAAGGTTTGACAGAGCAAAGTTCATAATCGTTAGCTGATTCACCAAACAGACATGGGTTCATTAGCTAAAATAAAATTATAACGAATTAATCTACAATCAAAAATTCAAAATTGCAATAAAAAGTCAGGTTCGAACATGGGTACGTTTCGCCACTGTAACTACCAATGGAGAATATTGGGACAATTATTTGTTTATTTATTCAAGTGAGTCAGGATCTCAAGAGTGGGCAAGCTAGTTCCTTATCGGTCAATTACGAAGTGAAAAGTAAGGCAGATTTAAGAAAATCCAGACCAAGTTGATAGTAAATCATTTTGAGTAGTATTTAAAAATAAAGTCTCTTTTAAAAAAATACCCTGATTTAATAATTACAATGAACTATTAAACCCTCTGCACATACATCTTACAGACTCAGTTCGTTATTCTGCTTTCTTCCGGTATGAACAGATATGGTTGTCTTTATCCAGCTCATCCAGCTCATATTGATTCATTATTGAGAATAATTTCGTTGACGGCCACCTCTACCACCACCTCGTTTATTGGACTTATTCCTACCTCGTCTTTGTTCTATACTTTTATTTTTCAATTTATCCACGAAATTACACAGTTTGCAAGTATCTGCACAATATTTGGCCATCTTGATTTTTTTCGATTTACAATGTCCCAGAGTTTTCCAATAAGCGCAGTTGATATCATCACTCTCCTTTCCTTTATCTTCACATCTTGAGGTAGGTCGTGACTCGTCTGAAAAATAAATATTAGAATATAATTATTTATAATATTTTCCGGGAATTATTTCCCCGCAAAGTCGTGGACACTGGTAATCGATAATTTCCCGCAAGGGTTGCCAGAGTATAATTATGAGGACAGTCGACAGATCACAGACTGCGAGACATTTCAGACTGGCGAATCAGTGACAAAGTGACAATGTGCGATTGGAAATCTACTGCAAGGAAGAAACCACAATATCAGGTTCTTTTTACATCGGAGACATTACTGGCTAACTGTGCTTCACCGGACTCTTTGATAGGATAGGACGGAAAAAAGGGTGCGATAGTGGGCAGGGTGATAACGATAGTATCGACAGCAGCAAGTTGTGTGGCTTCTAACTATCAGGCTCTCCTTGTGTTTAGGATAATATCTGGGTTCGGACTTCTCATCAACTACACTGGTGTATATTGCTGGGTCATAGAGTACGCTCATATGGGTCTAAGGAATGTGGCCGCTGGTTTTTTCAATATTCCCTGGTCCATAAGTTACCTTATTTTAGTGCTGCTAGGCTATCCAATTGCTGATTGAAGGTATTTATAACCGGCTCTGACTGTAGTTTGTGTGATCTCTACTGCTATGTTCTTTGTGGTCCCGCTCCTGAGGCGTCTAATAGAGGGTGTCAAGAGTCGGAAACTGCCAGCTGTTCTGACATTTATAGACTTTAAGAAGGCTTTCCACTGTGTACATCGTGGGAAGATGTCCGAAATTCTAGAAGCTTACGGCATTCCAGTCAAAATCGTCTTGAGCTTATACGGCTCATGTACGAGAGGACAATGGCCAAAGTCCTAACTCGAGACGGAGAAACGGAATTGTTCAATATACTAGCAGGTGTGTTACAGGGTGATACCTTAGCACCTTAGTACCTCAAGGCTAACGAGTTCCTGCTCGGCGGCAGCAAGCGTGGGGCTACACATAAATGAAGGCAAGACCAAGGTTATGACATTGAATATGGAGGATCGATCTAGTCACCTCCAAAGGCGATTTGGGAAAGCTATAGAAAATGTGGATGATTTCATCTACTGAGGCTCCTGGATTGAGAGCACAGATAGGGAGATAAGGGTTAGAAATATATAATAGACAATTTGAGCTTATAATAGACAATACGCAATGTCACTGATAACCTGCATTTTTAGCTGATTTTTCAGCTGGAACCTTAGCTGGAACCTTAGCTGGAACTTCAACTGGAACCTTAGCTGGAACGTAATCAGGGTATTTTGTTACCGCTGAAAGAAAATGCTAATATTAAAAGAGACGGATTACATTATATTAAGTTTATGTACATAACAAAGGCTTGAACCTACCTACCTATGTCACCTATTTTGATGTCGTTGTTGGTATTCTTATGAAGAATCTTCCACGTATGAAGTAAAATAAACCGCTTCCTGTGACGCAGTAGAGACATCAGAGATAGCTGTTGAAGATCCGGCCCCGTTTGTTGGACAGGTTTTAGCAAATTAAAAATTGTTGTTTCCGATAAAAGCAAGTTTAATAGGGCAGGAACCGAGAGTGCCCTTTTTCCCACGGTTTGTCGAATATTGTCGTTCCCTGTCATTCCCTGTCATTCCCTGTCATTTCCTGTCATTTCCTGTCATTCCTTGTCATTTCACTCATTCCATGTCATTCCCTGTCATTCCTTGTCATTCCCAGCTCATATTGTCACATCTTGTCGTAAAATTGTCATGACATTGGGCACAATAATAAATACAATTTAAGTTTACTCACTTATGTAACCAGGAGAATCCAATATCCTACAAACATTTCGGCGCTTCACTCTCATATACCCGTCCTCTCCCCATTTCTTACCCCAACTGGAATTGTAAAATAATGTATGTTTACAAATTCCAAAGAAACTTTCATTCGAGAACTTAACAATTGATTGAAAATTAAATCTTAACTTTGAGAACAAGTAGCAGTCGCATTAAAATATATTCGAAATCAAAACATTATTGCGATCGAAATTTACCTGTTTTTCACAAGCCAAGTGTTTGTATCGTAACCGACAATCGCAACAGCATGACTGACTTGGAAGGTTTTTGGTAATTGACATCCGTCAAAAATTCCTGAATAAAAGTTATGCACTGACAAGCTTGTAAAATACTGTAAACCTTTAAACGTTTAACATATTAGTATTTAGTTTTGTTCTATACTGACAAATATTATGGAATTAAACATGTTAACTAATTAGGTTTTTAGTGGCTCAATTAAAAAACATCGTACCACTATTGTAAGCAAAGAATCCTTGAGGAGTTGCAGTAAAAGCTGATACTGGTCCGTACTGTGCTATAGCTGACATTACCTCTTCAACGGCTGAAACAAAATCTTTAAAAATACTAAAATTACCGGTTTAATTTAGACCAAATGAAGAAGTCAGTGTTCACCCTGATTATAACAGAGATTTTGCCACTCTGAAGTATTAGCGATACACTGATACAGCTGCACAATGCACATATTGATTTAAACAATATGGTTGTAGAATGTAGAGTATATTTATTATATTATATCAAAATATGATATGTATAATGTATGTAATATGTATAATGGTAATAATAATATAAAAATTCCAACTCACAGCCTTTTTTCACACGCTGGATACTGGTAAGAGTAAATTTATTGGCTAAAGCATTTGTATGTTCTTCACTGCGACAAGGCAGACCTGTGGCCTGATAGGGATACTCTTCAGTGCTGGCAAGTGATTGAGCTTCCATTAAATACTTCCATGCTCCAAACATGTGTCCCCCCATACATCCAGTTCTATCTGGATACGTATCTTTACGTTTACAGTCCATTAAATCCTGAAATTTTACTGTTTTGACTGAATTTTTCTTGAATGATTAATTATTTATGAGCTCACTGTGAATGGCCCAAGACACGATCCAGGTACTGAAAGTTAGATTAGATTCACATGATGACATAATTTTAATTACTGTTCTAGATACACAGCGTTTAATTTTCCAAACAAATCACTAATCAGCACCATGCATAGATCAAGATTCAAGTTCTGCAGCCTTGCTTTAATTGCAAGAATGATTTAAAAGGATTAAGTAATTGAGCAGCTGACCACACAGTGGCGTAACGCTGCCCCGGCCACCCTCAGGGGGCGCCGAAAAGTCGCCCCTAGGTTTTTTCTTGAATTTTTCTTGAATTTTATGACCTCTCACTGAAAATAACGCCTTATTGGTGTATTCGGTTCTTTTGCGATAGTCAAAACGCGACAACTAGCGCTGGATGGCGACAACTAGCGCTATCCAGCGCTAGTTGTCGCCATCCAGCGCTAGTTGTCGCTATCCAGCGCTGGATAACGCTGGCCAGCGCAAAATATATATGTTCGATAATTGTCGCTATCCAGCGCTAGTTGTCGCCATCCAGCGCTAGTTGTCGCCATCCAGCGCTAGTTGTCGCTATCCAGCGCTAGTTGTCGCTGGCTATGCGACACTGTCGCACGCGATAGTTTGCGATGGCCAGCGCAACTGGCCATCGCAGAAAACAGTTCGATAACTAGCGCTGGATAACTATCGCGCTAAGCGATAGCCAGCGCTGGCCAGCGCTGGCCATCGATATCCAGCGCAAAATTTTTGCGCTATTACTCGTCAGCTAGCGCTGGCCAGCGCTAGCCAGCGCTAGTTGTCGCTATCCAGCGCTAGCCAGCGCTGGCCAGCGCTAGCCAGCGATAGTTGTCGCTATCCAGCGCTAGCCAGCGCTAGCCAGCGCTAGCCAGCGTTAGCCAGCGTTAGCCAGCGCTAGCCAGCGGTAACCAGCGCTAGCCAGCGCAATGTATCAAAATCATATACTTGCGATATTACTCGGATGATGATTAATCACTTTACACTTGACTGTCACGTGCCTTTTTTAACCCATTCTCTGACTCTAGCTGGTTCTGAACGACTTTTCGAAACCCCAACCCTCTAATCTGATCCCAACCCTAACCCTAACCCAATCCTTAACAAAAACATATGCTGAAACCCTAACAATAACGAGAAATTAGACTAACTTCCTTATACGGTCATATCACGTGATCGATACATGTACAGTTTTTCGCCAATATCTCGTCAGGAGAGCATTTTAACCCTATGTCATGGGCCCATGGGGGACGGGGGTTGATTCGGAATTAGCGTCCGAAAATACATCGATTGAAGTTGGACACAACCATCGGGGGCCCTTTTAGAACAATCTCGAAGATCGACTGTAGAGTGATTTAGCACGCTCGATATTAGTATTACTATTACTCGTCAGCCAGCGCTGGCCAGCGCAATATAGTTGCGATATTAATCGTCAGCTAGCGCTGGCCAGCGCTGGCTAGCGCTGGCTAGCGCTGGTTAGCGCTAGCTGACGAGTAATAGCGCAAAAATTTTGCGCTGGATATCGATGGCCAGCGCTGGCTATCGCTTAGCGCTGGCCAGCGCTAGTTGTCGCTATCCAGCGCTAGTTATCGAACTGTTTTCTGCGATGGCCAGTTGCGCTGGCCATCGCAAACTATCGCGTGCGACAGTGTCGCATAGCCAGCGACAACTAGCGCTGGATAGCGACAACTAGCGCTGGATGGCGACAACTAGCGCTGGATGGCGACAACTAGCGCTGGATAGCGACAATTATCGAACATATATATTTTGCGCTGGCCAGCGTTATCCAGCGCTGGATAGCGACAACTAGCGCTGGATGGCGACAACTAGCGCTGGATAGCGCTAGTTGTCGCCATCCAGCGCTAGTTGTCGCGTTTTGACTATCGCAAAAGAACCGTGTATTCCCCTGTCCAATTTAGCGCTCAGTCGGTGTGAAAAAAATTGTTGGGGTCCTTTTTTGCTCCAAAAAAAGCTGCAGGGGGCGCCAAAAAAAGGTACCCGACTTTTTCGAGCCGCCGGGGGGCGCCAAGTTAAATCAGCCGCTAACATTACGCCACTGTGACCACACAAGAACTGGCAGTGCATCACTTGTCACTTCATTAAAATTTAAACGTCTAACATTATTATTAATCAAACCTGTTCTGAGAGTGATATAAGGTTCTTTGTGACTTTCTTGTATGCATATTCTAGCGGCACCATCTAGGCATTTCAATAAGACAACTTTAGTTGATGTGTTTGAAATGTTCTAATAATTATATCATTGAACTAATATATGTATTACACTTCAACAGTCAGTAGAAAAAACTAAAAAGAAAACAATCGGCAGCCAGCAGCCGGCTGCAGCCCTCAAAGTAAATTTTAAAGAATGCTAAAAAACTTACTGCACTGAATGCCCAACATGAGCCACATCCTTTCTGATTCTTAGGTTCTGTCACATAGCCCTTTTCCACCCAGTTAACAGATTGAGGAAGATCACTCGGTAAAATATTTGAAGTTTGTCTCTTCACTCTAAATTCTATCATCCGATTACAACATAATAATATTATATTGTTAGTATTAATACGTCGATGAATATGTTATCACCTAACGTGAACGTGGCTTAAGTCTGCGCCAATAACGCCACGTTCGCCTAAAGTATCTGATAAGTGATAATTGCATAATAAAAGGCAAATTTGATCATCATCATCGAATAACATTGAATTGTTTCACGAATTGAATGCTAACGATCATGATTTAGGAAATAAGGCAAAAAGCATGCATGCGTATAATGATTTGCACTAAAAAGTGACAGGCTGAAAGTAACATACAGCTGCAGGAAATGGCTTGAAACATAATTTATCGCACAATTACGATTGTGTTCCTGGTATGTAGATTGTCAAAAACTCTTAACTTTTTATTAGAGTTTAAATACATTTAATTGAAAGTTGGCTTATCGTAAGAACCTTACCGGCTGCATCGATTTCAGTTGAATTTAAATCAACTCCTGTATAACTCATTCTTTCATCATCTTCCTGAAGAACTGGTATTGTTAATTCGGTGCAATTCATTTGGAATTGTATTCCATGATTCTTCGAGCAAGTGTATCAACATCACCACATACCATCACCACATGACATACCATCACCACATACCATCACCTCACACCATCACCACACACCATCATCACACACCATCACCACACACCATCATCACATACCATCACCACACACCATCACCACACACCATCACCACACACCATCACCACATACCGTCACCACATACCATCACCATACACCATCGTCCATCACCATATACCATCACCACATACCATCACCACATACAATCACCATATACCATCACCACATACCATCACCACATACCATCACCACACACCATCACCACATACAATCACCATATACTATCACCATATACCATCACCACCTACCATCACCACATATATCGGTACCTGCATGTCGACAGACGACAAAATCCACCAACATCATCACATACCGATACCTGCTTGTCGAGAACACAGTCCTTAAATATATAAAATTTTGAACTTGCCTTAATTTTTACACAGAAAAGAATATACTTACTCATTAATTAGTAACTTCAATAATTACCATGATAGTGAACTTATTAACAGTTTCAGAGAACCCTGATATACCCTCTTTGAAGTTTTTGTTGTGCTTGTTACATGATTTAAGTCTTTTCATAAATAACTGCTGTTTGCGTTTCCTGAAACAAATGCATATTAGAGACCTTCGAGAATATAGATCATGGAACTATCCGATATATAATGCAGTATCATCATTGCAATATTATTCAATGAAAACTGAAAATCATATCTAAAATAAATAATAATTTAATAAATTATTAACAGGCCCCTTAACGTGGGCAATAATATACGCTTTATAAATTATATAAACAAATTGAAGTCTATTTTTCCAATACAATGTTGTTAAGTGTCTCTTTAGATCTATTTTGGTACATGACCAGCCTTCACCGTGAGGTTTCACAACAACAACAACATAAATAAATATAAAACTTTAATAAATTACTCCTTTATTTCTTTTTTTCTTCTTTGTTCAGGACTTAAAGACAATGCTCCCAACCAGGCACTTTTATTTTCAGGTTGAAACGCATTCTTGTACTTATCATAAGCATCCTACGAGAGAAAATTGAGATCAACAAACCACATAAAGTTTATCAGACAATCGAGTTCACATTAATGAAGTAATGACAATAAATATTGATGATATCAATGATGAAACTTGTGAATTATCGATAACAACTTACTGCATAACTAGATGCATGAAGAATTTCCTCTTTAACAGCTTCGTCCTCACAATCCACAAAATGTACCAGCAGAGAATACAACAATATCACTCTAAGATTTGACAGAGCTAAATTCATGATCATTAGCTGATTCACCAAATGGACATGGGTTCATTAGCTAAATATAGTTGTGACGAGTTTATTAGTGTCAGGTTCACAAAATATTTAAAGTCATTCCTTCATCAAACAAAACAATTGACTCAATAGTCAATATTGAGAGAGTAAAATTTGACCAACTCTTGCTCAGTATTTTTCAATGATACTGATCCTATAAAGAATTATCAAATCAAAATAGCAAATAATGCATGAAGCTTAACTGCTTTATTCACCCGGGTAGATATCCCCACACCAGTGCGTCTAGACACAGTGTTGGGCTGCTTCAGGATGAATTAGATCCCAGAGAATTGCTGATGATACAAACATATTTGTAGTTGCTAAAACTAGAGCAGAGGCCTACAATAATGCTAATAGGGTCCTACGATCAGTCCACGAGTACATATTGGCTAATAAATTACATGTTAACGCCAAGAAAAGTTGCTATATAGAATTCAATACAGCTAAAAGAAAACTTGATGATCAATCTTTATTAATTGAAAATAGACTTTACCTCAATGGCCTACCTCTCTCAAAGGTGCAGGAAACGAAATTCCTGGGAGTAATTGTCGACGAAGGCCTAACTTTCAATCCCTATAGAGACAAACTAGTTAGAAAACTCTCGTCCTGTTCTGGGAGGCTATACATGATTAAGGATAAAATTCCATCATCTATCCATAAGGACCTGTACCACACACTGTTTGAAAGTCACCTATCTTATGGCATTACCGTTTGGGGAGGTGCAAGTAATAATAAACTTCAACCACTATTTGTAGCCCAGAAAAAGTGTATTCGTATCATGTTTGGTGACAAAAAAGCGCACCTTGATAAACTTATGACATGTGCTAGGACTAGACCTATCAGTGAACAGAAACTTACTAGCAAATTCTTTGAGAGAGAGCACACCAAGCCAATTTTTGCCCGTCAATCACTCATGACATTGCATAATTTATACGCGTATCACTGCTGCAATGAACTTTTTAAAGTCTTTAAGTATCGAACACCAATTGCACTATTTGAACTTTTCTGTTTGTCTAAAAGACCCGGCAAAGAAACTCTTCTTATAACAACCATGCCCTCAAACAGTTTCGTTTACAAATCTAGTTGCCTTTGGAATTCATTCCGTCAGATGTTGGCACTGAACGACCTTGAAATCACTCATGGTGTATTCAAATCAAAGGTAAAAAAAGTCATTCTCTCGTCTCAGGGTAAAGGTGACAAGAATACCTGGGCCCCTTTGGCAAACTTTCTGAACTCAGGCAGCTTGAACAACTAAATTTGAAAAAGTAAAACTTCTTGTCTGAATGAACTATTAGAACCTCAAGAAGCTGATCCGCATGTCTCTGCTACTAAAATGTTTAATGAGCCCAATCACTTAACAGTTTAATCTTCAAAGTGAGTTGTACAATCTAGGTTGTTTTAAGTAGCTGTTGATAGTGTAAAACAGGAGTGACTTGATCGTTTTCATAACTTCGATTTACAATTTGTACCATAATAATTAATAAAACTAGCACTGCCATGGGGTTCAAAAAGGGTCATTGTAAGCCTCCAGCGTAATGGTCCTAAGTCTCTGCCCCATGCAGTGCCTGTCAGCATCAGCTAACAGAATAGCCCTAACATAACGATCAAGCCACAAATTAGGTTCTATAATGATTTAATATTGTTGAATAAAGAGATTTGAATATAATATTTGTTTTATTCTGAATATTTGTTTTATTCTCAGCTCGACAAAATACGGTAGGAATTATTCAGTAGGCCCTAAAATGACTCCTGCACATCCAGTCTTACCGTCCAATTAGACATAAGCAGCAGGGACATTTAAAAGGATGATGATCAATCACTCTACTGTCTACACTCGACTTGTATCACGTCGTGACCTAGTCGTACGTTGTAGACCCGCCGCGCACGAGTGCACAGCTGTATCGTATAGTCGTCACGATACATTTAGTGAAAAGACCATGGGCTATGGGGGTCACGACGTGATACAATCTGCAGGACTTGCTTTATCCAGAGCAGGGACAAAAGGAAATCGCCGCATGTACGGAATCGCGATTTTTCCCATTATTTGCGACAAATTTTATGTGTAGTTTAATATACCGCGAAATGTAATTCGCGGTATCGCGATTTTTGGCCAAAATAACCGCGAAATCCTTTTGTCCCTGATCCAGAGCCCTTGCGCTTGCAGTAGCGCGCGCCTGCCGACCCGGCAGGGTTAGGTGAAATCATGACCCCCCTTGTCGTTTCACTAAGTAGTATAGTGGCGATACGAAAGCAGCAAGTCTACAACGTGTGACGGCATGTCTAAAATGTGCGACAAGCAGCTTCTAGTGAAACAATTTTTTTTAGTGAAACAAATTTAAAATTTAATCCTTTATTTTACAATCATAATATAATAATATTTATAAGCCTCCGTTTTGAAAGTTTTAAATTTCAATATATCCGCATTTTTATTTACAGTTCAATTTTATGTATAAGTCAATAACTGGCCGTCAAAGCCGCGCATTCATGAAAACAGGATTAACTTGTTTATAGTTATACAACAAATTAAATTTAAAACTATCCGTGGTTTTTAAGATAAATTATAATCTTACCTAAATCCAAAGCCTGCTTTATAAAAGTTACTTTTAGATCATAATATATCGTCAATTCTAAATATTTACAATGCAAAATTTCATTAATCTATAAATATGAAATAATAAATAAGCGTACTCCAGCCCCTACAGCTACACGCATCGCAATTCTTATGCGGCGCAGTTCAAGTCGCGCACGCACGTATTATTTTATATTTTTTGCTTTCTAATAAATATCGCGTCATATAATATATAACGTCATTTGACAATTATTATCATTAATCTACAATCTAGTCTAACTATCTTGCTGAGGGGGAGGAGTAAACGCTTTACATTAAAATACTTACAACATACGAAATCTAAAACTATCAAACCGGTTAGTTAATATTATGGATAATTTTGTATATATCTATTTCGTAGTAATATCTTCACATCTTAATACTATAATAAATTACAGTAGGGTATATGTTTCGAGAAAGAAAGGTTGGTCCGATTATTAACAAAAGTAAACAAAAGTCCACCAGGGACTCAATGGAGTCGAAAAAGGTACACGGCCGCTGTCTGCTGCTAGGCATTTATTGATCAAGATGTTTTATTGTATTGGTTTTTGATGATTCTATTGTTCATGACTAATCAAGTTCTAAGTGGAGGTATAAAGTGACTGTCTGCTGCTTAAGATACTTTGTCATCTCATGTCCAGTATAATGATTAAGATAGTATACAATACAGTTTCAGTACTTGACCCATACAATTAAGTCCGTCATAACTCACATGCAATTCTATATTCTATAATTTTTCTTAAAGCAAAAATACCTTGTTACCTAGGCCTATAACAAAGACGCGTGTCGAGTTGGACTCGTTGAGAGTCTTGATAGGTTATATTTTACGAGTATCACCCATTTAATTTAATTAAGAATAAACGTAAAATCAAAAATATGTTATTTTTTTTTTAATTTTCGAAAAGATTGTTAGATTTTTGTTACTGCATTAATCGTGTGAAAACTGGCCACGGGCCTAAATATTACATATCAATCAATTACAATTCATTAACATTACCAATATTAAAAACTATCGAAAATATTCAAGAAAGTATTCTCTAGCCAAAGGGCTCAATATTTAAATCTAAATCTTCAATATTGTCTGGTTTATATCGCAACTTGGGCCCTCTGTCCCCCCTTATCGAAATAACCGTTGTCTTTAATACCTCAAAGCGCAAGCGCTTTCTAAGATATCTGACAATCTGAATGTTCCTGTTTTATCCTACGGGTGTCAGATCTGGCTTCCCATGACAAATTTCATGTCTATCTTTGCTTCGGGGAGTTATCCGGCTACTCAGGATACAGCAAAAGACCCCCTGGAGAAAGTTCACCTATCATTTATGAAATGGACTATGAATGTCAACAAATCGACTTCAAACACCGCTGTGTGGGGTGACACTCAGTAATCGACCGGGATTCCCGGCGCCGTGAAATCCCGGCACCGGGGGAGCTATTTCTTACCGGCCCCAGCCGATTTTCAATTTTTGCCGGGAATTTGGCCGGGAATTTTTGATCGAAATCGGCCTAAAACTTTCATATAAATCTTAAAATGGATTTTCAATTTTGAAAGGATGATGTCCAGAGTGCCAGCTTTCAAGAGCAGTCCTTTGTTTTTGTAACCTCTGATAGTTTTTACAATTACGATTTATTAAATTCACGGCCCCGGCCCCGGCCAAATTCCAGAACGTCCAATTCCCGGCCCCGGCAAAATTTGGACATTCCCGGCCCCGGCCCCGGCCCCGGCCAAATCCTACCCCCGGTCGTTTACTGGTGACACTGGAAGATACCCGCTTGCCATCGAGCTTACGCCCCAAGTCTATAGCTACCTCGGGAGGTTGGAGGGACTGGACAAAGAGGGATGCTCTTCTTTAGTGAGGCACGCTTACGCCGAGCAGAGGGATCTGAAACTGTTATGGTTCTCCCGGCTGGAATGCACCAAGAACACAGGGAAACAAATGACAGGAGGAAGTGATATTTCAAAGCCGCTCAAAATCAGCGAGGCTATGAAAACCCTTTTTGTTCAACAATGGAACAAAGAGCGAAAACTCAACAGAAAACTAGGATTCTACAACCTCATCAAGGCAAGCTTCGGTTGCGAGTATACCTGTCGATCAACCTACGGCCACAGCAGACTAGGAGACTTGCGCAACTCAGAACAAGCTCGCATCAATACAACATCGAAACTGGAAGACACGGCATGCATCGACATAAACTTTCGAATAGGGCATGCAAACACTGTTCTACTACAGATGTGGAGTCACTCGATCTTCTTCTAGAGCTTCCTTTCCCTGATCCAATCATCGAAGATGAACTTCATGTATTGCGTACTTGCCCTCTCTATGAAGATCTCCGCCACTGTTTGTCCAAACAAAGTAAAACATTACTCTTCTCTGACATTGGACAGATCTTCGCACACCCTACAGCCATCGGAGACCTAGGAAGGTTCCTTACCAAAGCTCATGAACGAAGATTCCCTAAAACGTCCTCCAAACAAATTCCTAACATTAACAATATTGCCAAATTATAATCTATGACTCGGAACACTTTCAGAAAAGTTCATTTAAATTATTAAGTATTTTGAATCTCACTCTTAAGATTTACGGGGTTCATTGTATATATATATACTTTATGACTTTTGGGTAAATTTAATTTTTTATATCTGGTCAGACATTACCATTGTAATTTGACTTTTGAATCGTTTAATCCGTTAAATCCGTTTAATCCGTTTAAAAATAAAAACCTTTTTTACGTGGACATAACACGATAGGCTATATGTAAATATGAATTAGAGTCAGTTGTTTCAATTTATTTTTAATTAACTAACGCGACCGTGCGCGCTCTACTTTGCACATTTATCATTCATTGAAAAATGTTTTGATCCATTGGTTAATAATTAATAAATTGCGTCGTTAATTTAATATTTTAACTTTTTTATTCCTCAGTCACGTGCGCGCGCGCTTAAAATTGACGAATTTCCAGTTGTACATATTTGTTGCATATTTGTTGTATCACGTTGTGACCCCCACGGTCGCTTCACTGTAGAGTTTCGACGATACAGGGGGAGCCGCGCACTCGTGCGCGGCGGGTCATACAACGTATGACAACATATTTGCCGATCTAACGATGGGCTAAAAGAATTACTAAATGCGCAGCGAGGCCCAATAGTGAATCGCGCTACAATTTATTCATAACTCTTTTTAAAAAATATTTATTTAATTTAACCTCATAAAGTTAACGGGTGATACTCGTAAAATATCTGTTCCATATATTGGACCGTCGACGAGTCCAACTCGGCGCGCGTCCTGGTAGGTTGTAAACCTACAATCAAAAAGCTGTTTATATTAGGAATCAACTTGTCGTACGTTGTATGACCCGCCGCGAGTGCGTGGCTCTCCCTGTATCGTCATTTGTCATAGTAAAATGCGAATGCTCATTGGATGTTAGAGCGCACGTGACTCGCATTCACGTGATCGTTCAGAACCAATTATAGCCGCGCAAAAGATCACGTGCACGCCAACTACTTGTAGCGCGATGCGTTACTGTGCTAGATCGGCGAGATGCGCTACTGTGCCGCAACGAGCTGCCATGAATTGACATCGTCAATTAAGCCGACTACCAATAAGAAAGAAGTGACGTATGCGCTACAAGAGCCGCGCGCTGAGTCAGATTGTAAAATCTGATTATTTGATTGTTAAATCGCATAAACGCGCCTATTAATTGCGCGTTTAAGAGGGTTCAATTACGCCAGGCTATGTTTATGAACATAATAGCCTGGGGTCCCCAGGTAAAGTGAAACGACCGTGGGAGTCGCAACGTGATACAAGAATCAACGTCAAAATATACATTTACCTAAAACACTTAGCCGTTAAGGTAACGTAAATTGAGTAATACTGGATACATATTATCTCAGGCTATCATGTTTCGGCGGAATGACAGGCTGAGCGCGGCATGGCACAGTAAGATACAAATATAAAGAAACGAGCCATAATACTTTTTCAAGGCAAGCTAGGTGGGGTAAGCGCCATGTTATTTTTTCGCACTTCAATATGAAAATTCGTTGCATTTTAAATATATAATTATTTAAGAACAAAATATATTTTGAGAACAAAAAATGCAAATGTTTTGAGGAATAATATTTTTTCGAGAAAAGACTATTTTATTATTTGATCGTGATTTAAATTATATTTTTTAATCAACTCGAAGCACCAATAATGCATTAAATTTTATTTTTAACCAATAATGTATTTTATCATTGTTAATGATCTTATCTGGCCCGGCGCGCGCTACTTCGTAGCACTTGCCTTTCGAGAAGAAAGCGGCGCGCGCTACTTCGAAGAAATTTAGACGAGTATGATCCGTCAATAATGTATTAGATTTTATTAATTAATAAAATTGAATTTGATAAATTATTAATGTTGATGGAAAAATACATTTATTTAAATTATTTTTCTATTTATTGCAGCAATGATATTTTGTAGACACTTGTGATGATGTTATGTCAATCTTCACTTACTTACTTACTAGACTTTGCATGAACAATCTATTTATCAGATAATTTTAGCACTGATATCAGTTTCGTTATTTGCATAGTGATTAACGTAAAAAATTTTTTTTGATTTTGAATTGAAGAATGTAAATTACTCAAACAATATACACATATTATAGCAATAACAATAGAATTAGAATTAGAATTAGAATTAAATTTACATAGCAATACAATAATAATAGCAAATAATTTAGAAATGCTTCGATCTGCTGTGCAGGACATTTAAATCAGTCAAAAACTGTTAATTGAGTACCCTTCTAAGGACTAGGAATCAAAACATATAGTATATAGATAATAAGTTAGTGAGTATAAAAATAATTGCAAATGAATTTATCTCTCAGAGTGAAAAAATGACCAGGCTCATCATCATAATAAACAGACTGCCTCTGAACAAGGCAGTTACAGAGTTCATCAGTGCATAGGCAAGGCTGTTAGCCAGGCTCCGTCCCTTTTTCCTTTGCAAATAATAGCAGATATTGAATTGAACTTTGTCTTAAGTTTGAGATCAGCAGAGCTGAGGTTGATTAATTTGTTAGATCAGTGCTTCTGTAACATAGTGAAAGTTCTTGAACTAAAGATCTGCATAATTTCTGGGACTTTTAATACCTGACTGGTATATTACCGATTCTTTTTCCTGTCCAAGATTGGTAGAAAGTATTCTACCAATTATTGTGAGCATCAGTTTCCCGCATATAGCTTCTTTTGGGGAGCAAAAATATGGAGAATTAATATCATTGCTCCAAGAGGAAAAAAAGAGGGTTGAAAAGTAGTAGTGCAGTAAAAATAGCAGACTTAGGTATAATTTTTTATGAACAAATTTAGTTACATATCAGGAGGTAGTAGGAGCGGCGAAAGCTGCAACCTATATGTTAATAGATCAACATCACATAAAAACTTTCAATACTTGGGGGCAAAATGTTGGAATAATGTTCCAACAGATCTACGAAATCTGCCCGACGTTAAAAGCTTTAGTGATTCGTATAAGAAACAGCTACTCTCATCTATAACAACAGACCCTAATTATACCGTCGACAATTCATATGACAAATTTTACACTGCAATCATAGTCGACGATAACTAAGTATCTTCTAATTCTTTTAAATCTGAGGCATATATAATTGATGTATCGAAAGAATTTTCCCTTTTTTACCACCTTACCGTTTTGATTGATTTTGCACATGACTGACATGTTTTAACTGGAGAAAGGGTTCGCACAGTGGTAGTTTTATAAACCACTTTTAATTTATTGACCTATTATACCTAGTGGTAGTTTTATAGACCACATTTAATTTATTTACTTATTATACTTAGTATTTATTTTTGGTGACTGTATCACCCAGTTTTAACATTTGATAATTGTACATTTTATTGACGACACATTGACTGAATGTTATTTTATATTCTAATTTATATTCTAGATATTTTATTTATTTTTCAACAGACGACAACTTCCTGTTTTTTCTTCTATATTAGTTACTCATATCTCTTTTACAGACTTTTTTACAAGGACATTGACAGATGATACTCACATTAGGCATTCATTATTGCATCTAAATTATTTCACTTGCATTAGGTTTAGAAATTTATTCTCTGGTTAACAGATTTCAAATGTTTAATTAATTTGTAGTATGACAGTAAGGTATATAAGAAGTTATTTAATTTTGCTTGGGCTATTATATTGACTATTGAGGTTTAATGATGATATGGAATTTGATTTCTATATAAATTTACACTATGTGGTTGGGGCATTTTGCATAGTAAATATGGTTACTACTCCTATATATCATATTATTTGATTGGTATTCGATTTCTGATTATTTCTCTAGGAATATGATTATTATATCTCAATTTGGCTTTAGGTAGGGTGCCCCGCTAAAAGAACTGGATTCTTCCAGGAAGCGTCCCGTGCACAGACCTTGGTCTACATATATATTAAATTATTAACCATTCATTCTGTATGTGCACGAAAATTTATTTCAATCAATAAATTTAGAGCCACTACATTGAATTATCATTTAGCTACTTTTACTACCAAGGCTTTTTTTTTATGTTACTCAAATTTTTAAAGGTTATTGAATTTTAAGGGATTCTTACTTGAACACACAAAGTGTTAATCTTTTAATTGGAATTGTATTTCCATTTGTGGCGAAAAAACGATTTGTAAATCTTTATTCCACTTGGAAGTATGAATAGGGTTATCTTTTGGGGATGCTTTTTGAATTTATTTGAAATTTTTTTAATAAAGTTGTAGTTAATAATTTATTAATTTTGGTGGTAAGATATTTGATACTTTGTAGACATGTGTAATGATGTTATGTCATAATTATTACTTAACTTTACTTTACTTTCATTTGTAGAGTAATGATGAATCTCAGAAATAACTAGCATGGTAATTCTCCATAATGCATCCATCATGAGCTTGAGACAGATAAAATATTATTCTTTATATAATGTAAACTTACTAATGTTTCCATTCTATTGCTATAATAATTGATATGTTACTTTTGCAGATGTCTACGAAACTAGCGAAATTCAAAGCTGCTCATCCTGGTCAAAAAGTGGATCATCCTCTCGCAAAGTATAATTCAAAGGGCGATTTGTATTGTTTGCTCTGTAATACTTTGATCAAAAATTCAAATGTATGGAAAGTTCACCTATCATCGAAAACACATAAAGAGAGTATGATACTGTTTAAAGCCGGTAAGAGCAGACCTACAGACTCATTAAAAAGGTCAGCTCCAAAAATAGAAGAAGCACCTCCACGTTCATTAAAGAAACTTAAATCTAACACCACAAATTCAGAGGGTGCAGTAACTAAATCTGAGGACGTTGCTACATCCAATATTAAAAACAGTGATTCATCTTTTAGTAGTATTAAAACAGGAATATTGAAACCATCCTCAAAGGTTGTTCCTAAATTGCCTGAGGGATTTGTACCCAAGAGCAGACTGAAAGGTCCTGCTGGAACTGCAAATAACGCTGTGCCTAGCGAAGAAAATGCAGAACTAATAAGGGCAACAGAACTGAAATCTAATCTTCCCTCTGGCTTCTTTGATGACAATATTGTTGTCACAGCGCAAAGTGATGGTGAAAAATTGGAATCTGAGCAAGATTCAAATGTAGAAGAAGAAATTAAGTCAGACAATCCAGCTTCTATTCTGCCGGATGGGTTTTTTGACGATGCACGTGAAGATGCTAAAGCTCGAAAAGTAGAGTATAAAGACCCTCAGGAACTGGAATGGGAAAAGTTTCAGAATGAAATGGAGCATGAGGACATCAGATATAATACTATAATAGAAGTAGATGATCAGAAGCTAAGGGAAGAACGGGATGTTGATATTGGAATAGAGCAAAAGTTGTGGGATTATCGTGTTGAGTCAATGGCTGATTCAGTCAAGACTGGTGAAATCTGTGTTGCAGATAAGCAAGCTTTTGAAGTAAAATTAGGGAAAAACGAGAAAATAGAATCAGATGGGCTTAAAGGGGAAGCCATGGACATAAAGGAAGAATCAGGTGTTGATGTGAAGATGGAAGATGACAGTATGAGTTCTGATGATGATTTTGATGATGTCATGGACTGGAGAATTAAGAAAGGGGTGTAACCAATGAATGATGATTTATACTTTTATCCACTTTTTCATAAAATGTATGATATTTATTGATAAATTAATGGTTAGATTAAATGCAACTTAAGCAGTCTTGTTTGTAATTTGAGATTGACATTACATTTCTTTGCATTTATATATACATTTACATATGTTACATAATTACATATCTATTGTATCAAGATGCGGTTACAACGAATGCTACCTTTTTAATAGCTGACAAACGACATTAATTCCATCAAAACCTTCCATGAAATTCCAAATTGTTTTATTGATACCCCTACAAAATTACTGCACATTTTTCAAATGTTGTTAATAGTTTACTTTCAGTTTTCCCCGTTAACATTTAATTCTTCAGTGCTGATCATAATGTCTGAAACAAACTGCTGTGGATACATCCAGCCTATACGCAAAGTTAAAACATTTGATGATGTCCAACTGTGGTTGAAGTCTCAAGCATACTCTGAGATTTTAGGATTCCTCACTGCTTTAAATAATTCTGTCAAAGGTAAATCATACAAACATTCCTATGAGGTCTGTGAAAAGATGCAATCTGTTGTGTTGCTGTTCAAGCATATAAGGGAGGACATTGACCAGATTCCATTAGAAAATGATCAGAGATTTGGGAACAAAGCATTTCGGGTTCTTGGGGAACGCATTATCCAAAAATCTGATCAATGGATTAGAGACATTTTGCCTGATGACCTCAAAGGTGCTGTTATTGAGCTCAAAGCTTATTTCGATGAAAGTTTTGGAAGTTTTGGTAGAGTTGACTATGGCACTGGACACGAAATCAATTTTCTTGCATTTTGCTGCTGTTTGTATAAGATTGGCTATTTCTCTACCGATGACTATGTTGCCACTGTCTTTTTCTTATTCAGAGAATATCTCGATTTGATGCGAAAAATTCAAATCTGGTACAAATTAGAACCAGCAGGAAGTCACGGAGTGTGGGGCCTTGATGATTATCAGTTCCTTCCATTTATTTTTGGCAGTGCTCAGTTCTTGTCCAATCCAGTGATTTCTCCAGATCAATTCGTTCAGCCAGACATTGTCGCCAAATATCATGAAGACTTCATGTTTTTAGAGTGCATAAAGTTCATCAACGAAGTTAAAACGGGACCATTTGCTGAGCACAGTAATCAACTATGGGGTATATCAGGGGTGCCAACGTGGACTAAAGTAAACGGTGGACTCATCAAAATGTATAAAGCTGAAGTTTTAGCAAAGTTTCCTGTTGTACAACATTTCGTTTTTGGATCCCTGCTGTCCTTGGATTCTACGTGATAAGAATTCTAGATAGGTTGATTTGTCTCATTACGATGAAAAATGTTGCATTTTTGATTTCTTTTGTACAATGTATTTGTATCAGTAATTAATGTTGAATTTGATTACAATGTTGAGATCCAAGATTACATCAGAAACAAAGCTTTCTGTACATAATATCATATTGAATATGCTGTACTGTTATCATTACTTCATATTTGTTTCAAGAATCCTTCTCGTGAATGAATAATCTTTTATGAAATAGTATTTTGCACATGTATACATGTGTACATATGTAGTGTAAATAGATATCGCTATAGATAAGAGTAATTCCGATTTATGTAACTTGTATTTTGATATGATGTGACTGACTGGGGTCAGTGAAGTTCAGTTTTTTCTTCATTCACTATTTCACTCTTAGTTAAGTGTCTCCATAATTTTATTCTGTGTTTATCTAACTTTAAAAAACTTTTATTAACCCGATAATTCATCCATCAGGATGGTTTCGTTAACTCTAGTCGAAGAAGCTGAGCAAGACAAAAACACTGCCAATCAGTTTTTTAAAGAAAAGAAATACCTCGTTGCCATTGAATGGTACACAAAAGCAATCGACAAGAACCCCAATATCCCAGCTTACTATGGAAATAGAAGTTTTGCATACTTAAGAACTGAGTGTTTTGGTTATGCCATAACTGATGCTGATAAGGCTGTGGAATTGGACAGAACATACTTGAAGGCATACTATAGGCGAGCAGAGGCCAACATGGCCCTTGGACGGTATAAAAAGAGCTTAGCTGATTACGATACTGTTCGCAGGGCTAGACCCAAAGATAACGATGCCCGAATGAAGTTCAAAGAGTGTGATAAAATCGTCAAACGGCTTGCTTTTGAAAAAGCCATTAATGTCGAGTCACTCAAAAAGAGTGTGATAGAGAGTGTGGACATGGAAAATATGGTGGTTGAAGATTCTTACAGTGGACCAAAGTTGGGAGATGACTATAAAGTTACTGTTCAATTCATGGAACAGCTCGTTGCATGGTTCAGAGATCAAAAAATTCTCCATCGAAAGTATGCCTATGGCATGCTTGTAACCATCAAAAAGTATTTTGAGGAGCAACCTTCCCTTGTGCATATAACGATTCCAAGCTGTAACAAATTTACAGTTTGTGGCGACATTCATGGTCAATTCTATGATCTTCTGAATATCTTTGAGATAAACGGATTACCTAGTGAAACAAATCCGTATCTGTTTAACGGAGACTTTGTCGACAGAGGATCATTTTCAGTTGAAGTTATCTTCACGTTATTCGGCTTTAAATTATTGTATCCAGACCACATGTTTATGGCCAGAGGAAACCACGAGTCAATAAACATGAACCAAATGTATGGGTTTGATGGAGAGGTTAAAGAAAAATACAGCAAGAATATGTCTGATTTCTTTACGGAGATATTCAACTGGTTGCCCCTGTGTCATGTTATCAACAATGGTGTATTTGTAACTCACGGAGGACTATTTCAGGAGGATGGTATCAAAATTGAGGACATTGAGAACTTTGAAAGGAACCGCCAGCCCCCAGAGTCTGGGGTCATGTGCGACCTGCTCTGGTCAGATCCACAGAGTTTCACCGGGCGTTCTGCAAGTAAACGTGGTGTTGGTGTTCAGTTTGGTCCTGATGTGACCAGTGCCTTCCTCGACAGAAACCGTCTGAAATACGTGATTAGGTCTCACGAGGTTAAGGATGAGGGATATGAGGTGAGTCATGACGGAAAGTGTATAACAGTTTTCTCTGCTCCCAACTACTGCGACCAAATGGGAAATAAGGGGGCCTTTATCACTCTAAAGGAGGACTTGGTGCCCAAATTCACAACGTTTGAGTCTGTGCCGCATCCTGATGTCAAGCCGATGGCCTATGCTAATAATTTATTAAAAATGTCTGGCTTCATGTAACATGTTCCACATTTAAATTCAAAGTAGGATTCCTTTAATGATAAGGTAAGCTTGTAGCCTATATTTTTGATTTTGTACTGCTATGTAAGTCGAGAGCATCTTGCAAACTACCTCTAATTTTTCACAGCAAGTAGTTGAACATTTTTGGGAATTTGACTGTTCTTATGGCCACGGTTAAATGATTAAAGACAGTGTAGATTACAGTTAACTAGTGACAGCCGTAACACAACTTGCACTTTCAGTAATGACAACGATTTTGTATCTTGAATTGACCATGTATCATGATCCGTCCTTGTTGTACAATGTACATATATTCAGACTTTAGCAAAGGTGACCCTTTTTGTATTGTATTAGATCAACAAAAATGAAACTGAGTTAGTGGTGTTGAGTATCATACAGTATAATATAATCTATATTTTATTTGATTTTGATAGCACCACTTGCTTACTTTCTGTGTCCAAAGTATGAGTTATTTAAGTCTATTCGAAAAAATTAAAAGTCAGTTTAAATTTCTGGACTTATTTTATCAAATTGAAGCAGCCAGTAACTGCAATTGTTTTTTACCAAAACAAAGCCCACTGTAGGGTTAACAATATTTCAATTTACCTCCCTTTCTCACAATTATTTCCTCTCAGATTGTGATGTATTGAGACAGAACCTATCACGTGACCCTATCACGTGTCACTAACAATGGAGCCGGTTCCCACTGTGGGACCCACTGACAAGTTCAAAATTGGGGACTACGTCTTCGCAGACCTCCACTGTACTCGAGAGCCTTACTGGATATGCAAGATAGAGGAAATACAGAAACAGTCCAACTCAGATATTCAGATTAAAGTAAAACTGTTCTTCCGGAGACGTCACGTGTCAGGAGATTTGCTGGTCATTGCTGATAAGTACACGGACAGCTTCCTTCACAACGAGGAGTTTGATTGGGATATTGCGGAGGAAGCTACTTATAATCCTGATTATGTTAAACTACATTATAAGTTGCTGCAGAGGAACTTGTTTGTTTCCAAGGAGAATGTTATCATATCACCCGATATGATCCGAGGTAAATGTTACGTTTTCCTCCTGACAATGGTGGACTCTCCCATGGATGTGCTTACCAATGAGAACAAGTTTTTCTTTCTTCTGGCCTACGATGTCTCGAATCAAGAGGTACACGAAGATAAAGGTTCTATAATGATAGGAAGTGCTTATCAAGCTGAGCTTCCTGATTGCGAGGGGGGAGGTAGCTCTACTGATGTAGAGGACGATCAGTTCATTTGGGATCCTGAAAAATGCTCTGATAAAACTTATTCACAGTTAAGCTGTGCGGTTCGGTCAGTGCAAGCCTATAAAAACCTCGCAAAAACAAACCCTAAAACTAGACCCATGCAAGTTCACAGAGACGTTCATTTGTTTGGTGCTATGGAAATTCTTAACAGAGAAAATTATGATATGAAAACAGCAGGGCTATCAATAGTACAGGACGACAGTTTAACATCAGATGATATTGATTCGTGGACTCGGGATGAGGTGTTGATATTTGAAAGATGTTTGTACAAATACGGCAAGCAGTTCAATTACATAAGGCAAGAGTTTTTACCCTGGAAATCTTGGCAGAGTATCATTAGTTTTTATTACCAGTGGAAAGGGACTAGTGGGTACAAACAATGGAAAAATGACTACTGTTCAGATCAAGGAGAGTTGAAAGATATCGAGGTAGCTGTAACAGACTGGGTGTTGCCCGCCCTGACTGGAAGTGAAACAACATCCAGCAAATGTCCTGGTTGTGGGAAAGTCCCCAAAGTGCGAGGCTGTTGGTTTTCTTGGGGACCGGTTACTGAACCTGTCCGGATTTGTAAAACATGTGCTCTCCATTGGAAACAGTTCGCTGGTTTTCCTGATTCTCCCACTTTAGAGAGTAAAGTATGGGAATCTTCGTCGCCATCAATAATCGGGTTACCACACAGTAAACTCTTCAAATGTGAAACCGACGGTTGTAATAAAGCTTTCAAGTGTAAATCAGGACTGCGTCGTCACCAGGTGTTATCTCACGGTGATCCCTCCAGAGGACAGTTGTTTTTGTGCACAGAAGAGTCCTTGGCGGCCAGGAAATGTTTGGGGACTAAAACCATGAGAGTGATAGCTCGTAGACCTTGCCAGGCTGCTAGAAACAGGTAATAGCGGTCATGGTTTGTTAGTAAGGCGGGGTGCAGCACATAACTCCGCCAATTTCCGTCTAACCCCGCAATTAGGCGTGATTAGGCGGGATTACGCGGAATTACGCGGGATTTGGCGGGATAACGCGGGATTACGCAGGATTACGCGGGATTTCGCGGGATTTGGCGGGATTAGCGGAATCGGACGAAAGGTATAATTTTTCTCAAATTTTTGAAAATGTAAAATTTTGGTTGTTTTATTCCAACGACAAAAATCCAAATAATCTTTGGAGGCTCAAAATTCACGTATAAACATAATACCATTCTTTGCAACAGTGGCACAATGCTCTTCGCCTGATCTTGACCCTCGGAAATCTCGGAACTGAGCCGTTATTTTCCAAGCTATCTTCAACAGCAGCTACCCAGAGGGTTTTGTGATGATTCACCGACGTTGCTTTTAGTTCAGTAACAAAGAAGAAAAGCGTTGTTACCAAATTATCAGATCATAAAGACTTGTAACCGTTCTTTAAATCTAATTGCCCTGCGATCTACTTCAAGCTCTCACTTGGGTTATGTTATTCAAAGATTCAAAGCGTCAGTTGTGTTATTAAAAGCGTTAGATACGTTATTTCAAACTGTAATGCTAGAACGACTGTAGTTCATACCGTTCAATAATTCATCTTATGCTATGTAAATTTGCTTCATGCAGGCTATGTTAGGCTCATGTTTTTTGTCCGTTCGGTACCCTATATTTTCAAAACAGACAAAAAATAGAGCGGACAAAAACGGACAAAAAATAACAAAAATGGAAATAACATTTAGATGCTTCCTCCTCCTCCTCTTCCTCCTTCTCCTCCTCCTCTTCCTCCTCTTCCTCCTCCTCAGTCCTCCTCCTGGGTCCTCCTCCTGGGTCCTCCTGGGTCCTCCTCCTGGGTCCTCCTCCTGGATCCTCCTCCTGGGTCCTCCTCCTCCTTCTCCTCTTCAGTTCTTTACCTCCTCCTCTTCCTCAGTCTTCCTCCTCCCTGCCAGTCCTCCTCCTCAGTCAACCTCCTCAGCCATCCTCCTCAGTCCTCCTCATTCCTCCTCCTCAGTCCTCCTCCTCCCCTCCTCCTCCTCCCCCTCCTCCTCAGTCCTCCTTTTCATCCTCCTCCTCTTCAGTCCTCAATCCTCCTCCTCAGTCCTCCTCCTCATCGTTCTCCTAAGTCCTCCTCCTCCTCCTCCTCTTTCTCCTCTTCAGTCCTTTACCTCCTCCTCCTCCTCAGTCTTCCTCCTCCTCCTCCTCCCTGTCAGTCCTCCTCCTCAGTCAACCTCCTCAGCCATCCTCCTCAGTCCTCCTCCTCAGTCCTCCTCCTCCTCCTCCTCCTCCTCCTCTTCCCCCTCCTGGGTCCTCCTCCTGGGTCCTCCTCCTGGGTCCTCCTCCTGGGTCCTCCTCCTGGGTCCTCCTCCTGGGTCCTCCTCCTCCTCTTTCTCCTCTTCAGTCCTTTACCTCCTCCTCTTCCTCAGTCTTCCTCCTCCTCCTCCTCCCTGTCAGTCCTCCTCCTCAGTCAACCTCCTCAGCCATCCTCCTCAGTCCTCCTCCCCTCCTCCTCCTCCCCCTCCTCATCAGTCCTCCTCCTTTTCATCCTCCTCCTCTTCAGTCCTCAGTCCTCCTCCTCGTCGTTCTCCTTAGTCCTCCTCCTCAGTCCTCCCCCAGTCCCCCTCCTCCTCCTATTCAGTCCTCCTCCTCCTCCTCAGTTCTCCTCAGTCCTCCTCCTTCTCAGTCCTCCTCAGTCCTCCTCCTCAGTCCTCCTCCTCCCCAGTCATCCTCCTCAGTCCTCCTGGGTCCTCCTCCTGGGTCCTCCTCCTGGGTCCTCCTCCTGGGTCATCCTGATCCTCCTCAGTCTTCTTCCTCCTCCCCTCCTTTTCATCCTCCCCCTCTTCAGTCCTCAGTCCTCCTCCTCAGTCCTCCCCCAGTCCCCCTCCTCCTATTCAGTCCTCCTCCTCCTCCTCAGTTCTCCTCAGTCCTCCTCCTTCTCGGTCCTCCTCCTCATCAATCCTCTTCACCAGTCCTCCTTCTCCTTCTCCTCCTCCTTCTCCTTAGTCCTCCTCATCCTCCTCATCCGCCTCCTCCCCCTCCTCATCATTCCTCATCAGTCGTCCTCCTCCGCCTCCCCTCCTCCTCCTCAGTCCTCCTCTTCAGTCCTCCTCCTCAGTCCTCATCCTCCTTCTCCTCAGTCCTCCTCAGTTTTACTCCTCCTCCTCCTCCCTCTCAGCCATCCTCCTCAGCCATCCCCCTCAGTCCTCCTCAGTCCTCCTCCTCCTCCTCAGTCCTCATCCTCCTCCTCAGTCCTCCTCAGTCCCCCTCCTCAGTCCTCCTCCAGTCCCCCTCCTCCTCCTCATATTTAGTCCTCCTCCTCCTCAGTACTCCTCAGTCCTCCTTCTGAGTCCTCCTCCTCCTCAGTCCTCCTCCTCCTCAGTCATCCTCCTCAGTCCTCCTCCTGGGTCATCCTCCTGGGTCATCCAGATCCTCCTCAGTCCTCTTCCTCCTCCCCTCCTCAGTCATCTCCTCCTCTTCAGTCCACCTCCTCCTCTTCCTCATCAATCCTCTTCACCAGTCCTCCTTGTCCTCCTCCTTCTCCTTAGTCCTCCTCATCCTCCTCATCCACCTCCTTCCCCTCCTCATCATTCCTCATCAGTCATCCTCCTCAGTCCTCCTCCGCCTCCCCTCCTCCTCCTTCAGTCCTACTCCTCAGTTCTCCTCAGTCCTTATCCTCCTTCTCCTCAGTCCTCCTCAGTTTTACTCCTCCCTCTCAGTCATCCTCCTCAGCCATCCTCCTCAGTCCTCCTCCTCCTCAGTCCTCATCTTCCTCGTCAGTCCTCCTCATATTTCTCCTTAGTCCTCCTCCCCCTCAGTTCTTCTGAGACTTCTCCTCAGTCCTCCTCAGTTTTACTCCTCCTCCTCCCTCTCAGTCATCCTCCTCAGCCATCCTCCTCAGTCCTCCTCCTCCTCAGTCCTCATCTTCCTCGTCAGTCCTCCTCATATTTCTCCTTAGTCCTCCTCCTCCTCAGTTCTCCTCAGTCCTCCTCCTTCTCAGTCCTCCTCCTCCTCCTCCTCAGTCCTCCTCCTCCTCCTGGGTCCTCTTCCTGGGTCATCCTGATCCTCCTTTGTCCTCTTCCTCCTCCCCTCCTCAGTCATCCTCCTACTCCTACTCTTCAGTCCTCCTCCTCCTCAGTCCTCCTCATCCTCCTCATCCACCTCCTTCCCCTCCTCCTCAGTCCCCCTCCTCATCGTTCTCCTTAGTCCTCCTCCTCAGTCCTCCCCCAGTCCCCCTCCTCCACCTATTCAGTCCTCCTCCTCCTCAGTTCTCCTCAGTCCTCCTCCTTCTCAGTCCTCCTCAGTCCTCCTCCTCATCAGTCCTCCTCCTCCTCATCAATCCTCTTCACCAGTCCTCCTTCTCCTTCTCCTTAGTCCTCCTCATCCTCCTCATCCTCCTTATCCACCTCCTTCCCCTCCTCCTCAGTCCTCCTCCTCCTCCTCCTTATCAGTCCTCCTCCTCATCCTCATCAATCCCCTTCACCAGTCCTCTTTCTCCTCCTCCTTAGTCCTCCTCATCCTCCTCATCCACCTCCTTCCCCTCCTCACCAGTCATCAGTCATCCTCCTCAATCCTCCTCCGCCTCCCCTCCTCTTCCTCAGTCCCCCTCTTCAGTCCTCCTCCTCAGTTCTCCTCCTCCTTCTTCTTAGTATTCCTCAGTTTTACTCCTCCTCCTCCTCCCTCTCAGTCATCCTCCTTAGCCATCCTCCTCAGTCCTCCTCCTCCTCCTCAGTCCTCATCCTCAGTCCTCATCCTCCACCTCATCCTCCTCCTCAGTCCTCATCCTCAGTCATCCTCCTCAGTCCTCCTCCTCCTCCTCATCAATCCTTTCTACCAGTCCTCTTTCTTCTCCTCCTTCTCCTTAGTCCTCCTCATCCTCCTCATCCACCTCCTTCTCCTCATCATTCCTCATCAGTCATCCTCCTCAGTCCTTCTCCGCCTCCCCTCCTCCTCCTCAGTCTCCCTCTTCAGTCCTCTTCCTCATCTTTCTCGTCAGTCCTCCTCCTCATCTTTCTCCTCAGTCCTCCTCCTCCTCCTCAGTCCTTCTCATCTTACACCTCCTACTCAGGTTTCCTCCTCCTCCTCAGTCCTCCCCCAGCCACCCTCATCCTCATCCTCATCCTCAGTCCTCCTCCTGCTCCTCCTCCTGCTCCTCCTCCTGGGTCCTCCTCCTGGGTCCTCCTCCTGGGTCCTCCTTCTCCTCCTCAGTCCTTCTCCTCCTCCTCCTCTGTCCTCCTCCTCATCGGTCCTTCTCCTCAGTTATCCTCCTCCTGGGTCCTCCTCCTCTTTAGTCCTTCTCCTCCTCCTCAGTCCGCCTCCTTCTCCTCACCAGTCCTCCTCAGTCCTCCTTCTCCTCCTCCTCAGTTCTCTTCATCCACCTCCTTCTCCTCCTCATCAGTCCTCCTCAGTCCTCCTCCTCAGTCCTCCCCCTCCTCCTCAGTCCTCCTCCTTAGTCCTCCTCCTCCTCCTCCTCCTCTTTTTTCAATTATGATCATCTTTTGTAATCAGTTCAATGATAATACATCTTAGTAAACTTCCGGTTTTGAAAATCTGGTGGCAATACTTGCAATCGATATCTCCTTTCAAGATGAACTTTGAAAGGTCCGCTACTGCAACTACTCAACTACTCAACTACTCTGTAGGAATATTTCAGGGATCCAATATAAATGTGGCCTTTACCAAATGAGCAACTAATGTTTTCCTGTCGAAGTATGGAAACTTCTATCTATGCCATTTACGAAAACTAAAGTGCAAAATTTGGTTATTAACAAAACCATTTCGTATTGTTAAAAACCGATCGAGTTTCGTATTTATGCTTTGATGAGTAAAATTTGTGACATAAAAAAAATTAACTTTATTTTTATCGGCGGGATTACGTGGAATTTGGCGGGATTACGTGGAATTTGGCGGGATTTGGCGGGATTACGCGGGATTTGGCGGGATTACACGGGATTTGACGGGATTACGCGGGATTACGCGGGATTTGGCGGGATTACGCGGGATTTGGCGGGATTTGGCGGGATTAGCGGGATTGGCAGGGTTAGGTGTTGCACCCCGCCTTTAGTAGGTCGGATCGTGTGGTTGAATAACATTTCAGTCATCTGAAGCTCAGATAGTTTTATTGTTTAAACAAGCAGCTCTTTAACAGAATATCTCGTTTTTCGCAACTTTTTCGAGGGATCAGGTTTCTATGTACATTGATGCACAATCCGATTTTTTGATGTAATAACGTTTCTTCATTCCTTTTTTATTCGAATTTGATAAGCTGTGCATGAATTTAAGTTGTATTTGTATTTGTATAATATGTTTATTGAGTATTGAGTATTGAAGATCATGAATTAAATTCATTATTTGTTATCAAACTTGTAAATCATGTCATCCAATCTTATATCACTAGATTTACGTTGTAGTTTTCTTATTGTTCTTTTAAAATAATGGCGACATTAATTGTAAAACTTTGGAAAACATATTTGAAAACGTTTCACGCTTATAACTAGGGATCATCGTGTACATTTCACCGTACACTAGATAATACACAACGTTCACTATTATATATGGTGAACTATATGGTACACTGTACTGTTCACTTTACCGTTATATGGTGAACTATATGGTACACTGTACTGTTCACTGTACCGTTAAATGTACCGTTAAATGTATCACACGACGCAAGTCAGGCAGATTTAATATTTCACGATTACCAGCTACATAGTGGATCTAAGTAATACATGGATAAGATAACCACTGAAACGATGGCGAATACACCAATCAGCAATCACATTGCTATTTCTGAGTTTTTATCCAGTCTTTATAATCACGAGCTTTTTGATTTTATGTGTTCCTTTAAACTGGACAGTTATAGGGTTATACTGTATAGGATTCTGTGGAATATGATAATAAATATGGTCATAGAGGGAGTTATGTGCCTCGCCGGGCTAAAGTAGTGGATGACCTTGCTGTACGGCAAGTTAAACAAGGATCTGAAACTACTAGGTTCCGTACAGACTCAACTCTGCACCCGTGTCAATATGTTCATTATATGCAAGCCTCTTGATTTATAATCACCGAGTCTAGTAATTGTTTAAGAGAGTTCTCTGGCAGTTACGAAACTCGAGAGACTGTGGGATACTGAAGGGAAAGGAAGCAGTTCTAACGAGCTCTTCTCAAACACAAGGATATATTCTTGTGAACTCGGCTAGTATATATGAAACATTTGTCATGGAGTTGTAGAGGGAGTTATGTGCCTCGCCGGGCTAAAGTAGTGGATGACTTTGATGTACGGCAAGTTAAACAAGGATCTGAAACTACTAGGTTCCGTACAGACTCAACTCTGCACCCGTGTCAATATGTTCATTATATGCAAGCCTCTTGATTTATAATTCGTTTAGATGATTAAGAGTTGAGAGTACAAATATCTAGTGTAGACATTACTCTCAGCAGTAAAATCAGTACGTGCGAAAGTAAATAATTCAGCTTAATCTATTGTCTTAGTTGTATATTATATAAGTATGACCCGACCCTCTCTCTCTTTCTTGAACCTCAGCTACATCCAGCATAACTAAGCCTGATCTGATTTCAGCTAACAAATGACAAATAGGAAGCTAAATTCAATCAGTAACAGTAATTTGATCGCCAACTGGTTGCTGGGCCGTTGCCCATTATACATTGTACAATGTACATCTGGTATATCTTTACTATCTATACTAATAATCCCAATAAATCTGTGGGTGTGTACGTGTGTAATTTCCGAACGGCTTAATCAAGAAAACGGTTAGAGTTATGGGACTGGTTTTTGGTAAAGTTTCGACAAAACTTCGACGAAGCAAATAAACAATTTTTTTTAATCGGCCGGTGGTAAGTGGTCTAATTGCTTAATTGATGGTTTTGTACCCCAAATATGATACTAAAGTGTCGCACTTGTTCTCCCCCTCAGACTCTCTCACTCTCTCTCTCTCTCTCTCTCTCTCTCTCTCTCTCTCTCTCTCTCTCTCTCTCTCTCTCTCTCTCTCTCTCTCTCTCTCTCTCTCTCTTTTTCTTTCTCTCTCTCTCTCTCTCTCTCTTTCTCTCTCTCTTTCTCTCTCTCTCTCTCTCTCTCTCTCTCTCTCTCTCTCTCTCCCCCTCTCTCTCTCTCTTCCTCTCTCTCTGTCTCTCTCTTTCTCTCTCTCTGTCTCTCTCTCTCTATCTCTCTGTCTCTCTCTCTGTCTCTCTCCCTCTATCGCAGTTGAAATGCAAAAGTATATACCTGCCTATTATAATCGAAAACACGCATTACATTCTCGTAGTGAAAACGGTGCGAAAGTATGAACTCGCGCATCCCAAACATACGATAATTTAATTCTGAGTGCCCCTCACATATCTAATAGTAATACCTTAATACTTGATAGGCAATCTTTAATCTTGAGGTCCCCTGCCAAATTACCTAATTATATAGCAAATTTATTATGAGGGGAGAGAGATAGCGAGAGTTAGAGAGTACACACACACACACACTTTAGTATCACATTTGGGTCACAAAAGATGAATTATTAAACCCCTTACCACCGACCGATTTAAAAAACCTGTATCATTTGGCTTCGTCAGAGTTTTCTCGGCACTATACCGAAAAAACCAGCAACGTAACTCTTACCGTTTTCTTGATTAAACCGTTTAGAAATTTCCCACAGACAGACAGACAGACAGACAGACAGACAGACAGACAGACAGACAGACAGACAGACAGACAGACAGACAGACAGACAGACAGACAGACAGACAGACAGACAGACAGGTACAGACACACACACATCTTGAGATTATTGTTTAAGATATATATAAATATATCTCTATTTAGTCTCTCTCTCTCTCTCTTTTCCTTTTCTCTCTCTCTCTCTCTCTCTCTCTCTCTCTCTCTCTCTCTCTCTCTCTCTCCCCCATTAACAGCTACCATAATTACAGCTTTGTACGTAATTAGGCTATTTGGCAGTGGAGCCTATTAAGTATTACCAGTTATCCCAATAAATCTGTGCTTGTGTACGTGTCACGTGTGTAATTTCCGAACGGCTTATTCAAGAAAACGGCTCCCCTAATTACAGCTTTGTACATAATTAGGCAATTTGGCAGTGGAGCCATTACCATTGGATACGTGTTTGGCACTCAGAATTAGATTTACTCTAATGCGGCAGGTTTCAACTGAGCGAGTTCATACTTATGCACCGTTTATACTTTTGCAATTCAACTGCAATTATAGTGAAGTCCCAGCCGTAGGCACGGTTTACACTAGTAATGTAGATAAGTAAACAATCTTGTGGTCATCTTCACTATAATGACATATTAGAACTTAAAAGTTCATTAACGTCTTAGTAGGGTTCCATTGTGTAGTAATTCAGGGTGTTTAGTATTTACCGCTCTCTGCTAACTAGGAAGAAGAATAATATTTCTAATCAGATCCTGTAGGGTCCACGTACACAGTGGGGGCATTTTTTTAAAAGACGCTTTATGTTTCGTTGCTAGTTTATATTGCCTTTGTGCTCTGTAGTCAACATGTTTCTCAGTTTTGAACTAGAAAAAGGGCACCGTTAGAACCATTTCCTTCGCTTTACCATGAGAATGTACTTAATCAATCCTTAATTCAATTAATAATTTATACTTACTTTTTCACATTCCAGGAAATGTAAATTTCTCCTGGAAATTACTGCGAACGTTTCTTGGCTTTCCCTTAATGATGGAGCAGAATGTTGAAGATGATGAACTCTGCTCTTCAGCCGGCACAATAGAGATGGAACTGAAGTCTGAACTTGAAGATATCAAAACTGAAAATGAAGACACTTGCTACGAATTCATTGAGGATCCATGGGCTGGCCAAAATCCGAATAATGTTAACAATTTATCAAATCTGGAAGAATGTTTGGCCTTTCCACTATCTTCAATTATTCCAGCTCATATAACAGCCCCTAGTGCAACCCAGGAGAATCATTCGTTGGAAGCACTTAGATGTCACAGTTGTTCATACTTATGTTACTCAGAAGCAGACTTGGTACTGCACGAAAATACCCATACCTTGAAACAATGCTCAGAATGTTCATTTACAACAATCAGTAAAGCTGATTTAGATAATCACTGGAAGAAAGTACACAAAGGCAGAAAAATACACAATTGTCAGAAGTGCGGGTTTTCTTCAAAGTACAAGGCAGGGCTTTCTAGTCACATGAGAAGTCGTCACTTTGATGAAAAACCTTTCAAATGTTCAGAGTGTGGCAAGTTGTTCTCTTTAAAAGTTGGTCTTGTTAACCACATGAAGGCACATGAACGTCAACGTCAAAAACTGAAATGTTTGCTGTGTCCTTTTACCACTCTTGACAAATCCACTTTCGAAGAGCACCAAAAAATCCACGAGAAACTATTTAAATGTCCAGATTGTTCCTACTCTAGTGATCGTAAGTCATTGCTGGTTTGTCATCTAGCTACTCATTCTGGTATCAAACCGTTCAAATGCGAATACTGTCCTTTTACTACAGCAAGAAAAGATTATATAAAAATTCATCAGAATACACACACTGGTGAAACACTGTTTCCCTGTTCAGAATGTTCCTATGTTGGACGTTCCAGGCACAACCTTAGGAGGCACCGACAAACTCACTCGACTAACAATGATAAACCTTTTAAATGCCCTACCTGTTCATATGCCACCAAACGTAGATCTACTCTTGCTCGTCATACAAATATACACTTAACTGTAAAGCCATTCAAATGTCCATGTTGTCCTTATGCTTCTGCCGACATAGCGTCTCTAAACAGGCACAGAAATAAACACAGTGACACTGAATGTTCATTTGTTGGTGACACAGCTGCTTTAAAAAACCATCAGCTATGTCACATTAGTCGGGGTAAACAGTACAAATGTCCTGATTGTCCGTACGCTACATACAGAAATCAGCTTTTTATAATTCACCGGAGGAGGCACACAGGAGAAAGACCATTCAAATGTAAAATGTGCAAATATAGTACTACCTCCAAATCAGTTCTGGTCCTCCACCAATCCCGACACTCCAACACAAAACAACACAAATGTCCTCGATGTCCTTTCAGAACTTTAAAGAAGGCTGCTTTAGCCGCTCATAAGAAGACTGAGAATCACGAGCTACCAAAACCATTTAAGTGTGCAGTATGTCCATACGTGGCTGCATTTAAATCACTCCTTGTTCGACATGAAACCAGACACTCTGGAGAAAAGCCGTTTAAATGCAAGCTTTGTTCCTTTGCTTCCTCTACCAAAAGGCATCTTGGCTTCCATCAAAGTCACCACACTGGAGTTAAACCATTAAAGTGCAAAGAATGTTCTTATGCTACTGTGTCCAAATCAAGCTTAAATTTACATGAAAAGATACATTGGGCAGAAAAACCGTTAAAGTGTGAGGAGTGTCCGTATACTTGTGTCCAAAATGCTGCTCTTGTAGTTCATCGTAGGACACATACCGGTGAAAAGCCTTTTAAATGCCCAGATTGCCCCTATGCTGGTGCTCAAAGATCTTCCGTTATCTTTCATCGAAGAAACAAACATGGTAATGGAGAAAAACCAAAGAAAACTTTCAAATGTTCCGAACCTGGTTGTGACTATGCCACGGTTATGAAATGTACTCTTGTAATCCACACGAGGAGTCACACTGGCGAAAAACCATTTCAATGTTCAGACTGTGAATATGCAGCGGCTTCTAAGGGGGATCTAAATAAACACCAGAGAATCCACACTGGCGAGAAACCCTTTAAGTGTCCTGATTGTAACTACGCATCCACTCAAACTTCCAGTCTTGCCACACACCGGAAGAAAAAACATCCAGTTAAAGAGTAGGTCTTATTGTTAAGTAGTTGTTGAGCAGTTGTTAAAGGCGAAAAGGTCTATATTTCTAGATAGTATTAACGCCCACTGATATTCCAAGACATCTGCAGTATTATGTTCACTTGCTTATCGCTGACTTTTGTTGCTATTTTTATAAATCTCATTTTTATACAGCTCATTAGAGATATTTTATGAACCTGCAGAGCTTTAATGGGATCGAGTTATTAACCGTCTCTTATATTATTGTTAAAATGTTTGCATGAAATCCTGGCTGCCTGACTGTATGCTTTTTATGTTTTCATTATTATTTTTTATTAAACAATTTTATTGGAAATATCATTTATAATTTGTACTAGAGTAGCTTAACAATTGAAACATGCATAGTGAAATCCTATTCATATTACAGAATTAAAATTGCTGTTGTTGAGTACACAAATGGAACAAATATTAATGTTAACTAACACACTGAAAATAACGATAGGAATAAAATTATACATAACTTGTAACTTGTTTATTCTAGAACTAATTAAATTTTAATTCCTACCCTTTTCCCTTCTTCGATCGTTTCTAAATAAATAAATAGCAGTCGTTCGCGTTGCTATGACACTGAGAGGCCGGTCAAAGTTTGTAATTAGCAACTACTAAATATTATATCGTTCTCTAATTACACAATTACACGCAAATTAGACTTATTTCAACAGACCCCGGTTAAGGAAAATATCATAAGTCTCGCTGTGTTATCCAAGGAGTAATCAAACATGGGCTTACTGTGTGCACCTTATTAACGACCTTATTAATTAAGCACCTTACATAACGTAGCATAGATTTAAAAAACTAAATCGTACGTTTATCACCTTAAATAGTATCACTGATCACAAGACAATATAACTTTCAGATTTATGTCGATGGAGATCTTTACCGAGAGTGAGCTGTAGCGGCAGTTCTTGAACCATCAGCTTTTATTTTCCTTCTTTGTTTTGAACATGTCTCAAATTCTACAGCTTGTGTTCAGGGTATCTGCCTTCTGGTTCCTCGTCAACCTCATTCACATCCTCCTTACCAAGCTACTAGGAGAGAAGTATAACTTTTACCTCTCCAGAAACGGCATATTCATCAAATTTGTGCAACTGCAATGGCACACAAAACGCTTTAACTCAACAATAATGGAAGGGTTCGTCCGGCGGTACAGCTCTAAGATAGCTTTGTGGTTTACTTGTGGGGCGTATTTCGGGATTATCGCAATGTTCTCCTCCATCTTCATTCTAATGTACACTTTCGTGGTTTCATTCGTTAAAGATACAGAAGACTCAAGTAAGATTCTCACACCAGTTGTCCCTGGTGTCAACTTACCCAACAGCCAGATAGTCCCTTATCTTTTAACTCTTCTTGTTTCTGGAATATTCCACGAGTATGGTCACGCTCTAGCTGCAGCCAGGGAGGGTGTGTCCATGTATGGGGCCGGTTTGTTCATGTTCCTGATATACCCAGCTGCTTTTGTAGATCTAAACACGGAGTCACTGAAATGTTGTGACGCCTTCCAGAGACTGAGGATATTTTGCGCGGGAGTTTGGCATAACTGTATTATGATGGTTGGAGCTTATGTTATATGGACTTCTCTACCTTTCACACTTTTCTTCCTTGGTTACACGAAGGAACATGCAGTCACCGTCACATCAGTTGATCACGGTACAGCTCTATTTAACCAAGTTTACTCTGGAACTAAGATCTACACTGTCAATGACTGTCCTGTGATCGATAAAGTTACATGGGGACAGTGTCTGTGGAAAACGTACGATAAAACTCAACTCATGGGAAACTGTGCAGACAGTTCCATCTTATCAGACCTGAAATCAAACACAGACTGCTGCCAAGAAGGGGTGACATCACCTAAAAGTGTTTGCTTCAACAGCACGCTAGACTCACAATGTCTCCACGCCCGACGTGTACTAGATCAACTAACCTGCAGTACAGATTCAGACTGTAGTGCAGGACACTGTTATAAACCGCACACAAGTGAGGGGTATCTCCTGCAACTCATACACTCGTCCTCAGAGGAGACTGCACTGTTTATAGGGGACCCCTCTCACTTGTACTATACTATACATCTCTCTGATTACTCCTCGAGGTGGTTCTGGGCGGAGGTGCCCAACTGTATTGAGATCTTTATGATTTATATTGTATCTCTGTCCGGAGCACTTGCTATTTTCAATGCTGTCCCGGCGTTTTATCTCGATGGGCAGCATATGTTAGACGCTTTTCTTGAGTTTGTTATTGGTCAGAGCGGTTACCGAGTATCTTCAAGTATAATTGGTAACTTTTCTTTTGTAATACAGCTATTTTCAACAGTTTTAATTGCTATCAATGTCATCAATGCTTTTATATCCGTTTGCGTTATGTATCAGTAAGAACTAAGAATGGGCAATAAGTTTGATACTCAGCAGCTTGTGTTTTGTTTCAATAAATAATTTAATATTAAGTATGATAAGATTAATTTTTTTCGTTATTTCAGACATCCAGGGTTATTAAAAGTTTATTTTTGAATGATGTTATTTTCATCAATCATTTTGATTTTATAATATGTTAATGTTGTCTTTATTGGAATCCTGAAACTGTAAATACCAAATAAAAATAAAAATGCGGTCGATAAAAAAGGCATCATGTAGCCGGTGGGCCTGACATGATACGACATATCTTGACACGTCGGGGTTTGTCGGGATTTGTCAGGGTTTGTCGGGGTTTGTCGGGGTTTGTCGGGGTTTGTCAGGGTTTGACGGGGTTTGACGGGGTTTCCGGTTTGTCGAGCCTGGAGGCTTTTTTTTTTTTTTTTTTTTTTGAGTCTCCCAACAAAAAGCCGAGACGGAGTCATCAAGCTTTACGTGGAAAAACACTATACAAGAAGGCCTCATGTAGCCGGTGGGCCCGAGGCAAAACCCCTCGACAAACCCCGTTTGTCGGGGTTTGTCGGGATATGTCGGGGTTTTTCGGGGTTTGTCGAGCCTGGAGGTTACATGATGCCTTAAAAAGGATAAGTCTCAAAAAAAGAAATACGGATTAAATTTTGATTGTATGAAATTGATTCCATTCAGATTTAATTACATTGCATTATGATATTTGACTATCATTAACATCAGTTATCACTACTTTGCAGGGAATGACATGATGTTGTCATGTGCTGGGGGTATCAGAGTCGCTAATCAGACTGTCTACTCAATATGCCGTCGTCAACTCTACTCCTCATCAAAACCTAAACTCTCCCCAAAAACACTAACTCAATACTTCACTAAACACAACATAGTCTCTCTCGCCACAACACCCGGACGGTTTTACAACTCACTTACAATCGACCAGAAATCTAGACTTGTAGGCTACTGGTTGTTAGGATGCTGCGGGCTGGTCGCTACAACTGTCAGCGTGGGAGGCGTCACACGTCTGACTGAATCAGGACTCTCCATGACTGATTGGAAGTTTGCCGGGAGACGAGCCCCACGAAATGCTGAAGAATGGAATGTTGAGTTTGACAAGTACAAAGCTTCTCCTCAGTGGAAATACGATGTGGTGAACAGCGGGATGACGTTGAGAGAGTTTAAGTTTATCTGGTATATGGAGTGGGGACACCGTCACCTGGGACGTGTTATTGGCACGTGTGTCGTGTTCCCAACTCTAGCTCTACTTACGCGACCCTGGATCAGTACCAATCTGAAGTTGAGATTAGTTGGGTTTAGTGGTCTGGTCACATTCCAGGGATTCTTGGGGTGGTATATGGTGAAGAGTGGACTTGAGGATCATCCTGAGAGCACTGACATTCCTAGGTGAGCCTATTTGTTGTTGTTTAAAAGCTTGAAGTGAAATCTATGTTAAATACACATTTTTATCTGAACTTAAAACGTTCTAGTAGAAATTTTATGATAAGCCTTATTAATGAGCTTAAGTTTACTAACTAATTAACCAACTCCCCTTAATTAGTTTACTAATTTACTAACCTCCTCCTCCTCCTCAGAGTGTCCCAATACCGGCTAGCCTCCCACCTCGGGTCCGCCTTCCTCCTCTACCTCAGCATGTTCAAGACCTCAATGGAGATCCTACTTCCTGTAGAACACTCCATGTCACCAGCACTACAAGCTCTCCGGAGATGGAGTGGCGGGGTTGCTGGTCTCGCATTCCTCACTGCTATCTCTGGTGCGTTTGTAGCAGGACTGGACGCCGGACTTGTTTATAACTCCTACCCAAAGTTCGCGGACAGATGGATACCCACCGATCTGATTGTTTTCACCCCGGCCTGGAAGAACTTCTTCGAGAACACCACCACAGTCCAGTTTGACCACAGGTTCCTGGGTCACTCCCTCCTCCTCGGTATCTGCGCTGTCTGGATAATGTCCCGACCTCTGGTGTTACCCAGCAGAGCGGGGATAGCTGTGCACGCTCTCATGGGTATGGGGTGGGTACAGGTAGGCTTGGGTGTCAGTACGTTACTGTTACACGTGCCAACCTGGCTGGCAGCTACTCATCAGCAAGGTAGCTTAGTTTTACTGACTTTAGCTGCTTGGTTACACCATGAACTTGGCAAGAAGAGGATTAAGTTGTTTAAGAAGAGTTAATGTAGGGGAGTATGAAGTTCTCTTTAATTAAGACAAAATAACATGTGACCGTGTGTGTAGTTTGGACTGGACAGAAAAGCAGTAAATCAGTTATTTTTGAGTGGTGACCCTCCTGAGAGTACTCAAGAGAAATAAAGCTGTTTCATAGTTTAATTCGTATTGCTAAGTGGCCTAGCCCTTGACCCTGAGTTAACACAACGAATTAAACTATTGTAATGTGTTTATTTATTGTTTTCGATGGTATTTGAATTTTAGGTTAGATTGAGAGAGAATTTAGTCGTTCACTTTTCTTTTTTTTATAGCAATCTGTATTTATTGACTTCTCACAGAAAATAAAGTAATCAGAAAGATTTTTATCCGCCATTTCAAATTATCACAATGTTTACAAAATGTTTTAAATTAGGCTGTTCGAGTAACAGTAATGCTAATTTACAAAAATATAAATTATATAAAGTTGTGCAATTAAAATCCGCTTAACTTATAAACTTTCATCAGTTATTAATGCTAATATGGGTGATGTTGATTTTACTTGCAACTACACCGTGCTATGGTGTTAAAATTAACGTTAAAGTAGTAGAGTCTCACTCACAAATTGGTCAAGGTAGGTTTTAGTGATTATTAAGATTAATTTCAAATACGTACTTTATAATACGTAATTGATTTTAAATTACGTTATACGTACTACCATTCTAGTTGTTAGAAGTATCTTGACTTATGTCACCCATTTCTCCACCCTGAATATTTACATTGTTAATGTACAGTGTACGTATAAGTACTTGTAAATGTACGTGTATTACAGACAAAAGGTTGAATTGGTATTTATTCAGGACAACTCGGGAACTTTAGAGGTGGAGCCAGCAAATTGACAGCGTCACGTGACCCAGCGGCTCTGTGTGCACATCCTGCCCTTTCTCAGATCCTGGGGAAGTGTTATGATATTGAGGTTTGTTAAACTATTCGGACTGTTTTCATTTAATTTTGCACGTTATTTTACACGCGATGTTTTTGTAGCATCCAGTATTCATTAGTAGTACAGGAAAATAATGTAATTAGGAAAATAATTTACCTTACTCGGGATTATTATGACCGGGATAAAGTGGTGGGTTTAGGGTAACTAGCAGGAACCCGTGAAATATAGCCCTAAACGGTGTCAAGACTCAAGATACTGAAATAATTATTACCTATTTAATTGGCGTTTTTGACACCACTTGGGGGTCCAAATTTTCGGCTCTAAAATCATTATTCCTCGGCCAATTTTTTATTTTTTCATGCTGATTTGGAGGATATTAAAGCATTTGACCCAGCCAAAAAAGTTTCAGTTGTATATCTTTTACGGTTTTTGCAGAAAGTTGCGTTAAAGTCGATGCCGTGGTGTCAGTAAAATGGCACAGATATATATATATATATCGTCTCGCTTTATATATAGTAAGATTTTGCCATATTTTTCCCGAACCACATTTTCACCGGTCGTTAATAAACCCGCCTACTCAGCTTTTAGGGTTCCCAAGGGGTATGGGTGCTCATATTTTAATCGTTGTCTTATATTCACTAAAGAAGACTATTGGGACACTTGTTGTAGGTTTTTCGACTTCATTTGGCTAAAATTGCAAAAAATTCACCTTTTTGCCCAATTCTTGTCATATATCCTTATTGTCAAATTTGATTTAAATAGGCCAATTTTTAATTTCTTAGGTATTGACTATCTCTACATAATGAAATAGGACTCAAAGTAAAAGTAACAGTTAAATTAAAACTTGAATTAATTAAAACTGATGAAAGGGATGATCCAGATGAAGATAACGAAGATGATTACAACTTATTGGAAGACTGAACAGCTCTCCCTTTATCTTAATATCGATCTGGTTGTTACGCTTCAAATGTTAAAAATTATTTTCCATCTAGTTTGATTAACCACGAGTCATTATTTCTGTCTACTTTCAACACTTATTGATAATTCGACTTGTTTCACAAGTTTTACTTTTAGCAATGCGAAAATTTCTAAACTTGCTTATCTCTAATAAGGAAATTTACATCTGAGAAAAAATTTTTGAATCTAAAATTGAAAGGTTGGACACCGGTAAAATGGCGACCGGGAAAATGTGGTGGGTTTTGAGCAATGTCGCCATATTTTTCCCGAAACATATTTTAACCGGTCGTTAATAAACCCGTCGTAATAATCCCGAGTAAGGTAATCAAGTTTACCTTGCATTTACTTATTTTAAATTCTCTTTCAGGTAGCTGAGTACAAGTATGCAGTGTGTCCTTTTCACAATATAACCCAACATGAAGTAGCTCTGAAGTGGAACGCTTACCACGGCATCTTAGGTATGTGAGTTAGGAGGGCACATTCCTGATAATCCTCAGATCACGATTGTATCGAAAAATCCATTAGCGCCTAACATAATGTGTTGCTTTAACAAAACAACAATAGGCTGTAATGACTATAGTCAGAGACGAAACGGAATCTCGTTAGCTTTTCGTGTTAAAAGCGATTTCTCAACGGTTATCACCTCTCTAGATGATTCTCAAAACATTTTGACACTATTGCATTTTTGAAAAAAATGCAATAGTGGCGTTTTCGGCCATACCCTTTTTCAGGGTTTTGCGGTCAGTCGAATTTTTGTATTTCAGTCCAGGAAGGTCTTAAAGACTATTCCGATACACCAAAATGTGCCTAATAGCCATATTTATATACAACTTATGAAGCAACATATACCTTAAAATGCTTCGTTTCGGAAATATGGCCGAAAAACGGTTTTTGGCTTGACGCAGTTCATAATTTCCGTGATTTTTGGCATTTCCGCCTAGGAAGGTCGTAGAGACTATTCCGATACACCAAAATGTACATAATGGCCACATTGATATACAACTTATGAAGCAACATATACCCTAAAAGGCTTATTTTCGGAAATATGGCTGAAAAACGGATTTTTGCCGAGCGAAAATAACAATATCCACAAATGGGCTATTTGACTGTTAACTAGAAAGGTCTTAAAGACTCATGAGCATTTGTCACAAGATTTAAGATGACTCACTTTGTGTCCAGAAACTCCTACAAAAATTGGAGAATGATCTAGGTACTTTATTGGGCATCTCTCTTAATGCTTTAATGGGCCAAGCCAGCAGCATATTTGTGTCTTACGAAAGGGCAATTTTTCAAAATTACGGTTTCTTAAGGTCAAAGGGTCGGCTGCTAACAGCAAATTGTTCGCAATTGCCGACTCATGCACCTCATATAGTTATACTGAAAAACGCTCACTTTAGGAGTCATCAGTAAATAAGTTTAACTACTGCATGATTTGTGAAAACTCCAACAATTAATTTTCATTGGCACCAATTTAGCCAAAATGTAATGACCAGAATTCAACTTTTGATTTATTTCCTGATTCCATGAAACCATGATATATACTAAGAATACCGGACCTAAAATAATTTGGCACTGGATCCGGGCCAGACTGTTGCTTGACCACTGACCAGTACCCCACTTTATAATTATAATTGACTTCACTGCCTCGACCAATTATATTGGTCTGTAATCCCTGGATTGAGATCTGTTGGCTGCAGTTTAATTTAGCTCATTTACCATAATAGTAATACCGCAGTGCAGTGGTTTGGTTCGCATATATTTTCCCATCGTATGATAATTGATAATGTGTGTCATTCCCTCGTTTTTTATCAATTGGTTACTGGCTGTCTCTTTTGTTGTTACAGCTGCCTCGACATCTTATCTAGGGCACTAATACATTAGTACTAGAACATTAGAACTGTAATTCTGGAATTACTTCAGATTAAGATTTCTTGGCCGAATGGCAGGGTTCGAGATTCGACTCTAAAACGTTCAGTTTAGGAGTGATTAGTAGATAACAACTGCATGGTATGGGAAAAATCCAACTAGTCAAGGATCATGCTGAATCAAAGTGTTCCTCGACTTGAACTTAAGTCTTGTAACCTACTGGAGTTTGGGCCACTGAACAAAATACGACCTGATATTAATTTAAGGATGTCGGGAAATTCATTAAGATTTTTAATCTTTGGTTTTTCAATTGTGCTACGAATCCGAGTTTGAGTTGATAACACCGAATTTCCTGTTTGAGTCTCAAAGAGAGGAACCAAGGCTTAGGTTCCTCTTTTTGGCTCTGAGATCCAACTTTAAGATCGAACTTCGGAGATCCTCACGTTGGAAATCAAGTAAGTGTAACATCAGTACCGGAGATCAGACTTTTTTGCTTGATATTGGACCTTTAAATCTAATTATATACCTTACTCGGGATTATTACGACGGGTTTATTAACGACCGGTTAAAATATGGATCGGGAAAAATATGGCGAAATTGCTCAAAACCCACCACAATTTCCCGGTCGCCATTTTACCGGTGTCCAACCTTTCAATTTTAGATTCAAAAATTTTGTCTCAGATGTAGAAAGTAGACAGAAATAATGACTCGTGGTTAATCAAACTAGATGGAAAATAATTTTTAACATTTGAAGCGTAACAACCAGATCGATATTAAGATAAAGGGAGAGCTGTTTAGTCTTCCAATAAGTTGTAATCATCTTCGTTATCTTCATCTGGATCATCCCTTTCATCAGTTTTAATTAATTCAAGTTTTAATTTAACTGTTACTTTTACTTTGAGTCCTATTTCATTATGTAGAGATAGTCAATACCTAAGAAATTAAAAATTGGCCTATTTAAATCAAATTTGACAATAAGGATATATGACAAGAATTGGGCAAAAAGGTGAATTTTTTGCAATTTTAGCCAAATGAAGTCGAAAAACCTACAACAAGTGTCCCAATAGTCTTCTTTAGTGAATATAAGACAACGATTAAAATATGAGCACCCATACCCCTTGGGAACCCTAAAAGCTGAGTAGGCGGGTTTATTAACGACCGGTGAAAATGTGGTTCGGGAAAAATATGGCGAAATTACCCTAAACCCACCACTTTATCCCGGTCATAATAATCCCGAGTAAGGTATTCGAAACAGCACGGGAATTAAACAGGAGTTAAATTAAACAGGGATTAAACATGCACGGGATGTAACCAAGGTTAAGTGAGATGAGATATACCAGCTTTCGGGGTTACAAAACCCCATGAAAGGCAGGCATAGCATCCTAAATCCTCAAGCTATCCTCACGTTGACCATCTAGGCCTAGGTCCAGACTCCAGCCTCTCATTATAAACCAGCTATTAGGCCCGAGATCCGTAGTGTCCCATAAGTAAGAGATCGTTCAGATTTTGATCCCCTCCCAGCTCTAAAGTCCACTTTACCCAAAGCTGGAAAAATTTCACATGTGAAACCTCAATAGCTAAATCAGCATCTCGAGACCTTCTATTATACAGGGTGGGCCAAAAGTCAGTACACATACGTTGGGTCTTATACCTCCGCCGTGTTTTATATTTTAGAGTTGAACTTGCTTTGCAGATGGCATACTGTACCTACTTGTTGATGTTCGAGGATATATATATATATATAGCCCATGCCCCAGATAAGATCCTGAGGCAGCTCACAACTATAATAATAGAAGAACTAGTGAACTAGCCAGTCACCACTTGATTAAAAAACGAGGGAATGACACGCAATATCATTATCATACGATGGGAAAATCTATGCGACTGAAAAAAAGAATATGTGGTCATTCTGAAGTGGGAACCAAACCACTGCGGTATTATAGGAAATTAGCTAAATTTAACTGCAGCCAACAGATCTGAGATCTCAATCCAGGGATTACAGACCAATATTGGTCGAGGCAGCGAAATCAATCATAATTATAAAGTGGGGTACTGGTCAGCGGTCAAGCAACAGTCTGGCCCGGATTCAGTGCCGATTTATTTTAGGCCCGGTATTCTTGGTACATATATCATGGTTTCATGGCAAGAATAAATAAAAAGTTTGAAGTTGAATTTTGGTTTGGCACACATTCTATTTAAATCATGGTGCCAATGAAAATTAATTGTTGGAGTTTTCACAAATCATGCAGTAGTTAAACTTATTTACTGATGACTCCTAAAGTGAGCGTTTTTCAGTATAACTATATGAGGTGCATGAGTCGGCAATTGCGAACAATTTGCTGTTAGCAGCCGACCCTTTGACCTTAAGAAACCGTAATTTTGAAAAATTGCCCTTTCGTAAGACACAAATATGCTGCTGGCTTGGCCCATTAAGAGAGATGCCCAATAAAGTACCTAGATCATTCTCCAATTTTTGTAGGAGTTTCTGGACACAAAGTGAGTCATCTTACATCTTGTGACAAATGTTGCTCATGAGTCTTTAAGACCTTTCTAGTTAACAGTCCAATAGCCCATTTGTGAATATTGTCATTTTTCGCTCGGCAAAAATCCGTTTTTCAGCCATATTTCCGAAAATAAGCCTTTTAGGGTATATGTTGCTTCATAAGTTGTATATCAATGTGGCCATTATGTACATTTTGGTGTATCGGAATAGTCTCTACGACCTTCCTAGGCGGAAATGCCAAAAATCACGGAAATTATGAACTGCATCAAGCCAAAAACCGTTTTTCGGCCATATTTCCGAAACGAAGCATTTTAAGGTATATGTTGCTTCATAAGTTGTATATAAATATGGCTATTAGGCACATTTTGGTGTATCGGAATAGTCTTTAAGACCTTCCTGGGCTGAAATACAAAAATTCGACTGACCGCGAAACCCTGAAAAAGGGTGTGGCCGAAAACGCCACTATTGCATTTTTTTCAAAAATGCAATAGTGTCCAAATGTTTTAAGAATCATCTAGAGAGGTGATAAACGTTGAGAAATCGCTTTTAACACGAAAAGCTAACGAGATAGCCTTTTAGAACGGTTGGGATCCGACTACTAATGCAAATGGGTATTTAGTTTACTATAGCTACAAACCATAATCTATTCTTAGAAAACTAAATTCCAGGTATTTGGTCACACTGGAGCTACGACTCTCTCTACTCCACCCTAACCCACGGTCACTACACGGACGGTGACACGTGCACAAAAGACACCAAGACAATCCCGCGCATCGCGCTTCTTCACCACACGTGCGGGAAACAAACACGTGTAACCAGCGTGACGGAACCAGATACTTGTCACTATAACATAACGTTACAATCTCCTCTGTTTTGTCACGATGTGTTCAGTGATGTGTACAGTGCTTTACCGGAGGGTGAGCAGGGGGATTTTGCTAGATCTACTCAGGAGTTTCAACATAATTTGTTAACTGAGGAGGGGTTAAGAGTGGAGAGAAGGGAGATACTGGAGAGAGTTGGGTGTTTGACTATGAGAAAGGAATTTAAAGATCTCGAGGAATGTGGGAATGAATACCATGATTTGAATAAAAAGCATAAGGAGTTGAGTGAAAGTTGTGATAAAAATGATGATGAAGAAAAGTATAAAGAACTGCAAAGTAGATACGAGGATTTGATGAGGGTATTGAGCGAGAATGGATTAGTATTTCCAGATGAAGTATGATTTATTAATGATCATGATTGCTTTTTATTGATTACTTTAAACTTTGGGTTTACGATATAAAGACAGATTTTTGTGGATGATTTTTATTTTGTTTGTTTGATTGTTTATTAGCTTAATTTATTGATTTTCTGTTAACAACTTCTAGTTTAACTTGAGTGTTCATAAACATACAACTGATGTATCTAATACCCTTTGTTAGATCTTGACTACCTCAAAATCAGTTCTATCAGTCCAAAATATCCGTCGATGATAATTACAATTTTACATTATATGATACATCTAAAAAGGCCAACAAATGTACCTCATATTCAAGGCTACATCATGATTCGACGAGAGTTAACGTTAGTGAATCACCGTATCGAACATTTAAATGAGTACCAGGCTGTAATGGAGAAGAACATGAAGAAGAAGAAGAAGAAAGAAAACATGGTCTTACAGGTTTAGCACCTCGTTTAAATTAATTAGATTGTTATTGTTAGTTGTACTCATTTTTCCTTAGCCTCTGTTTTCTTAGCCTTTTTCTACTCTTGCTCATTTTTGGCGCCAATTTTATAGACTTTACCGCCAAATTTGGCAAGGTGGAGTCTGCAGGACCGTCCATTAGGGATCGTTCACATATTACGTAAGGCCGGTCTACACACCATACGTCCCCTCCGTAAGCTAATTTACACCTATAGCTATTGTATAGAAATTATACCAGCAAGCCTTTCCCTTCTAGGCTGGATTACGTAATATTATGTGAACGAATAACGATCCCTTATTTCGACACTGAACTTTAAAGTTATGAGATTGTCTATGTTTTCAGGTGAAATCGCCACTTTCACGACATAACGACTTAAGGCGGCGTATTGGGTTTGATACAACTGACAATATACAGGCAGATGTTAACAGTATATCGGAATCTGATAGCAGGTAAAGGAAACTCATTACGCAATAATCAATAATCAATAATCATTTACGTCAAAGATGGCTTTAAAGTTGTAAAAGGTCATTAACAATATGTCATATTATACAGTATGGTTATTAACACAGTGTGATATAGTATTCCCAGATATCATTCAGTTTTGATTAATATTAAAGAGGCTGGCACTGAATATTCCCTGAACTAATTATTTACAGTTCTCGGATATGGAGAATATACTCGCCCAATCAGTGGAACTACTCAACTCCTGACAACGCTGCAGCACCTCGAGCCAACAACAACAACAGTAACAGTAACAACACTTACAACAGTGGTAACAGTAACAGCTCCATTGTTGAGAGGACTCCTGATTTTGGGGAACAATCCGGACAGTCCGGGAATAGTGATAATAATTGGAATACCTGAGACATATCATTGCTAATAAACAAACCTACGAAATGTGACGAAATCTGGGATCTGAATGTTGAAAGTGCAGATGTGAATAGATTTAATTGTCGTCTGCACAAGGTGTTATGCCAGAAATACTTGCATACCCCTTGCATAACGATGAGCACCAAAAAAGCTGTTTTGCATTTTGTCCCGGTCACTCTGTTAAAAGTTACTTTTTGTAAGGGGTGATGTGTTTTACAATATGTAATCGGGTTAACTCTCGCACTTTTTCCGTGTTTGCGCGCGCGCGGCTGGCCGCCCGAATTGGTAAATTTAATTTTTTTAGTTCATTTTTAGATCGATTCGATTAAAATGACATTAATGTAATATATTTCTTTACAGATATTGTTTCCAATTTTTGTTTTACTTACTATTTATTGAATGAATTGAACAATGTTTATTTCTGCGATCGTGTGGTTTTAGTCTCGTTCCGACCTCTGGAAATACTGATTATCATCACCAAAATCACAAAGCGACAGCTGCTAATGATGTGATTATCTCAAATCTCTAACTTTAATCCTATTAAGGGATGCTGTTAGGAAGAACGTGTGTTAGAAGAATACTCCATTCCCAAACAGCATGTGTGTTTTGTGCCCGTGAAGTTTCACACAGCTCCAATCCTCCAACTGTTTCCTTACAATATCACCAGGATCATTCCCGAAAGGATTACAGCGACAACTCAAACGGGTTCAACAAAAATTCCTCAAATCTTAAGTATGCTGCACCCTTCATCCTTCTAAATGTGTCAGCTCTACTGGCTTCGAAGAAAAAGGACGGGGCTGATGATATTGAATCGAGAGAACTGGCAACTATGGTACTGGAAGATGGACAGATAGACATTGTAAAAGTTAGGAAACTGCTAAAAGATGGTGCTGACCCTAATTTTAGGTGGGTGATAACATGATAAGTTGATTTAATAATCTGTTCATCCCGGCGCAGGGTGCCATGTTTTTCTTCCGTCAGTTATTTCGTCCTTCTGAAATTCCAATTGGTCGTTTGATTGATTCGCCCTGTAATCAGGTACCAAGCTGGCTGGAGCCTGATACATGTGGGCGCTGCGAGAGGAAATGTTCAGCTGGTAAAGATGCTAACTAGGTTAGTCGGACAGATTCTTATTACTCGTTTGACTTTATTCGTTTAGTAATAGTTATTTGAAATCCGACACTATATTTATAGATCAGCAGGATTCTTTATAGCTAATTGTGATAGATTGTATGCTATTATACTATCCAGATATCAGGAAATCTTTTGGATCGTTGAGTGGGGAATAAATGTGGGAGTGGTAAGGGAATTTGGTCGCTTTCCAGTTCAAATCCGTCTATTTATGCAAGATTGTAAAATATGTAAATTTGCAAACTATGAGGACGTCATGTTGCACGTGGGTGTGCAATAGCGCGAATGTGGGTGCGCAATAGTATAGAGTGAATGTGTTTGTGCGTTCGCCTCTTTGGTAATCTCTGTTGCATCAACTAAGCGTGTAAACGAACCGGGAGTGTTGGTCAACGATTTTTAAAATCTATCTTCCTTATCAGTTGCTTTTCTAACCCTTAATAGTCGATTATATCTGATACTTACTGGTCCTACCTGTTCAATAATATTTACGGAGAAAGGAGACACAATAAATCCGGATTTAACAGTTCTAAAAACGTATTTCAATTTTGGTTAGTCTCGAATTTATACCTCTAGTGATTAAAGTTTGATACTACAAATCAATAATTGCAATTTGAAATAGTTTAGAACCACTTTATTTTTGCATGTGAATGGAGATAAAATTAAGGGAGCTTATCGTCCTTTGAATCGAACATCCAATATGCAATTAGCTTGACGATGTTTCAAAATGTTACTCCACACGAAATATCGAAGAGTTTGTCAATCCCTTGGAGAAGCGCGGTAGAAACGATAAGTCCTGCCCCAACAAGACTGATCCAATCTGGAGGAGACTGAAAGAAGATGACCTGGAATACATAAGCGTATACAGTGTCCCAGTTCCGCATCAAAGTTGCTGGTCCGGAATTTTCCAGGGACATTCCTCGCACAATCAGAACATTTGCCAAGGGTGCTCCCAAACCGCATAAAAATAGAAGAGTCCTGACATAGTCACACGGTGGTAACACCAGGGACTCCGCCATCATTAGATTTATCAAAAAACCAGTGGTAATTCAGCGATCGCTGTGTAGAGGGCAAACTTCATGGGATGTACCACTTCACCCGCCGCTCTAACACACACATAGGACACAGAGAACAGTAAAGATACACCTAAAGTTGCGCAGGCCCACGGTACCGAGCTTTCTCCTCGGCTTGATATATCTGGGAACAGAATACCTGGCTCTGTAACGAGGACAACTCCAACCAAGCCGACCATTGTGGCAAATAGATTGACGATCGTGTACTTTTCCTTTAGGATTACCCTGGCCAAACAACCAGACCAAATGGGAGCGGAGTTGAAGATGGCCGTAGCATCGCCAATGTTCATGTTCCTAATAACAACTATTTTCAATCCGCCAGCTACTCCGCCAAACACAACCCGCCCCCAGAACCACAGTCTGTTTTCCTTGATGTTGAAGGGTGAAACATTAACTCCTGAGTGAGCACAGATAACGAGACAGAAGGGGACATTAAAACCAGCTTCAGTTATAACATATTGTCCAGAGGGTATAGGTATGAGTTTGGAGAGAAGAGCTTGACCGCTGAAAACAAGTCCTGCACATAGGACTGATTTTCTTACAGGCGTCTTTGAGTTTGGTCCTGTTTTCGGTCTTTGTTGCAGGTTCTAGCAATATTGCTGCAGGTTCTAGCAGTATTGTTGCAGGTTCTAGCAATATTGTTGTGATGTTGGTTTCTTCTTCCATCGACAAATTTATGACCTAGATAAAAGGCAGTAAGGTTTTCCGGTTTTCAGTATAGGAAAAATAGGTATTTATATTGATGTTTAACTTTGCTATCCAACCTTTTAAATGAAGTTGTAGAAAAATACTAAAGCTGACAGAGCACAAACATTATTTGAAACATTCATCATACAGTGATTTTCTGTAAAGATTCTCGACGAATCTAATTTAGAACAATATCAATATCGAGCAATATCCTAATATCCAATATCGAGCAATATTTCATTTAGACTACAGCGCAATATATTTATATATTTGGCCATAAAGAGTTTGGTCTCATTAAAAATGTAGCACATTAAAACACCTACGCGACATAGGACAGTGCTATAAACTCTAAATCTCGTGAGACCGAGCGTGAGTTTTTAACATCGTAGTATTTAGTAAACAAGGCAAATAACTGGTGAAAACCAAACTCTATACTCTTACTCAGACCCCTGATCGTATTACTTGATAATATAATACATTATATTATATTATATTATGTAACTGTAATAACGGGAATTTCCGTTTAGTAGTACAGATTTAATGTGATATCAACTGTGAAACTATGTACAATTTGAGTATTTCAAATGTTATAACATTGAATTCAATAAAGTTATAACAGCCGTATGTCCTATCACAATGGTCGAAACAAAAGTTAAGCGATAAAAATTAAACATCGTGACAACTGTATGGTGAGAGAACGACTCAAATATATCCCGGACAATGGATTACCCTATGATTACCCAAGGAGACGTTCCTTTTTATTTTGTTCATTTGTTCTGCTATCCAATTATCTCTTATCAGCCTTGGCACCAGATTTTCTCATGACTGTAATTAAATAATATAAGCTTCAATTAATACCAGGAAAGATTTTTGGGTTTTGGAACGTTGTTATCGCTCAAATTTCCTTAAGGGATGAGTACCGGACTGAATTTAACCGTAAAAATAAAATAAAAGAATTAACTCCTGATAAGCTTTTGCTTTCGGGAGGAACTTTTTTACCTCATTAGTGCCCAGTGGTATTGTGCTGATATAATTCACTGTTGCGACCATATAGATGTGGGACACCTTTGCTCGCATTTCTTGTAAATCAAACATTTGATTACTGGGGACGAATTAAGAGTCTAAACAAAATACTAAAACAAAATAAATCGTGTATTGTCAAAGTTTCGGCTAGATGCTTTTTTCATAGACGAACGTTGAAATAACTTATTACTTTAATACATAGCTGCAACACGCAATGGTTAAAATAAATATACACATTACACAATATAACGGAAAAGGTACCTACAATTTACAAATTTGTTAAACTAAAATGGAAACGAAACGTAATACATATCGTGAAAAATAACTTCAAATGTATACTCTTCAATTCATGAAATTTCCCCGCTAGTGCTTTGAACTCACCCTTAAATTCAGTGCAGGGGAATGTCTGCTAATTGCAGGGGAATGTCTGCTAATTGATGTTGGGTCTCTTGATGTCTCCAATTGTTTCCTGATTACCTGATTTCATGCTGGTTAATGTTGTCGTCATCTTGCTTTTAAGAAACTGCCGAAAACTGTCCAATGAGAGACTGTAGACAAAGAAATTAGCAACAACGTTGGTGTACATGAGGGTCTCTGTAATCCGTGGAGCCTTCACTTGGTACGAGTCATCGTCCACGTAAAACTTAATTGTCATATGAATCGCCTTGGGGAGGAAACAAAGACAGTAAACTGTTGCAGTAAGAAGAACAGTTACGATGCCTTGCCAGCGAAGCTTACCCCCACTTCGGATTGATACTTTTCTCGCATAAATTAGATGCTTCACCAGGACAATGGATGTAACCACCACTACGATAGTGGGGATCACCACAAATAGACCCGTCACGATCGGTCTTAGCATTTTCCAAATAGTAGAGGAACTTCTATAATTGCAAGTGTACTGGCTGTCACTGATCGTGATGTCATTCTTATCTACGATAAGGAACACTGCAGGGACACAGCAAGATAACGCCCAGAGTCCTGCACATGTCACGTGTGCGTGTTTCGTGGACCAGGATTTTGATTGGATTGGGTATTTTATCATCAGTAGTTTGCTTACAGTCATGCCACAAATTAAAAGACGGCTGGCTGTACTGACTCCGAAGTTGAAGTACACTTTTACGTAGCAGAGGAATGTTCCGAAGACCCAACCATCAGCCATTAGAGAAACACACTGTGTCAAAATACTGACAAAAGATAGTACGAGATCACAGACGGCAATATGCTGAATGATTGTCACAATAACTGTGTTCAGTTTAAAGGCATTGTACTTTATGGAAGCGAGGAGGATGATCATGTTCCCTGAAACTGAGACTACAAATATGGCCAGAAGCCACATTGCCCAGATAAGTCGCTCAGCATTATTCTGTATTTGTGGTGCGGGGTCCAAGTGCGATAGTAGAGGCTGGCTAGATATCATACTCATAGCAAAACTGAAACAGGATAGTATTATGATAATCTAAAATGGCTCTTACTAATTCGCTCGCCCAAAAATTTCACGTGACTTTGGTTTTTATGGTTTTGCAGCCGTACAAAATGATTTTACATAAACCCTAATCCCAACCCTAACCCTAACCATAACCCCGAAGCTATCCATAACCCTAACCACAACCCTAATCCGAGCCCTAAACAATCGAATTCATGTTTTACTAGCCTGTCACGTGACCAAAACGGTTTTTTGCCCATAACTCTCCAGGGAAGCATTTTTACCCTACTTCATGGGGGGTAATCAATTTCATACCCAAAGGGCCTTTTCACAAGAATTTTCTTAAAATTTGTAGGAGCGTATTAAAGTATATTAAAGTATATCCCCGGGTCAAAATCGGAAAAACCTTCATTTTAATATACCGGGTCATTTTAATATACCGGGTCAAAATCGGAAAAACCTTCATTTTAATATACCTAAATAGTACAATTAGTAGATTTATATTCTTCGTTAAGATTTACAAGATAAGCCATTTAGTCCCTTATTGAACTCATTAACGAATTTACATCCAGTTTGGACACAAAATGGCCGTGTTATGAGCCAAAAACTATATGCCCATATTTTGAAACACAAATAAAATGTGATAGCTTTTTATTTGGCCCCGAAAATGATTAAATCTTGTATGAGACTTTAACTTTAGGTCATAGACTAGAATCCCGACAGCATGATCATTTTTCACTTTTTCCCTGGAAAACACTTTTCTCTACGTTCTATGCTACCCTGGTCATTTCATTATGAGCCGAAATCATTGTTATGATATTCGGCCAAGCACCTTTCCAACTAAATTCCCCCCCCCCCCACCGTATTCATTTGGGAACTGAACTTGGAAACTAAATAAAACCCCCTCCCCCTCTGCTGATTACGTAATATGTGAACGACCCTTGAATAAAAAATAACAAAAATAGGGGGGGGGGGGGGGCAACCATATTAAAGTATATTAAAGTATATCCCCGGGTCAAAATCGGAAAAAATCCTACATTTTAATATACTTTAATATACCTACAATTAGAAGATTTATATTCTTCGTTAAGATTTACATGATGAACTATATTTTTCACTCAGATTCGCAAGATAAGCCTGATTTAGGACTAGTACACGAATTTCCATCCAGATTGGTCAAAAATTGGCTGAGCTATGAGCTTTAAAAAATATGCCCATATTTGGGCATACGCTTTTGTCCAAATTCGCTTTTGCCCAAATTCGATAAAATTTCAATATTTTTAATGAGACTATGTAAAAGATATAACTCAGTGTTTGTTGGATATAGTGGATACTAAGTAAAAAGACCTCCATGAACAAAATTGGGAAAATTGCACATAATATCTCGGTTCAGAATACTAGCCAAAATAACTTCATTAAAATTGAAATAACTCCATCAGTTTTCAATATTTTTTCAAGAACTTTTTGGAATCGATTAAGGATTGCATTTCAAGCTTATTTTGGGCAACAAGTTTTGATGTAGGCCTCCAAGGAGATAGGGATATATTAAAGTATATTAAAGTATATTAAAGTATATCCCCGGGTCAAAATCGGGAAAAATCCTACATTTTAATATACTTTAATATGGTTGCCCCCCCCCCCCCCCCCCCCCCCAAAATAAAATGTTAATGTTATTCGATGCAATTTCAAGTTGCACAGATACTGGCTTACCACATGTAGTCATGTACACCATGTATAATCGGCAAAGAAAAATTACGCTCGCGCTTTTTATTGTCTAAGATTACAAATCTGAGCCAGGTGTGTTCATTACCAGGTTTTTCAACTGCAAATAATTTGGTACATAGTCATAAATCTTTAATTAATCGAGAGTTCTCGAAATATACTACTTGTTAGTTGTTACTGTATGGTGGTAGTAAGTCATACCAGAAAGAATTATTTCAATTGGGCACTCAGTGATTGAGCCAACGTATGGGTACTGAGTACTGACCCCCCTCCCCCCCCCCCCCCCCCCCCCCCCCCCCCCCCCCCCCCCCCCCCCCCCCCCCCCCCCTGTATATTAAAGTATACCCCAAAATTGGAAGGAAAAAAAACATTTTAATATACTTTAATATGGTTGCCCCCTTCCCCCACCCCTCCCCCAGCAGTAGTAAGAACGAAAAATGAGTTTGATGAGTGGATGAAAAACTTTAACGTTTTAAAGCTAGGATGAATAGTATCATAAACATGGATCTGGTAGTTACTAGTTATAGTGGTACGGGGTAAACAACGTAAATCATGCGTGAAACTATTGTACGTAACCGCCAGCTGATAGCCGTTCACTCATGTGAAAACATGGCAGTGATGATCACTGATATATATAATAAGAAAAATTATATAAAAGAACTAACTAGCTCATTTTCCACATCACTAGAGGTCCCACATTGGAGTCACCATGCAATGGTCAATATCCACATTCCACTCCGCCCAAAACTTTATAACTACACTTATAACTACAAACAAAATTACTGGGAGGACATGCATGCAGCCCTGTTAATATTTACCTACTATCCAATTAAATATATTCCGCAAGCCCTTACCCTGCCGCCGGATTTTTTGATTAGCCATAATTAATTGATTAACAATAGTTGATATAACCAGAAAATGTTTTTGGGTTTTATCACTTACATTTTTTTATTTGTTTGCTGTTTTAGCTTTAAGAGGAGAATTTTTCACTTATAATTTTCTTGGATCGGAATACTTATTCTCGCACCCATCGGTATCCATATTTGATGCAAAAACAAAATACTTGTTTAAATATATGGACAGAAATAACGAGCAGAGTTAATGACAAAGTTACATCATAAATGTAATATACAACAACTTTCAACATTTACATCCAACGAATGGACCCCACGAGCCTAACTCGTCACAAAAAATTGCCCACGTATACAAAAGGGATTAACTTTTGGCCGGTAAAAGGAGTGAATGAGCACTGAACAGGTGTATTTAACGCCTTAACGGGTGGTATTTTAAAATTGCAGTTGACCAACAAAGTATTAAGTAGGGCCGTGGAGGAGTGGCCGAACTTTTGAGGGGGATTGGAAAACTTGAGCGCAATCCGAAGCTTGCGGGGCGGCCATGCTCTTATTTTCATCCCACCAACTATTTCACCACGATTACACCACACGATTAATGTTCTTTAATACCCAACAATCTGAAACCGATTAATACGAGAACATTTAGTCTACTTAGAACCGACTCCAAAGTCCAATCGTAATAATACCAAATGGTGCCATCTAACTGGGTGACTGGCAACTGTAACCACAATCATAGGCATGACGTCCAATCATGGGCAGTAAGGAACTCCACTGTCCAATTGTAACAGATGCAATGGCACAGATAAATAATGGCCTCAACCCGCGCATAATTTTCAGTGGGGTACGTTTTTTATGCCTTTTACTACAATCGTTTGAGATGAACATTTATGTGAATGCTTTCTCACCATCGATTATTATCTAAAATTAGGCGTTAAAAGTGGTAAGGGGCGAAACTCGAGGAAGAATATCCAAGGTGAATAAAATAAAAACAAAGGGCTCGGGAAAACTGCAGCTGTTAGTGACCACTTACCATTACTTGGCATTACACCGGGCTACCGGAATCATGAGAAAATAATTTTAATTTTGATCTTTCAGAAACTCATGATTGATATAAACTATTAGCACTATATTCTGAAACCATCGGACCATAAAATGATAAATTAGCAAACATGGTCTGGCTTCTATTTGATGCGATAAAAACTAATATTATCCCCCTCCCTGTGATCACGGGCTTTCTAGTCACTCTTATAATTCGAAAGATTATCTTTGTTGTACGACCGACCGCCCACGTGCAAATTTGATGAGAAATAGGAAGTTGCATAGTAACCATGGTGACGGTGTTGAACATTTCAAAATCAGAGAAGTTATGTAAAATAGAATAACAAATACTAAGTTCGCTTACAAACAGGATAGTTTTTCTCCGCCATACACATTAAACTTAAAGTATTAAATTTAACCCAATGAATTAAGGACGACTAATATAATCAATCAGCAATTAACGTGCATTTTATGATTTATTTTTATATTATTATTATATTAAAAGTCATATTGAAATTCAAAATACCAAGACCACCTTCATAATCAGAAAGTGTTTTATCAAATCCAGGCGGCAAATCAAGTACCATTTTTGTTGATTTAAACTGTTTTCTAGATTTAATTTGCTCAAAAATGTTAAACGTCAGATTTAATCCAAAAGTCTACGTCTTTCTCCATTCTCACCGACCCTTTCATCTGTTGACCCAGTCGGAGAGCAACATCTCAGGAGAGGGGATACCAGGAATCTAACCCTGGCTCTCAAGAACTCTCTAAAGCTTGTGAGAGTGAGCGTGTAGATGTAGAAGTTGGAGATGATGTTGAGGAAGACCATGTAAGTAGAAAACCTGTATACGTAGACATTCCAGAACTTGAATAGCTCTACCTGGCTTTCAGCCACGAGGCAGCTGCCTATAAAGTAGATGGTTCCAGGAAGGGTAGCTATTGAGTAAACTGCTACAGTGAGGAGCACAGTTATTAGTCCCTGCCACTGGAGCTGTCCTGGCCCCCTCTCAGTCATCTTCCTGGCAACATCAACCAGCATCACACTGCTCACTACAGTTGTCATGGTAGCAAGGAGCCCGCTCAACCCAACCAGGACAGTGCAGATAGTAGAACCTGCAGTATGGTGAAGATATTGGACGACGTCACAATTGTAGTCAAGGTAACTGAAGTAAGCACTTTTTTTGTCCACAATTATTTCTAGCACAGGTGAAAAACTGCAGTAGAGCACCAGGCTAAGTGTGGCAAAATGAGCAGCCCTGGTAGAGATACTTGTCGCTCTCAGAGGGAACTTTACGATCAGCAACTTGGTGAGTGAGAGAACAGGGATGAGAAGACAGGCAGTCCCTCCAGCAGTACAGATTATAACGTATCCAGCATAACAGAGGAAGTCACCAAATATCCACCTTTCAGCTACCAAAGACACGGAGCCAGGCAAGGCTCTAAAGATGACGATGATCAGGTCGGTGAGAGCTATGTACTGGATTATTACCACCATTACCTTGTGTAGTTTTATTGCATTGCATCTAAGCGTTCCTATCAATATGAGTACGTCTCCTATGAGTGATGATAGGAATATGGTAGAGCTATATAATGTTAGAAGATCTCTTCCTGCCTTGTCTTGGATTCCATACAAGGTTTCGTTATCATATTTGATGTACGGTTCGGTGTGCATATTGTCCCTTCACTGAAATAAAAGAAATGTGAACATCATATTACTTATTATTACTATGTATTACTAGTTTTTAGCCGATTAGCTTAAAAGTGAACATAGTCTGAAAATGTTGCTTATCATTGAACAAAAATAACAAATAAAGCCTCAATACGACGTCGAATCATTTTTCTAAGAATTCTGTTTTAACAAGTTTTAATCCGGCTTAGGAGGCTAGCTAACCGGACCAAACCTCTATTGGTAACAAACAGAAGAAACTAACACGTTATCCAGAATAAACACAGATACACATCTATACTATTACTATTACTATATTTTAAACTTGACGAAATCCTCCCGGCAACGGGGACATAGTCATAAAAACACTAAAAATTCACCAAAAAATGACCCTCTGGCATGACCAATTTCAGCTCGCAAATGGAGTTGAAAACTCGTGATTTTTAGCAATGTTGCAGAGAAAAAAACATAACTGATTTTTATCGAGCAAGCACCTATTAGTAACGCGCGTTGCTATGCTTTATGATACGTCATGACTATCTCACATTTACGCACACATATGACTATTCATAAAGTTGGTTATGATTAATATTTTTGCCTTTTGGTGCAGTAAAAAGTATCGTTTAGATAATCCGAATACTTACAAAGTAGTCGTCAAATAAAATCCATAATTTCTACAGTATAACAGAGCTAGATGATGAAGAGAAATTAAAACATAACTGATTTTTTAAATTTCATCGAACAAGGCTTTCGACTAGCGAGTATCTAGTAATGTATAATTTAGCGGATGCAAATATGGATTTCCATTTTTGATTCTACGCATCTCTTATTTCTGATATCATTGAAATTGTTAAATGAGTAGATAAGTAAGCTTGCTTTTTCGCCAAGATTTTTTTAAAAATTATGTGGAATATAATATGCTACATGAAGCAACAATTTACAAACATTCTTTTAACTTCTACATTCTACAATGCAAATTATTCCGTGAGTCATCAAATGAAGAAAAAAATGCGGCCGCAATCAATTTCTAACCCTCAACAATTACAAATGGCTTTCTGACCAATCGCTGCATTTCCATTTTCGCACCCACCTGCAAATTGGATGAGAAAAAGAAAATTGCATGTTAACACGGGTGGAAACACGCACGTGCTAAGATTTTGGAGCGACATTTTGATCGGTTTTGTTATAACGTTGTAATTGTATTTGTGTGGAGTGTGTTTTAAATCAGCTGTATCTTCGGTTGGAATGGATATTTTTGATGCGATAAAAACTGACTTCCAAAGAAAACTGTTACCTTCCGCCCTGTGATGTCAGCTGATTGTTGATCACTCCCTTGTTATCTCCAGATATTCCGTGTCTTCCAGATCTTTCTGAGATATCAATTGATTAGCCGAGAGTGCTGGTTGGACCAAATATACGGAATAGTATTGAGAGAGTGAGGAAGATTGCAAATTTCTCATTAAAAATTTAAACATGATTGAAAGTTACAATTACCTGGATCTACACTAGGATGTGTTGATGATGTCGCCTGTTCCATCCTGGTTTTAAGAAACAACCGAAAACTGGGCACTGTAAGACTATAGACAAAGAAATTGGAGAAAACGTTGAAATACGTCAGTGTCTCTGTAACCCGGGGAACTATCACGTGATACCATTCATTTTTCACGTAGATTCTTATCGACATATGAATTGCCTTGGGAATAAAAGAGACACAGTAGACTGCAGCTGTAACAAGAACAGTAGCGATGCCTTGCCAGCGTACCCTTCCACGTGTTCTGTTGGCTACTTTTCTAGCATAAAGCAGATGTTTCACTAAGAAAATGGATGTAATGACGACTATTATCGTTGGAATGGCCACGAAGAGCCCTGTTATGATCGGCCTTGACACAATCCAAACAGCGGAAGAAACATTGTAATTACACGTGAGTTGGATTTCACAAATCCTGATGTCATCCTTATCTACAATTAGAAACACTGCTGGAACGCAGCAAGATAAAGCCCAGAGTCCTGCGCACGTTATGTGAGCATGCTTGGTGGACCAGGATCTTGTTTTGTCAGGGTACCTCGACATAACAAGTTTACTTACAGCCATCCCGCAAACCAGAAGGCGACTAGCAGAACTGACTCCGAAGTGGAAGTATACTTTTACGTAACAAACAAAACTTCCGAAGACCCAACCATTTGCCATCAAAGAAACGCTTTGTGTCAAAATGCTCACAAACGACAACAGGAGATCACAGACTGCAATGTGCTGAATGAACGTTACTAGAACTTTGTGCAGTTTAAAGGCGTTATACTTGATGGAAGCAGCTAGAATGACAGAATCCCCGAACAGGGACACTACAAAGATCAACATCAGCCACAATGCCCAGATGTACCGCTCAGCATCGTGCTGTGTCCGTTTCTGCCCTGCAAAGCTAAAGAGGGGCAGTAGGGATTGGTTGGATGGCATTGTTTGATTGTCAGGCTATAACTAGGAAATGATACTTTAGAATATTAATTTACATAGGATTAAAATGTTTGGGCCCTGGGAACGACCAAGCATTTTTGGGTAAAGATACCCAAAATATTGGTCCGGCCACTAAAAATATTTGCTGTTGATCAGCATTTGTTATCGCTATTCCATTGCCAGATTTTGTCCGTTTTACTCTGTATAATTTTATTAAACGTTCATATAAATGTGGTCTACCATTAATCATCGTCCATCATTAATTATATAAAATTGGGCCTTAATATAAAAAAAATAGTTGTAAACGAAAGAAAGTTATATTAGGGGCCATCTACTCAGGACGTCCGGCAAATAGGGAGGGGGAGGTTTTGGAATTTCGGACAAATCCGCACAGGTGGAAGGGGTGGTTTCTGAAAATCCGGACGGCCGGAAATGTTGGCAGAATTAACGAAATTAAACGGATGGGCATTGGGGGCCATTATCAATCAAGTTGACAGCTATTAGTATTTACATAATGAAAATGAGCAACAAGAAATGCGAGTGAATGGCCGTTTGTTTCTGATAAGCAGATAATCTGGAAAGCGCGCTTATAGCAAACAGTATAATTTAATCGAAATGCACACCATGGGTAAATAATTTGCTGAATAGTTGAGCTAGCAAAAAACAGTTTCTCAGAACAATTCTCAACCGTTTATGTAGTAATTTCGAATTAAGACCACAGCATTAGCCCAATGCTTCGAACAGATGTTTTTTTTTGAGGCTGTTATTACACAATTTTCTGTATTTTTAACATAGTAGTAGTAGTTACCGTGACTTTTACGACTAATGAAATATATAACTTTCTCGCATTTATGTCATTATATTTCTGAATTTTCTGCATTATAGAACAATTTGCCGTTTTATTTATATAAATTTATATAAATTTCAACAGAGATTTAGGAGTTCAAGGTCGTTGGTTTTTATCGAAAAAAATGGTTAAACAAGTTTGAAAATATGCAGCCGTAGGTGTTCGATAAATATGGGACGATGCTTCATATTAGGGACCATATACTCAAGACGTCCGGCAAATAGGGAGGGGGATGGTTTTGGTATTTCGGTCAAATCCGGACAGAGGGAGGGGGGTGGTTTCTGAAAATCCGGACGTTTTTGGCAGAATTAACGAAAAAGTCCCATTTATTTCAACTCTTTAAATTTTATTTCAACTCTTTGAATTCTATTAACAATGAATTTGAGTTAGTTTTATATGTACTCTTAAAAGTAGCTGGAAATCCGGACGTCCGGGGGAGGGGGTGGTTTTGAAAATTCGGACATACCCGGACGGGGAGGGGGGTGTCTGAAAATTTGCGATTTTGGCGGACGTCCTAAGTAGATGGCCCCTTAGAGGACTTGGGGCTGGGGCAAAATATGTATAAAATTCTATAACAAAAGGCTGTGGTAAACTGTGGCTGTTAATGAGCACCTGCCTGGGTAGCAGTACTAGTAGAAGCGGAGAAATTATAAGACACTAGTTTTAATTTTGATGGACTGTCGGAACTTTCTTTAAGAAACTTATGATTATTAATTTACCGTATTATGTTCAGAAATAGTAATATAGGGCGAGTGGAGCGAATTTATCAGACCATGTAATTACACATCAAGTTCTAGACAGCTGTTTGATAAACTCGATTTTTATGCGTTTTTAATTATCATTATAATATTCGATGGGCACTGGCTTAAAAACAGCTAAAACTTGGGTTATGATGAAAATAAACATCAGCATCATGTTCGCCGTCCTCTATTCAGTTAATCCAACTATGATATTTCTGCTAGGCCTAAATATTTGAGAGGATACAGATTTTACGGCTAACCTCTCTAGTCTCTATATCGTTTTATCTTCTATATGAGTTTAACCTGCTCAATATTCTACAGTGATACTCCTGAAATAGAACGCTATTTTACAATTTACATATAGTGATTCCTCATCTTGACCCAATTAAACCCCCCAGGTTTGGAGTGGACGTGAATGTAGCTGATCAATATCCCCCGGGTAACATCTCCAAAGTAGACCTAGTTAATGTCCACCAGCAGCGTCTCACCCTGAACCCCAACTACAAGCTCAACGTGAACTGGGCCGGGTTCACCCCGCTACACTACGCTGTGATAAATGACGATGTTAAGATGGTTAAAGTGCTGGTGGAGGCTGGGGCTAGCGTGAACTCCAGGACTAACACTGGGTTTCTTCCTGTTGATCTGGCTGCGGACTCGGAGATAAAGAAAATGTTGAAGGAGCAGGAGCAGGTGGAAAAGAAGAAACGTATTCTAAGTTTAGGACCATTTCTCAAGGATAAAGTGATCGGTCAGGAGAGCGCACTGGCTTTAGTTACATCAGCTGTTCAGAGAAGAGATCTGGGCTGGCAAGACGACAAACCCCTCGTGATGCTGTTCGTTGGTTCGTCTGGTATCGGCAAAACAGAAACAGCAAAGCAGCTCGCTGCGCACAAGAACGACAACAATCCTGACAGCAAGGTCTCCTTTATCCGTATTGATATGAGCGAGTTCCAGGAGCGACACGAGGTCTCCAAGTTTATTGGTTCCCCACCAGGGTATATCGGACATGATGAGGGAGGTCAGCTGACCAAGGCTCTCACTGATCATCCTGAGTCGGTGGTTTTGTTCGATGAGGTGGAGAAAGCTCATCCAGATGTTCTCAATATAATGTTGCAGGTTTGTAATTTGGGGATTTCTGTACTATTTTTCGTCTATGAACGATTTTGCCGTTGACGAAATAGACAGGTAGAAACTAGAATTTAAGCTATGCGTTAAAAAAGGATGCAATTTGATAAGAACGTTGTTAAATCTCGTTATTATTTCAGTTGTTCGACGAAGGACGATTAACAGACGGTAAAGGAAAAACAATACTTTGTCCCAACGCATTATTTGTGATGACAACCAACGTGGGGGCTGACCAGATCGCAAACTCAGCTTCTGAGATAGACGAGGACTTCAAGAAGTACGTCATGTACCCTGAACTGAAACGAGCATTCCGGAGAAATGAGTTCTTGGGCAGAATAAACGAGATCGTTTACTTTTTACCTTTCACCTCTGAGCAATGTCTGAAGCTGGTAGAACGAGAATTACTTCGAATCAAACAGTACGCCGAGAAACAAAACATTGAAGTTTCGTGGAGTGACAGCGCAGTAGCGCTACTTGCCACAGCTATTGATTCTAACTACGGTGCTAGGTCACTGAAAAACGAGGTATCCCGCAGAGTTGTTAACAAAATAGCTGATATGAACTTGGAGAATAAGATTAGGGCTGGTTCTAAAGTTTATCTTACTGTTTTGGATGGTCAGATACAATTTAATGTAAGCTGACGCCTCAGTGCTGTTTGTTTTAAGCTGTGTAAATTCGCGTGGTTAAAAATTTGTTCTGCAATGATTTTTGAAATTCTGATTAGTGATAAATAGATTAGCGGGATATGTACATGATTTACGGCCATACGGGCCATATGCCACAATATTAGGTTGATCTATCGATATGTGATCGGGAACGAATTCATCAATATTCGATTTTAGATTTTAATCGAACTTCTCGCCACTGATAACACGATGTGTGCACTGTAAAAATGATGTGAATATAGAATATTGTACTACTGATGCTACTGTCAGTATATAGACGTTTTAGAGAAACTAATTTATTGATTTATTTGAAACATTTTCGTTCTTACAACGTAATTATAATATTTTGATTCGTTACAACTTACAATAGTGAATAGACCGAGCTGATTAGGGGTAATCTAGGAGAATTTCTGAATGATGATTAATCACTCGAATGTCTACACTGACCCCAACCCTTACCTGATCCCTAACTGAAACATATGCTGAATGCTCTAACCCTAACGAGAAATCTGCCCAACTTCCCTGTTCCCTATCTAAAAAATAAACGATAATCTCAGAATGTGTGTTTTCTGTCTGTGATCTGTGTGTGTGCGTGTAATTTCCGAGCCTCTAGTTAATCAAGAAAACTGAAACAGTTACAAGTTACCGTGCTGGTTTTTTTCGGTATAGTGCCGACAAAACTATGAGGAAGCCAAATGGTAAAGGGTTTTTTAATTGGTCGGTGGTAAGTGGTTTAATTGATGGTTTTGTACCACAACTGTTACATAAAATGGCGTGAGCAGCTTAATCAAGAAAACGGTAAGAGTTACGAGGCTCGCTCTCTCTCCCATTACTGCATTTTATGTAGCGTATATATTAATATATATCATAATTACACCGTCATGAATACTTTAAACTTATTAGAGGAGGAATCTGGAATCGCTCATAATTGATTCACGATGTCAATCCTTTTATTTCCAGCTCGGTGAGGCCCAGTCGTGCATCTTCAATCTCGCCGATCTGGTTTTACCTGTACTGGGGGGTACCGCGACAATTGACCCCCCCGACAATTGACCCCCCGACAATTGACCCCTATGTAATTACACTGGGGTCAATTGTCGCGAAATCTAGGGTTTAGTACGACAATTGACCCCCTGACAATTGACCCCCCATGTAATTACACCGGGGTCAATTGATCGGGTTAGGGTCAGGATCCTGGGTCAGGGTTAGGGTTAGGGTTAGGGTTAGGGTCAGAGTCCTGGGTCAGGGTTAGGGTTAGGGTTAGGGTTAGGGTCAGGGTCAATTGTATTAAATTATATTGTCGGGGGTCAATTGTCGGGGGTCAATTGTTGCCCACCCTACTGGGGACCTCGGGCTATCATGCTCATAAACATACCAACCAAAGCCTGTCATTCCGCCGAATCTCTATTTGCGCAAATTGCAAATAGAGATTCGGCGGAATGACAGGCTGAGCGCGGCCTTGACCATTGTTAATGGTTTGGCCCGGCGCACGCTACTTCGTAGCACTTGCCATCGGGCCTTAATATTTAATTTCGAGAAGAAAGCGGCGCGCGCTACTTCGAAGAAATTTAGACGAGTAACATCCGTCAAAGCGCGGCCCAGTAAAGCAAAACATGAATTCAATTGTTTACTAGGTCCCGGGTTAGGGTTAGGGTTATGGATAACTTTAGGGTTATAGTTAGGATTAAAGTTGGGATTAGGGTTTATGTTGACCATTGTTAATGATCTGGCCCGGCGCGCTACTTCGTAGCTTGTGCCGTCGCGCGGGCCGTAACATTTCGAGAAGAAAGCGGCGCGCGCTACTTCGAAGAAATTTAGACGAGTAACATCCGTCAAGGGTTTATGTTATCAGTTATTGGTTATGTAAAAACCGTTTTGTACGCGTACAAAACGGTTTTTACATAACCAATAACTGATAACATAAACCCTTGACGGATGTTACTCGGCTGCAAAACCATAAAAACCAAAGTAACGTGAAATTTTTGGGTGAGCGGATATTAGTAAGAGCCAAAATTTGGACTCCCAAGTGGAATCAAAAAAGCAAACTAAATAGGTAATATTTATTTTAGTTTCTTTACTCGAGTCTTGGCACCATTTTAGGGCTTTACTTGTATCACGTCGTGACCCCCATGCCACGGTCGCACTTGTGCGCGGCGGGTCGTACAACGTATGACAAGGCCAAGGCTATACTGTATACTTGATTCTCGACCCATGTCAATCCTTTGCATTTATCTCGCCGATCTGCATTTGTGGTTGCGAGAAGCATTATTGGATGCGCGGCCCAGTAGTGCATCGCGCTTGCTCTATCCAGAGCCCTTGCGCTTGTTGTGAAACAAGCGCGCCCGCAGTGGCGCGAAAGCACATGGTTAGGTGAACAACGCGCTACAACGGTTATACGGCCGTTCCTGCTTGCTGCTAGTATTAATAATGTTTGACATGGCGCCCTGAAGTTCAATTTTATCGAACTTCTGTGCGCGTGCGCTAAATAAATGAATAAAACTGCAAACGTACGAACAAATAATTGTTATGTAGCACGCGATGTGTTACTGGGCCGCGCATCCAATAATGCTTCTGATCTCGCGACCACACGTTAGATCGGCTAGATGCGCTACTTTAGCTTCGCAGACAAGCTGCGAAGAATTGACATCGTCAATTAAGATTTAAGAACAAACGTACTTCGAGGAATTTGTATCACGTCGTGACCTCATTAACTGTGGTTTCACACCTGTAGAGTTTTAACGATACAGGGGGGCCGCGCACTCGTGCGCGGCGGGTCATACATTTGGAGGACTTCGCCGCTTCGACGCGCCGCGCGAACTAGCATTCTTGCTTCGCATCGTCGATCGTTGCTCTGCTTCGCAGAGTAACGATCTCGATGGGTTGACATCGTCAACCAAGTCATACATTAACGGGTGATACTCGTAAAATATTTGTTCCATATACAGGACTTGACGGATGTTACTCGTCTAAATTTCTTCGAAGTAGCGCCAAGCGCGCGCCGTTTTCTTCTCGAAATGTTACGGCACGAGCTACGAAGTAGCGCGCGCCGGGCCAGATCATTTACAATGGTCAAATACAGGACCTTCGACGAGTCCAACTCGGCGCGCGTCCTGGTAGGTTGTAAACCTACATATAATCATACAACGTATTACAACGTATATGACAAGATTGAAGATGAAATAAGTTAAATGTCATCGAACTTATTTATTGAAAATTATGAGTCATTTATAATATTGTTAAAAATAATTTATAAGCTGTACACAGTAATTAGCAAGAATATCAAATTTTAACTAACAACCATAATATAAGTGCCAGACTGTGGCTCACACAGTACATAGGATTCCATGATTATTTGCCATACGTTGTATGACCCGCTGCGCACGAAGTGCGCTGCTCCCCCTGTATCGTCAGGACGATAAAGTAGGGGGTCGCAACGTGATACAAATGATTATTACAGAGTTCAACTATCTACAATCTATCATAGTTCTTTCACTTTTTCTGTTTATATTCCATATTCATGTCCGTCAGAATTTGCCATCCTTACAGAATATGGGGAGACCCCTCATTACCGTGTCTTGCAGATTCAGGATTTCACATCTATAGGGGGTTGAAAAGGGTAAGGATAACTGTAAGAGTCTGTGCTGACAAAATTTCCGCAGGAATAGTAAGTTTTAACTCCAGCTAGGTGTAAAACTATAGTACTTAGAGGTCGTTCACATATGATGTTCTGCAACAGCATCAGTGTCTATGACGCTGTCCGACCACTGTCCATGAACACGAAAACAGTCCAATCCCTTGTCAATACCCTTCGTCAGTGCATGGCAACAGGCAGAAGACCTTCTGGAAGACGGAGCTCAAAGAAAAATTGGTGAACCCGGCCATATAATAGAAATTGACGAATCAAAGTTTGGAAAATGGAAGTATAACCGAGGAAGAAGAGTTGTTGGTAAATGGGTACTTGGGGAATTTTGTAGGACTACAGAATAACACACGAGTGTTTTTTAGTGAAATGTCCTAACAACCGGAGGGACCACCACACTCTCCTTTGCTTGATAAAGCTCTATGTTGCCCCAGGAACCACCATCTTGACAGACAAGTGTAGAGGTTACAGTGCTCTTTCACGGCAAGGATTTGTACAGGGTGGGTCTTATACCTCCGCCGTGTTTTATATTTGAGAGCTGTTGCTTTGCAGATGGCATACTGTACTTACTGGTTCGAGGATTCCGTCGTCAAAATAAGAAAATTCGAATATTTTAGACCACGCCCATTCAATATTAAAAGACCTATATTGTTTTCTCTGAACATGCTGAACGCCTAATTTTTTTAGAGACGGTAGATTATCAAATGTTGCATTATATGATCTGAAAACATGAGGCAAAACAGATTAGAAATGACGAAGTTATCAAGCATTTTGTGTATCTCGTTAACAAAATTGACTGGGTGATTATGTGACACCGTGACACGACACCTCAATTGGGCACCCTTAACAATTCCCATAACGTTTAACGGGGTAGTTAACGGGGTCACCTTATCACGTGATTAGGTAAACCAATCACCTGATCACACGTAATGAATAAACTCGTTATGCTTCATATCTCGGTCATCTGAGAAGCTACAGTTCTAATTCTTTCAGGACAAACGTAATTTTAATGGCCAAACACAATTCAATAACATTTAGCTTGATCCGACTATCCAAACGATCAATTAAATGTGAAAATGAACCTCCATTTGAAAAAAATGAACACGAATATTTTTCGAGTTGACAAATACCTCGAACCAGTGGTGGTACTGAGTCATACCAGGAGGAAGTATTTCAATTGGGCACTCAGTGCCTGAGCTATTAATGCCAACGTTTGCACACTGACTTTTGGCCCACCCTGTACATCTTGTGGTCAACCATTCAAGAGGCTTCATTGACCCTCTAGCTGGTGTTCACACCAAGACATGTGAAGAGATGTGGTTTCACGTAAAAAGGCACATGCTCCGTGGCCATGGAAGGACCCGTGCAGACTCTGAAGCCCTACAGATAGCCTTCTGTGAGCTTGTGAGTTCATGTGGCGCAAGTGTCACAACCTCATCCGATCGGACTCATCTGTGGGAAGAGCCTTTAATAGCGAATTCCCTAAGCTGATGAGAAGAGTATTATCCTAAATGATTCTTGTTCTTTTGAAATACGTTTTTAAGTTAATTATGAGAAGATTTATTGAATTAATCTTATTTTATCCTCTTGTACCACAACTTGCCCCGATTGTGCCACGAATGTGCCTCAAGTGTGCACAAGTAACTTTTCACCCCAGCTGTGCCTCAACTGTGCCCCAAGTGTGTTTAGTTTTCCTAAACTGTGCTTCAAGTCATTTTTTGCCTCGACTGTGCCCCAAGTGTGCCTCAGCTGTTTTTGCCCCGAGTATGCCCCAAGTGTGCCCCAAGTAACTTTTTGCCCCGACTGTGCCCTAAATGTGCCCGGGAATTTAAACTTTGTGCCCCAAGTATGCCTAGCTAGATTACCAACTGGCCGAACTATCATTAATTGCAGTAACAGATATCTCTTCTATAATTGATGAAATTTTATTTTCGATTTGTAAATGTGATTTTAATGCATCCAATTAAGCTCATTATGACTCAGGTATGACACACTATGAAGCATTAGGAGAGAGTACTGATTACGAATGTCTGGTGTGTTCAGAACTCCAGCTGGTGGTCATGACCTGTTTCAAGTGTTCTATTCTTCTCTGCAATGATTGTCTTCCGTCAGTGTAAGTTTTTCAGGCTGTTGTTATTTCAGTTGAATACACTTTTTGGATTCAGAATTAAATATAAAATAAAACTTATATCAGACTAAGCCCAAAACAATATGCCCAAAATATTATGCCCTTGAAGTGAAGAAACCTTAAAATAATTCTTTAATAGACACACAAAAGAAGTTGGAGACTCAAACAGTGTGCTTTAGTCAAACTCAATCTCATTCATGTCAACATTATACTGATTATACTGGAGCAACCAGCATGAATCTTAAAACTCGCTGCTGCTCGAAGTTCCCTCAGAATCTGAACTAGACTGATCACTCGAGCTTTCCTCTGTATGGGAACTTGCCAATGCATTTGTGTATTTCCAGGTCTTGAGCGCTTGAAGTGCTGCGTCGTGAGAAGCATCTTTCTTCCTTTTAAAGGTGTTACCTCGGACTCTCGGAAAGTCTTCCTCCCCGTAATCATTCGCCAGGCTTTCATGGAAAAACTGCAAATTATGGTATTGGAGAATTGGATACCTAGCAACGGCCAGCAAAGTAATTTTTAATTTATTTATCAAAAGTTTGAAATTACAGAAATATTCTCATTTAAGTTTGATCAAACCATTTAATATGTATCTTATAGCACACCTCACAAAAGTATCCCACATTGGGATTCTGAGGGTCATTTTGTAGAGCAGCCACTAGAGGTGGTTTCTCCTTGAAATACTTGCTGAGGAGGGTGTTTAGGACACCTGTGCACCAGGTTCTTGTCTTTAGAACATCCTGCAAGTTTCATTAGTTCGCAATATTATTATTGCAGTATACATTGCAGTATTATGTTCGCACGGTTTTATATTCGCAACAACTTGGTGAGCCGAATATGTAAAATGTTGATAAAAACCTGGTGTTCCTGAATCCCAACTAGCAATTACTGAGTAATTACAATGTCGTGTGCTGTTACTTGATTCAAAACAAAACCTAATTTACACCAATTTAATACTGATAAGAAGCAGCGAGGAATATGTCTGTAGGATTTGTTCCCGAACAATCTAACACTCGCCTGATCGTCCACAAGGTTGTAAAACTTGGCTGCTTCTCGAAACACCTTATGCTCAGCTTCCAGTTCAGAATCACACCATCCTGATTCTAGAAACTTCTCCTCGCCCGCCCTGTTCTTCTTTAGCAGCTCACAGCTTACACGTGATCGGCTTTGGTCGTTCATAACGTTCACTACTGCTTTGCAACCCTGCAATACTTTTCTGTGAAGATTAAAGTTTAAACCGACCAAACCTCGTGAGGACTTCTTGAGATCAGTGCGATCTATCAAGGAAAAGAGGAATACTAACTACTCAGGTAGTATGAAAATATGGGAAGTTTTCTCCTCAGCTAACCACCACTACACGACTTGACTCATAAATATAAATAAATACCAACACCTGACTATATCAAATAAACCAACCTCTCTCTGAAGTGCAGTCTCCACCTCCTTCTTTATATGGGTGTGTAGCTGCCCCTCTAGCTGAGCTAACTCCATCATGGAGCCCTGTCTTACGGGAGTGCTATCCTCGTATGCTCTGTTTAGTCCTCCACGACCTGACATCGGATGGCTGAAGAAGAACTTGAGAGGAAGAACTTGAGAAGAAGAACTTGAGAGGAAAGTTTGAGAGGGAAGTGTTTGGGGAGTAACAGGAAACCAAACAGATAACTGGTTTGAACTAAGAATTTGTTAGACTGAAGTTGTAATACAAGATATGGAGAGAGCTGTAAGTAGTGTGATTTAGTTTGACTGGCAGTGTCGAGGCTGCTGACTTACTTATTATCACGTGATCACTTGTTGTGCTGTTGTCACGTGGTGTTGTCACGTGGTGTAGACCATGCTGCCCAGACTGGGAGCTTTAGGTAGACTGTCAGCACTCCTGACAGTCAGGAGTGCAATTATTTCAACATAAAATATTGAATCAGTGATCACGTTTTGATAATGATGTTTTGTAATTTAAGAAAGAGAAAATGATATATTATCTTTTATATAACTGTGTTTGAAAACGGAAACTTTAACCACTGAAAATTACTGGTCTGTTGAAAATTAGATTTTATTTAGATAATCGGTGAACACTGTACAGATTGATTACCCAGTGAAACTTAATCATTTAATTGGTTGCTAGGATACAAGAACACCAAGGTTTTGTAAAATCACGCACAATATGGAAAAAAAGCACCTGGGAAAGTGACACTTTTTGCACCTTCAAATTGTCGACTTAAGGTTTTTAAATTGTTTGAGTGCTTGAGTACTTGAGCGCGGCATTAAAGATGGATATGTCAAGTTAAGTAACAAAATTATAACTCATTCGGTGTACTATTTCATAAGCTGTACTTCAAATATTTGAGGAATAAGTGAAATTTTGATACACCCGACTAAATTTGTCGTACACCCGTGCTAACCATCTCCAGAAGGTGACCACAAACTCATTACCCCAATTTTTGCTATCCCTTACACTCAAATCATCAGAAAATCAATTTTCTGCAAAACGTCAAAACTTAAATCTTAGGGGAAAACCGAAAATCACATGAATTTTCAAAACCATCCCAAAACGGGAAGGCAGATTTTGCTCATGTCACTTTAAGTACCATTTAGTGCTTTTGATCTCATATTGTAAGTTTAATATAGTGCGTCAATATAATATTTACCTGTATATGTAAAGGTAAATATTATATTGACAGTTTAAATCAAACTTACTGTATGATATCAAAAGAACGAAATATTCGTTACAGTGGGTGTCGCATATCTCAATCTGCGATGTTTATACCGTTTAGTCATATCAAGTATCGTTACTTTTGTTTATTGTTAAAACATCACGTACGTATGATTTCGCAATTCATTTTTTGAGCTGAATTTGAGTACAAAATTAACTTTCACATCATCTTATGTAATAGAGTGTATATTGTATAATGATTTAAACACTACATTAAAAAAAGCAAAAAACCATATAACATCTAACTGTTGAGCATTGTTAACTTTAAAATTAATGTAACTAGAATACAAATCTGCAGAGTACACGTCACACGAATATTTATTATTTATACACAAATATCAACGGAATCAACTACCGGAGAGAAATCCGATCTTTCTTGTCAACATGATAAAACGGAATAATAAGGAATAGGTAGCGAAGAGGTTTCCTATTATTTCTGGAAAAAATAAAGTAAAACCCGATTTCCACATGTAATGTACATAGTTATAAAGAGGGATTGGCGTGCCACACCCACTGTAATTAATTAAATTTGACGAAATTTTTAGGAAATCTAAGTTTGACCCATATCTATAACATCTGTATAATATCTGAAAATCATCAGAAAATCAATTTTCTGCAAAACATTAAAACTTAAATCTTAGAGGAAAATCACATGAATTTTCAAAACCATCCCAAAACGGGAAGGCAGATTTTGCTCATGTCACTTTAAGTACCATTTAGTGCTTTTGATCTCATATTGTAAGTTTAATATAGTGCGTCAATATAATATTTACCTGTATATGTAAAGGTAAATATTATATTGACAGTTTAAATCAAACTTACTGTATGATATCAAAAGAACGAAATATTCGTTACAGTGGGTGTCGCATATCTCAATCTGCGATGTTTATACCGTTTAGTCATATCAAGTATCGTTACTTTTGTTTATTGTTAAAACATCACGTACGTATGATTTCGCAATTCATTTTTTGAGCTGAATTTGAGTACAAAATTAACTTTCACATCATCTTATGTAATAGAGTGTATATTGTATAATGATTTAAACACTACATTAAAAAAAGCAAAAAACCATATAACATCTAACTGTTGAGCATTGTTAACTTTAAAATTAATGTAACTAGAATACAAATCTGCAGAGTACACGTCACACGAATATTTATTATTTATACACAAATATCAACGGAATCAACTACCGGAGAGAAATCCGATCTTTCTTGTCAACATGATAAAACGGAATAATAAGGAATAGGTAGCGAAGAGGTTTCCTATTATTTCTGGAAAAAATAAAGTAAAACCCGATTTCCACATGTAATGTACATAGTTATAAAGAGGGATTGGCGTGCCACACCCACTGTAATTAATTAAATTTGACGAAATTTTCAGGAAATCTAAGTTTGACCCATATCTATAACATCTGTATAATATCTGAAATTTCTGCGCAATTTTAAGAAGAATTACGTGAGTTATTGAAGGGTTGCGTGTGGGCAGTTACTTCTGGGCCACCTTGTATAATGAATTAGTAATAACAGATGTATAAAAGTAATCACTAATGTGTAATAAATTATGTATACATAACGCAGTTACAATGGTGAATTAGATAGCCGATACCGTTGGAAATGTATTCTTTAATTTTGGTTCATACCATGAAACGGAGTGCCGGGAGTTAGTGTTCAATAGATGTGTACTCTGGTGGAGTGGTGAACAGTATTTGTTTTGACACGTGACGTTTATTCTTGTCAGAGCTGGATGCTGATAATTTAATCGTTGTCACGTGACAATAGTATTCAGATTTATCCTAACCGAACTGAACTGAACTCTTGTCTGCTGATCGCCGAACTAACATTTTTTAAGGAAAACATTTATTTCCAATTCGGCTAGCAATTAAAATTCATTTATTTGTTTGAATAGTTGAAGAAGTAACATCTGAAACACGTGTTCACCTCTTTTCGGAGTGGCTGTGTCAGTGAGTCAGTGAGTCAGTGAGTCAGTGAGTCAGTGAGTCAGTGAGTCAGTGAGTCAGTGAGTCAGTGAGTCAGTGAGTCAGTGAGTCAGTGAGTCAGTGTGTCAGTGAGTCAGTGTGTCAGTGAGTCAGTGTGTCAGTGAGTCGGCTAGAAGAGGACAGCTATCCGACCAGATTTCCCTCCCATTCTCCACCATAAGTGGAGTGTACTCTGTGCTCCACCGCAATTCACCAGATTCTCAAGAAAACAGGCTGAGGCTGGTTATAAACCACAAATTGTCTGGATTTGATCAATCCAGTGTAGAGTCTACAGCGAGGAAGCTGGGAAGCATGAGTCATGACCAAACAAAATCTCAGCTAACATGATGGTGGCAATACCACCACAATAAATAAAATCCAGTACACACTACACAACTTATTTATTAATCTAGTAACGCGGCATGAGCGACAAATTAATTTGCAACAGTCCAGAGACGTTACTAATTTTACGGAATATATCATAATCCGTGTCCCTACCCAGTGTCCCTGTCCCTAGTGTCCCTAACCAGTGACCTCGTCCCTAACCAGTGTCCCTACCCAGTGTCCCTACCCAGTGTCCCTACCCAGTGTCCCTACCCAGTGTCTCTACCCAGTGTCCCTACCCAGTGTCCCTACCCAGTGTCCCTACCCAGTGTCTCTACCCAGTTTCCCTACCCAGTGTCCCTACCCAGTTTCCCTACCCAGTGTCCCTGTAACTCTCTACCCAGTGTCTCTACCCAGTGTCCCTACCCAGTGTCCCTACACAGTGTCCCTACCCAGTGTCTCTACCCAGTTTCCCTACCCAGTGTCCCTACCCAGTTTCCCTACCCAGTGTCCCTGTAACTCCCTACCCAGTGTCCCTACCCAGTGTCTCTACCCAGTTTCCCTACCCAGTTTTCCTACCCAGTTTTCCTACCCAGTGTCCCTACCCAGTGTCCCTACCCAGATTCCTACCCAGTGTCCCTACCCAGTGTCCCTACCCAGTGTCCCTACCCAGTGTCCCTACCCAGTGTCCCTACCCAGTGTCTCTACCCAGTTTCCCTACCCAGTGTCCCTACCCAGTTTCCCTACCCAGTGTCCCTGTAACTCCCTACCCAGTGTCCCTACCCAGTGTCTCTACTCAGTGTCCCTACCCAGTGTCCCTACCCAGTTTCCCTACCCAGTGTCTCTACCCAGTTTCCCTACCCAGTGTCCCTACCCAGTGTCCCTACCCAGTGTCCCTACCCAGTGTCCCTACCCAGTGTCCCTACCCAGTGTCCCTACCCAGTGTCCCTACCCAGTGTCCCTACCCAGTGTCCCTACCCAGTGTCCCTGTAACTCCCTACCCAGTGTCCCTACCCAGTTTCCCTACCCAGTGTCCCTACCCAGTGTCTCTACCCAGTGTCCCTACCCAGTGTCCCTACCCAGTGTCCCTACCCAGTGTCTCTACCCAGTTTCCCTACCCAGTGTCTCTACCCAGTTTCCCTACCCAGTGTCCCTACCCAGTGTCTCTACCCAGTGTCCCTACCCAGTGTCCCTACCCAGTGTCCCTACCCAGTTTCCCTACCCAGTGTCCCTGTAACTCCCTACCCAGTGTCCCTACCCAGTGTCCCTACCCAGATTCCTACCCAGTGTCCCTACCCAGTGTCCCTACCCAGTGTCCCTACCCAGTGTCCCTACCCAGTGTCCCTACCCAGTGTCTCTACCCAGTTTCCCTACCCAGTGTCCCTACCCAGTTTCCCTACCCAGTGTCCCTGTAACTCCCTACCCAGTGTCCCTACCCAGTGTCTCTACTCAGTGTCCCTACCCAGTGTCCCTACCCAGTTTCCCTACCCAGTGTCTCTACCCAGTTTCCCTACCCAGTGTCCCTACCCAGTGTCCCTACCCAGTGTCCCTACCCAGTGTCCCTACCCAGTGTCCCTACCCAGTGTCCCTACCCAGTGTCCCTACCCAGTGTCCCTACCCAGTGTCCCTACCCAGTGTCCCTGTAACTCCCTACCCAGTGTCCCTACCCAGTTTCCCTACCCAGTGTCCCTACCCAGTGTCTCTACCCAGTGTCCCTACCCAGTGTCCCTACCCAGTGTCCCTACCCAGTGTCTCTACCCAGTTTCCCTACCCAGTGTCTCTACCCAGTTTCCCTACCCAGTGTCCCTACCCAGTGTCTCTACCCAGTGTCCCTACCCAGTGTCCCTACCCAGTGTCCCTACCCAGTTTCCCTACCCAGTGTCCCTGTAACTCCCTACCCAGTGTCCCTACCCAGTGTCTCTACTCAGTGTCCCTACCCAGTGTCCCTACCCAGTTTCCCTACCCAGTGTCTCTACCCAGTTTCCCTACCCAGTGTCCCTACCCAGTGTCCCTACCCAGTGTCCCTACCCAGTGTCCCTACCCAGTGTCCCTACCCAGTGTCCCTACCCAGTGTCCCTACCCAGTGTCCCTACCCAGTGTCCCTGTAACTCCCTACCCAGTGTCCCTACCCAGTGTCCCTACCCAGTGTCCCTACCCAGTGTCTCTACCCAGTGTCCCTACCCAGTGTCCCTACCTAGTGTCCCTGATGTTTGATCCAATACCCAACTGACCCCATAATTTCAGATCATGTTGTCCACAGTGTAAAGCCGCCCCAGTAACAGAAGTATTCACCCCTAACAGCTTTGTCTCCAAACACATAAAGACTATTAAAGTGGAGTGTACTCTGTGCTCCTGGACCGGAGATTTCTACGACTTTCGTCAGGTTAATTTACTTATAAAGTAACTTATAATAAAGTAACTTATAATAAAGTAACTTATAATAAAGTAACTTTACTTAATTAATTGATTTACTAATAAAGTAACTTTACTTATAAGTTATAGCTAATGATATATAACTTATACATGAGTTATGATAGCGTAATTTTGATAATGGCAACTTCTTTACTCGTAATAAAGTTAAGTTAATATTGGGTAGTCACTAGTCAGGTAGTGGCAACTGCGTTAAACTTCGTGAGGAAGTGGTTGCTGATTATGTGTCATATAAATGAGCCTAGTCACATACACATAGTCACGTGGTATGTCACGTGACTATATTGTCTGGCATGCTTGGTAGGAACTTATAATAAAGTTGGGAGTCGTAAGAAAATGTACTTATCCTTGACGGAATAAAAACGGGGAGTGGATATATTTGCCGTGAATATTATAGAACTGAGTTATTACGGAACTGAGTTATTACGGAACTGAGTTATTCCATCCTGCTATAAATAACCTGGCGGTGTGCACCTGTATGATATTACACGCAAATAGAATAGGATTAATAATTCATTAATCCCCCTTAGTACTCTCCAGTCGAATAATAGTCTATTATTAACGAAATCGAATATCAACCGCAAATACTAGGTGGTATCAATGAATATTGATTACTATTATCATTACAAGAAAATTCCGCCTTTATTATCTATATTATAATTTAAACTTGACGAAATTTCCCCGGCAACGGGGACATAGAAGAAAAAACACCGAAAATCGACCTCAAAATGACCCTCTGGTGAAATCAAACCCAGCTCGCAAATGGAGTTGAAACCTCGCCATTTTTAGCAGGGTTGTAGAAAAAGGATAGGAATAGGCTATAGCATTCTTAGAATTTTGATTTAGGCTTTAGATTTTTTATAATTAACGTCGGAAGTGAGGTAAAATAACCGTTAGAATAATGTCGTTATTTTAGCAAAGGTTTACTGCGCTGTTGCGTAGCAACGTTAAAATGCACGTGCGCGAGCAAAAACATCTTAACTACGCGCGTTGTTATGCTGTATGCTACGTCATAATTTCAAAACTAGCTCACATATACGCTCACGCTATGACTTATATTCATAACTTTGGTTGTGATTGGTATTTTTTGATGCGGTAAAAAGTATCGTTTTGGGAATCCGAATACTAACAACGCTGTCGCCATTGTTAAATAAATTCCATTATGTCTACTGTATAACAGAGCTGTATGATGAAGAGAAATTAAAACATAACTGATTTTTAAAATTTCCTCGAACAAAGCGTCCTATAGTGTCATTTAATAAAATTTTCGACTACAGCGGATTTCAACGCGCGGTGTTATGCTGTAAGCTACGTCAGAATTTCACAACTAGCTCACATTTACCCTCATGACGCTATATACCTATATATATTTATAACTTTGGTTGTGATTGAAACTTTTTGATGCGGTAAAAAGTATTGTTTTGGGGCTATATGATGAAGAGAAATTAAAACATAACTGATGCTTAAAACTTCCTCGAACAAAGCTTTCGACTAACGGCGGGTTTCTAGTTTATGATATTCTGGAGTCAAGATTCAAGCTGCTTCCAGGGATTACAAATCTTTCAAATCACCATGGTATTATTTATGGAAATTATGGTAATTAAGGTATTTATGGCAATTGAAGAGACTATTCTGGAGTTCGGTGGAATCTACTTATTGAATAATTTTACCATTTCATGCAAATCTCACATATATTTGCTTCTGATAGAACGGTAGTGTACTCCAATCTTGCTGTGTCCTGCTAAGGAGCAATCGAATAAAATAAAAATCAGAAATGATAGATCTGATAAAAATATGTGTAATCATTTAACAGAAATAGAGTTAGCGATAGTCTATCAACTAATGAATAATCGATTGCGAATTTACCGAACGAAACTGTCTCGTAATTTGTGGGTTCCAATGAATAGTTATTCGTCTTTTCTGAGGATTTCGCAGCGTGAATAAATAATTATTACTAATTATTATAATTATTACTAGTCCTGCACTAATTATTTCTAGTCCTGCACTAATTATTACTAATTATTACTAGTCCTCCACTAATTATTACTAATTATTACTAATTATTACTAGTCCTACGCTATTGTTTGAGGACGCAATACCTCAGCTAAACTTTGACATCTTTTACATCTACAGACAGTTACGATGTCTAAATGATCATAAGACAGTACAGTGAACAAGGAATAAATAAGGAATAACATAGTGGGTACCCTAAAAAATGTTGATTTCTCATAATATTCTCATATTACCAACTCAGATTAATAGTTAATACTGCACAGCACATTCCATTCACAAATCCAAAAATAAAAAGTTTACCAAAGACAGATATTCTGTACCATATTTTGTATACTTCTTACAATAACCACAGTTTAGTTATTGACTACCAGCATTACTATTTTCGTGTGCTCCCGTCTCCTAATAATAGATTAAAATGACCTGTAATTAGACAGAGAAACTCTTTGTGCCTTATATGGGCTATCTTGCAGGTGTCCCTGCAACCTGCTGTAACATTAGGTTATTTCCTCGTGCATGCTACTGTAATTTCTCCATCTTAATTCTAAAGTAACGATTTAAGCTCGACTCTAAATCAAACCAAGCGTATATGCCATATACAATTTCAGCTTTGGGATATTTTAATATGCTCAAGGTATGTCTCGTACCAGAAAACGATTGATTGGATTTTGCGGTAAGGTATGAGCTCGTGCAACCTACTTTCATCAAGATTGGGCCACATACAGTAGTTTTTAGGTTATTCAGGTCGCTAAAGTTATTAAAGTTTCTGGCTTACCAGCGGCGCTTTCCAATAAAACTTAGAAGAATAACTAATCGTAAATTGATATGCCTAAATAGTAAATACAGATGTAGATGGTTTTATTTCAAGTATATAATATTATACACAACATTAGGGATAATGTCTAGTCGGGTTATACCGTACAATACATTACATTAATACCCAATTTAATCAAACCACATCTTTGTTTAGTGTCGTGTCTAGATTTCTGGTAGATCTTAATACAGATAAGGATCTGTTGACATTCGGAAGTCACTGTTGGAAAGCTGGAAAATGGAGGGAAGCTGGAAATGAAGTTTACCTGACAGAGTATTATGGGTTGCATTTGACGGAAAAAGCAGGAGGAAATGTTTGATACTAGGGGGGGGGGGGGGGGGGGGACCCAAGTAGTTTGGTGTTATTTTCACACAGCAAGAAAGAGGCACTTACCAGGGTTCAAACTTCCACCATTTTACTGCATTTCAGTAGTATAACATATCTGTTTAAACATCAGACAATGATTATGTTAAATTCTGTACAGCTTATTAAAATAGATAAATGAATGGATATTGGATATTGGGAGGTACCCTCAGTTAACGAAAGGTGATCTGTTGTATTATATATTATAATATTAATAATATTGCTGTATTGGAATAACATAACTATTTATAACATCATTTTTAGTGGCCTGTAGGTTCATGGCACCCTTTACAAGCGTTAAGAAAGGAAGATAAGCATTAATCTTGGGATAATATCATTCTTTACACTTTCATGAACTTAAAAGGCAGTTTTCTCTGAAACTCCAACATTTTGACCAAGCATTGAACTAACCTACAATACATGTACAGTGTACACGATGCAGCTAGTAGATATAATATAATAAATAAATAATTTATTTACAATGTACACAATGCATGTAATACTGACGTGAACACAGTGCAGGTGGTAACTGGTAGTGCATATAATGTATATAATGCAGGTAGTAAACGTAAAGTACACTTATAGCACACGTAGAGTACACGTAAAGTACATGTAAAGCAATGTATACAATGTATATAATGTATACACTTACAGCTCCACCAGCCGTTTCCTAGATAATTATCAGCTGTTGAGCTGTGTTTGGAATGGTTGGGAAGAAACCACTTTTATTGGACTAACAGTTGCTACTGAACATTCTATCCGGTTAAGTTTAACTGAACATTTAAAGTTTTTCTATTTGGAGGTTGAACAAAAAAGGAAGATATATGGTGTGAATACAGGATTGATTATTAAAACTTTACTTTTTATTGACAGGATAGCAAGCACAGATTTGTAATTGAGCAATAACATGGCTGCAGCTACGTGATATGCGCCATTCTCATTGCCTCATACTCCATAATAATATTGATATTATATATAAGGCATGATACCCTATGTTTTCTGAGAATCCTGAGCACGCTTTAAATTGTAAGTTTTTGAAAATTCATTGTCGTCATCTCTATACATGAGCTCTTAGTTGTAATATCTGCATATCAACATTACAGCGTCATGGCACAAATCTAAGAGAAATTTGACCATAACCGGGCAGACATTAGGGAGCCAGTTGGGACCATAAACCATAGAAAGTTAGTAATATAACCTGTTCTATTCCTTTTTATTATATTATACTTTGTAACGTGTGCCCGATGCATTATAGGATCAAAATTAAGTCATTGCTGTTGGGATCAGAATTGTATAGCTGAGTAGAGATGGCTAAAATACCATAAATCTATTATCATTATATTACTGATATTTCTGATAAATGATAAGTGTGTTTCTTCTTTTCCAACAATGTAATCTACTGTAAATTAACTTAGGAAGAACAAAGAACCTTTACGAGACTATATTAGTAGATTTGGTATTTCCTCTTGTAACAAATTTTAACTATGTATCATATTACTTACGTTACGTTACTTTATGTTACTTTATGTTACTTCTCTTCAGGCACATGCAGAACACTGTGAAGAAGTACTAGTGCGGTGTAAACACAAAGATTGTTCCCAAAAGTGCAAGAGATCTACCATTACTGACCACGAGTCTGGGTGTCAGCATTATATTGTGAGTTGGAACGTTGAACGTTTGTAATCCTCATAATCACGTACGGGTAAATTGTTTAAGGTCATTGTAAAGTTTGCTTTGCCCAAATTTGACTGCCAAAATTGGTACAATTTGACCGGTTGAGCTATTTAGTGAGCTAGCATGCCGCCTGGTGTTCACCCTTTGTTAATATTTCACCCAGATGGAAACAAATGTTCACTGGACACTTTAACATGTAATCTATATGTGTTACTCAGCCAATGTGGAGCATATCAGTGCTTCAAAGTGACATTTTAAAAATTTGTGCAATCTCGTTGGTAACTGAATCAGGCAGTCAAAACAGGTTGAGCCTCTCAGAAAAAGGTCCCATCTACACAGAAAGCCCCGGTTGAGACAACTTTTAATGCTCAGCCTGTGTGGAGCAGTAGCTTGAAAGTTAGGCAATTTTCAAGACCAAAAATCATACGCTAAACAGTCAAGTTTTTGGTTGAACCTCTATGAACTTTTTAGCTGAAACCCCTCTCAAGAGTTTTTGACTATTTGCGATAACACACCATGTCTCAACCGACGTGGAGCGAGGTTTTGGCAATGTAGAAATTTGTAAATTTTTAATTTATTAGCTTTTCATAATGCTTTTGTTTAGTATTATAGATCTGTAAGATTTTTTTAGCTTGGTAACTCTTACTAACTCTATTTTGAGTACTGAAACGGATATTTATATTCAGTACACTTCTCTCAACCCTGTGGAGCCCAAAATGGTTAAAAATTTGCCAACTTTTAAATTCTTTCTGGGTTGAGATAAAGTGACTTCTGTGATTTACATCTTGACTCCTGTATCTATATTTTCACCGTTGATGCAGACTCTTTAGTCGAGAACAGCCTATCTCAACCATGTGGAGCAAAAAGAGGTCTTCCTTTTGATCAATCGAGACAACTTTTAAGTGCTTCATGGGATATTATTTTTATTCATTCTAGAGAAAATATGTTATAATATTGGTGGTCAATAAACTTACTTCACGGGAACTATTCAGTGCTCAACCTGTGTGGAGCAGAGATAATTTCTGTTGTATTAGATTTTCGAAGCTCACTACTTCATTCTACAGCCGCATGCAAGAGAGATCTTCATCAAATGTTAGGCAGTTGAGGAATCCCGTACATGACATGTCATTTCTAGCTCTGTTCCACTCTGGCTGAACAGTTCTGGAACATAAATCATGGCCCAATCATGGTAAGAAAAGTATTTAAAGTATATCAGTAAACTTTAAATTGCATTACGTACAAATTGGCTACAGATCGACCATCATGGAGACTCTTTTTACCGTAGAAAAGCCTGTTGCTCCTCACGGTTGAGCATATTGTCTTTTTCTATGGTGGCATATTTCTCTTTAAAGGACACAGTACTACATACATCAACAGCTTCTTAAGTATTGATGATATCATTCCTCCTTTATCCTAATATAACAATACTGATCCTTACAAATAGTTGTGTTATCAATTTATCATTCCATTCTGCTCCTCTCTGGTTGAGCCTATTAAATACAATTTTTCAATCTGTTCTGCTAGTAATTTAATGTAAAAGCTAAAATACTCATTCTAATTTCTCATCGAAGTCATATCAGCCGATGAGGAGTCATGTTATGCAGTAAAAGTCCTCTGCTCCACATGGTTGAGCATTACTAGGTTTATCAGCAGTTCCAAAGAATAGAGTCAGGGGGTCTGAACATAATCACAAGAAAAAATGATATTTTTATGGCCTGATTAGATGTATTTATCGTTTTTAATCACACTCACTTTCAAAACTCAGTTTCTTCCCAATCAGTATTCCCAACTAAGCTATAATAGTTTCGTGCTCCGCATCGGTTGAGCAAGGTGTACCATTATTGATAATGTTATCTGGTGCGTATTCCTTTAAACTAAGATTTTGTGAAAAGACGGAGATTCTACTGTAATGTTTACCCCTGGTTGAGACGAAAAATATGAGGATATTTCGACTGCTCCACACTGGCTGAGGTCCATTTTATGATTTGGCAGTGAAAATATTTTGCAATTAACGTCCAGGATCTATTTGTTAAATGGCGATCAAAATAGTCAAAAAGCATAGATTTTATCGGGGTGCTCCACACTTTTTTGCTCCACATCGAAAACCAGGTCATAACTTTTGCTCCACATGAGATAGAAACTTCATTCCAAAGAATTCAGAAAATTCGGAATCTTCAGATGAAAATGATATCAGAAAGGATTAAATTGCTCTTTATCAACCTGCTCAAAAATTTAAATCAAAAAGTAAGCAAAATGGGCAAAGCAAAATTGACAATGACCTTAAGTTGACAGGTTGTGGTACACGTTACTGGGCGGCGCTCAGCCTGTCATTTCGCCGAATCTCTATTATGTTTATGAACATAATAGCCTGGGATCCCCAGGTAAGGTACACAACACTAAACATTCAGACACAAGACACAACAACTGGGTTTAGGTTACCCCAAGTCTTCCGAACGGTCATGCTCCAGTGAACCACTCCTCACATCCCATATTTTGAAAACATGAATTATGTTTATTTCTCATAAAACCATATCACTAAATATTCTTTTGACTGACTATGAAAATTAAATTTTGTTTTATTAACCTATGTTTTGATTGATAACGTGATATAATAAGAAATACGGAGACTTGCATGAATGGGATTGGTACGGTATTAAAAGAGAGTAATCAAGCAATAGATACTTTAGATTGTTTTACTAGTAGGTACACGATTGCATAATGCATACACTTTTTACTTTTCAAAGGATTCTCGTCGAGATGTCACTTGTCACATTTACTAGCGTTCAGTCAAGACAATATTCTAAGGAATGTGTGAAAGAACGCTGCGGGTATTATTTTGTAAATGTGTTATATGTTATGTTATCGGCCGTCAAGAGTAGATAAATTCCAGGTTTAGCGATCTGAAGAGATCTTTAAATGTTAAAGTGAGTACATTTGTGAAAGGAACGCTATGGGAAAAACTCTACTAATTTTCTGTTTACTATTAGGAGAATTTGATGTGTCAAAAAAATGTATAATTTTGATTACCTAGCATGTTGAAGCTTTACTACTACTACTATACAATCCAGAGGTAATTAGAGACTGTCATCAATTTAACTAAACTTTTCAAACCCTACCAGCTGTTCATACATTGATCTGACGTTTTCAGGTGCGGTGTCAGTTTTGCGATACAACTATCCAGTTTAATGACCTACAGGTTAGCACGTACTTCTACTTTTTAATCTGATTTAGAAATTTCTAGAACAATGAATGTCTGTCATAGCATTGCGATAGCTTGGCAATTCTATATCGAATTCTTGTCCAATCTCAAAATATTTTCTCTGATTTTTTGCGGTATGGGACCTACATACACCGACCATATTCCACTTTAAATTATCAGCCGTCATAATTCATTTACATACGTTCGAGTTGATTATCTTCTTTCTGAATATATGTAAATTTGATTACCTGGGTCGTCAAAATCATATTAGCACTGAATTCATATTGGGTGTCGCTAGATGATAACATTCATTGCTTTCTCCCGGGGCCTTATAACTTAATTTATCCACAATTTCTACCGCACATTCATGGATTAGAGTGTTCTGATTTGAAAACTGTAACTGATGATCCATCAGATAGTCTGAACTCTGATTTACTTGAGTGAGATTTACAGAATTGTGTCATTCCCAGGAACACCAGTCTGCCTGTGAGGAATGTCAGCTATGTGCGCAATGCAAACAGGTGAGTAATATCCTGGGTATATCCAGTTAGGTACCTTAATGTAAAGATGTTGTGTATATATCCTAGCGAAGTCGTGGAAATTCTGAAATTTAATGCGATCTTAATCCACGACTAAAATTTGAACTTATATTTGCTTCAAAAAAATTGTTATGTTTTGATGGTTATTTTCACTTTTCAATTCAATTTTCGGAATGCACCTTTACTTTGGTACAATTTATTTCGATCAGCAATTTTACGCAAAAGTAAGAGAACCTGTTTCGTGAAGGTTAAAGTGACAGATGCATACTCAAGAAACCTTGATAACTTAACTATTCGCATATTTACTAAGTTATCCTTATATGGATATTCGTGTCAAAAAACTTAAATGCTTACGCTAACATAAAATAATATATGAAATCTCTGTGTAACGGAAGGTTTTATAAATGACTAAAAAACGCTTTAGAACGTTGTATATATGAACGGTCACTTTGGTGTATTAATAAACGTTGATATAAAAATACTGCTCTTTTATGATGATAACTTCTCAAAGCTTAAACGATAATCAAACCTTGTAATTACAGCTGTGCTGTCTGATTTGGCGAGTTTTGACACACGTACGACAAGATAGAGCTGATAATTTATAATTTGATGCATTTATTCCCTGTCAAATTACTATAATCTTTACCTGATGTTATGGGCACAGATTTTTTTTGACTTAATTTAATTATCTCACGAAAGAGTAGACACTATTCGATTCAGTTGATGACTCATGATACCATTGAAATTATCAGTAATGGATCAATCTTCAAATTATGTAGCTAAAGATATTATTATCCCATTTATAAACTGAATTTTTATTCAATAATTATTACTTCTTGCTCGATGTTAAAGTTAAAAACGTACGTGCGGAATGGCAATCCTTAATATTTCCTACAACAACTTCGGGAAAATTTTTAACCAAACACATATGTGGATGGCGCAGCAACATTTTATTGTAAAAAAAGTCTATTTCAGATCGAGTACAACCGTTAAAACCGCGCGCCTCATGCGCGCAAGAACCATGACATCGGTCGTGCCTAGCAGTGCTATGAATATACAGTGCTGAGATTCTACTGTTGCGAGTATGAATTATGCATTATGCAGCGTATTCATACTCGTACTGGATCACGCACATCTAGTAGCAACTAAAATGGAGGTTTGATTATAATTGAGACAGTAAACCAAGTGGATCGTAACAACCTAACCCTATTTCAGTACCAGTTGAGGAGCAGTATGGCACTACACACACATCCCAACGTTGGCTGGTGCACGGCTGTCAATTTAGCGTGTATTTACTCGGACTGTAGTTATGAGGGTTCACACCATTCTTTAGCTAGTCACTATTTAACGGAACATGAGTTAGGGTTGGAGGAATTGGTTAAAACTGTTCTGATATGATGTTGGTTTGAAGCCTTTATTTCGATTTTAAAATTCATTATTTGAGAGAAGATTTTGGTGATAAGATTTGTATTGTATATATTTGATTTTCGAGACAAGATGTAAAGGATTCTTTTATAAATAACTTCTTAAACGATTTAGTTGTAACAAATCTATTACACTTATTAATATCGTGCAGAGGCACTTATTATCGGAATCCCAATGTGGCATAATTCTAAAATCTAGAGCAATTATAAACTAGCCATTATAAAATCCATGGCCAATATAACAAATGAACAATCAAAACCTGTCTACTAAGATGACCCAACAAAAGTCTACAGGGTCACTCTTAAAGATTCTTTTTCAATTTCTTAAATCAGTTGATTATTTATTATTATTCATCAACAACAACAATTATTAATGCCTCTGATGAAGCTTCGATACACATTTAGAGTGGAGGACTCTTTCTAACATGAGCTACTCTCCATTTTCTGGAAGGGGTATGAACGCTCGTTTTGGTTCAACACCAATTCTATGAAGCTGCATTGTTATTCAATAATACAGTATGAATCAAATGGACGCTCATTTCTGCCATACGCCGGCACGAAAATGTGCACACTTCCAGTTAAAACTCCAGTTAAATTTACACAATTATAATACACGAGCCCTCGTATCTGATAGTGCATTAAAAAGTAGCTAACTGAAATTCAATAAAATTGTCCTAAAACGAGCTCTTTCTCGCATCTCTCTAAATAATTGAAATTTAAATCCAGAGCATCTACAAAACTCAGATTATACAATCAAAACATACGCAGCTTGTGGGCGTAGTGCAAGTATTAGGCATGGTACAAATAAATTAGGATACAAAACTCCAAAACATCATCTAGTAACAGATAACACATACTATGTACTATGACACCACAATTATATCCAGAAAGCTAAGATTTAGCGCAATTCATCAGTAGCTACCGTGATGAAACCCCTCAAATTTTAGTACTTCAACAAGCTAGGCATTAACTTCGTCCTTAATAAGGGTACGGATCGACTGATTGAGCTAAAACTCAAATCCATCTGACCACACCCCAAGCGCCGATACTATGAATTAAACTACTATTTTGGAGGTGGCGCATGTAACTAATTTCTGGGGGCTTTAAAAGCGCTGGTTAATGTCTTTGCATCTTGTTTACGTACTCTGCCCGACTTAAAGCGAGTGCGGCTTCCAGCATCTTTTCTTCGTCGTATTCGTCGAGACCTGAAGATAATCAGTCAAGAAAACCATTAAGGTTATGGGTAAAACATTTATGTATTAATATTGTGGCTAAAACTAATCACTAACCAGCTGAATTCACCATGCAGACATGATCGCGTGCGCGCGGCGCGACCTTCTGTTTTGAGCTACACTAACGAGCGCACTCTCTATATTCAAAAGTTTCCAATTTTCAAGAACGAATCGCCTGCGCTACGCAATGTTGTGATGAGGCTAAACAGTACACCCACAAATGTAGCTTTCTTGTCACTACAAATTACATTCATTAATGCTCCTCATCACTTATACTCCCACTCAACAGTTCATAAAACTCTACCTAGGCTCAGAAATTTGGCCGAACTCCAACATAGCTGAGCCGGAAATGACTAAAACGTCACTCCGATGTGGTTAATAATAAAAACCGTCATGACTTATAAAACTGACAGTTAAACTCGAAAGGAAGCACTGTGACGGTATAGCGTTCCATAAAATTACGAGGTGTAAGCTAAGTACTGTCTGTATCATGTTTAACGTACACACAGTAAAGCAATAGTGTAATGACTTAATAGCTAATTAAAAGAAGATGTGATATGTACAAGAGGAGGTATTTATAACACTATACATGTGTACACACACACACACGCACATCTGGGCTCTTTGCCAGCTGGTGTGTGCAAAACGACACGTTCCCTATTCAGACGGGACATTTCGTTTTTATTTCCTCCCCAATTCATTAGAAAGAATGTGAAACACAATCCAAGGAAATATTTCATACCGTAAACAGGATATAAGGTGTGCAAGGGAGTAGAGTCGGTGGGTATGGAGGTGGAACTGTGGGGCGGTGTTCTGTTTGGGGCTGCTTGGTTCGTCCCGCTGCTACTACTACTGCTACTTGGACCCTGAGCATTGCACATATATATTATAAAAGTATTTTAAGTATGTTAACTTGTCATGTTGATCGACAAATATATTTGACATGTCATTAAAATGCAGCAGAAAGCTTGCACTTCACACACTAACCTGCTCGCTGGAGCTGCAGGCAGCAGTACCACTGTATCCGGAGTGACCGGGCGCTCCTTCGAGTGCAGCACTCGACCCTGCCACACTCGATCCAGAGGGGCCGGTTTCGGCTGAGCCTCGCTCGTTCTGTTTCACCCACTCCATGTAACTCTCACGTGCTATCGCTGCTGTTATCGCGTCCGCTGTTTAAATTATGATGTTATTTTTCCATGGGTATTTAAATTTATTATAAGGGTTCTGATTTCCATAATTTAGGGTTTGATTTGATTTGGCGAAATAGCTTGAAACAGTCTAAAAAATATGGACGATGCTGAAAATTGCCAGGTCTACAATTGACACACGATAAAAAGGACAGTAAGTCAGACACAGGGTCATTAAAAATCTGTGTAAGAATCAAGTTACCTCCGGTATATAAAGGCCACCTAATACTATTGTACCAACATACAATATGAAGACACTGTCTAAATAATATAATGAGTTTACCGTTGACCGCTGTGTAATTTGCGTTTGCATTGTGCAGCGACGGTTATTTTTAATTTTATCTCTATTACATAAATGCAAGAAAACTTCAGTTATTTATTCCTGAGATGGAATACCATTTCTTGGCATTTTCAGCTTTGTATTAATAATCAAATATGCTCACATAATTCAAATTAAATCTTTGTCAGATATAAATAACTGACCTGTTGCCTCCATATCAGTACTCTCTAGTTTATCTTGCATCATTATCCGCTCTATATCATCCGCTTCAGACTTTGTTAACCCCTCTTGTAGCAGCTGTTGATCTGGTAGCTGAGAAAAAGAAGAGTTACAGGCAGGGAGACAAACAAAGAGACAGACAGACAGGGACACACTCGTACACGCAGACAGACAGGGACACACTCGTACACGCAAACAGGTTGACGGAGAAAATGTAAAAACAATGGAATGTTTGACGCGACTATTAAAGAAGGGCTGGAAAGTTGAGGTCAGGGCCCTGACATGATTAGCAATGCAATCATTATCTGTAGCGGTAAAAATAACATTATTCACGCATATGCGTCAACTGATTTGTTGAGGGTAACGTTACGGTTAATAAAATCCAACGTCGGCCACTCTAGAACCTTCTGCTACCTTTTCATGTAACCCCAATTTACCGTGCCCCGATATAAAGGATGTATATAATGCATGTAAGTGGCCACTTAATATTGTAAATCAATGCCCCCATTTTACCTGGATAATTTCTTTTCTCCCCAGTTAATTGAACACTTATAATTCAAATTGAATTATCAGTTTCGGATAGATCGCCTGTATCATATTAACACGGTGCCCGTTTATAGAATCAATAAAGTCTACCACTAGTTTGACATTCCTAACTCAGGCTATAAATAGCACAAAACTCGCATTCGACGCTGTATTGAACTTATGGGCTAATAACAGAGCTGTCGATTATTTGAGTCGTGGGACACACCTCTCCCTCATATTATACAGTAAAACCCCTATTTACCGCGGCCATCTCTTCCCAAATAGGGCTTAACATGTTTAATGTCTACATTATACTATTATACATGTTAAAGCCCTGTTTACAAAAAAAACCCCGATTTACCGTGAACCCCGATTGACCGCGGGTGTTTCCTTTCCCCAAACTCCGTGGTAAATCGGGGTTTTACTGTATACCCAATATACGAATTAACGTCAGTGCCATGTACACTGAACAGGTATGCGGTTGATTAAGTAACTTTTAAATCTTGAGCCAAATTGGAACAAGTTTTGTTAAACTTTCCTGCTCGGCCATTAGATTGACCAAGTTGAAACGTAGCCTCATACCCGCCCTGTTATCATTTAAAATATATGCGTTACAAGCGAGGATTTGTTTTTCTTTTAAAAAGCACGCAAATTTTAAATACTATAAACGACTAAAAATTATTTATTTAAACGGTTGCAATCATGCTAGTTGCAGATAGTGATAAGACTGCAAGCAAGGTAAGGATTGATAATGCAGAGTTTGCAGACCAGCAAAGCGGCTGCAAGAGTTTTCTGTTGGAGCCTTTTGAAACCTGCCACAACAAACGGAATATATAAACATACCCAGGGGTGGATCCAGCATCGGATTGCAAAACTCTCCTAAAAGTTAAATTAAAAGCCCTGATTTATAAAAAAATTAACTTAAATACAAGGAAATGTTACATACCCCAGGTTTGTAGCCAGGAAGACCCAGGCCGACCCCAATACTAGGCTCATAGGGGTCCCTGACACTGTTGTAGTGACAGTTACAGTGGTATGACAGTCTGATTGGGGGGTAGTCTGTCTTGAGGTGGTAACCTAGTGTGTTAACCGGCTCTGAGAGGAGAAAGGGGTGAGTGTGAGGTAATAATAGGTAATAGTAGGCTAGGGGACTTGGAATTTGTGATGGAGGAAGGGGTAGATATTAAATCTGCTGGAATTAAAGACAAGGCTAACTGCTTTAAATAGCGCAAAGTTATTAGCCAACTTACACTAAATAAGTGTTGTATAGAAATATTAATTAGTGCTAATAATATACTTTAGCATGTCCGGTATTTATTATTACGTCACAAGAAACCCTTCGCTACAAAACTTGGACTTACACGTGGGATACTGGGGTGGGTTTTAATATGTGACAGTTATGCTGGTTTGGTCAATGCAAGAAGCTGATTGGTCGATCGTTACAACACGTATCAAAACACACTTGCACAACCCCTAATCCCTTCTGTACCCCACGGCCACGGCCCACACGTCTGCAAATTACAAACCCACCTATACTATAGATATAAACTTCAATAGGACGATTGTACATCTCAGACATAGCCTGCATCTCCAACTGGTTCCCATAACAGTTGTCCTGTCTCTTACGGTTGATGTAGGACATGTAATCCTCCGTTACGAATTGAGAGAAGTAGTCTCGGTTCTTCACCATGTAGTCCATACACTTTATTCGCACTACACCGTGCATTTCCTGGTCACCGTATAGCTGGTCAGCTGAGGTTGGGGAGGCGATGTTAGTGATGTTAGTGATGTTAGTGATGTTAGTCATGGTGGTAATGGTGGTAGGAGATCCATTATCAGAATATTTAGATGTAGGTTTGCAGAAATATTGATAGTTAATAATAAACAAATATGTATAAAGCCATAAAGAAATAAAAAATAAATATAGTCAAATTTTGTAATTTTATACAGCACTATATCGATGCATATTCATAAAATCCCTACCATAAATAAATAAATAAATAAATAAAGTCAATTTTTACAGCACAGCAATATATATCTAAATATCAGATCCTCTGTAATCATAATGTATAAAAAAAGGAGCTTTTCTCTGTGCTGAAGGATGAATCAAGGCAGATCATGGTTCTGTTAGCAGGCCACCCTAGTTATGGACAATACATATATATAAAATAATTAAATTATAATTTTAAAATTGTGTCAAGATTGAACTAAAACATAACTCAGGGTAAAATAGACGTATTCCCTTCGTCAAATTAACTATTTACAATACTAAACTTAAACGAACTCCGGGTAAAATAAACGTAATCCCTTTGTCAAACTTGCTATTTACAATAAGTTAATAAATTAATACGGTTGAAAATTATTTCATATTCAATAACAATACCATTATGAAAGGAACTTTTTATGGGTGCTGTAAAGGATGCAGCAAAGCAGATCATTGGACTGTACACCTAACTATGGATAAATAGATTTTCTTTGAAAATCTTTTGGTACATAAAATATTATTACAGTTATTTTAAATGAATGTTACTGTCATGATTAAAACAGAGAACTAGACGACTTAAATAACTGAGTAGGAAACAAAAATAAAACATAACTGGTTAGGAAACATAAAGGAAACTTAAAGTAAATTTAACCATTCGCATCTGTATTAGTTTGAGAGGATGTTATGATTTCGCCAGCCTAACACAACAAAACAGTATTGACATAATATGAAGAAAGAAATAATAAAAAGTGGTGAAGACAAGTGATATTTCTGTATTCAAAGTAGCTTACCAACTGATCTGAACAGGCAAGCCCCGTCGTCAGTGCAACGTTTTATTATCAGCCCTTTATTTTCTTTCAGCAGCTTCTCATACATCCTCTCTTTCTGGAGAAAAGTTGAAATGTCGTATTTTGTTTGTGATGTTTTATTGGATATATTTACATATTAGATACGGTTAATGTGAACTAAGCTAAGTTAATTGTATAAAATTAATTCTGATTTATGAGTGTAAGGTAATTAATCTTGTTTCCATAAACCGTTTGAAACACTGTAAAATTATGCAGGGGTATCAGTCCCAGACTCTGAATAACAGCCTTACAAATACCGGATATATCGAACAAAGGCCGTTTTCGTCACTAACATGGCAATCGTAGACAGAGCTGACGTCGTATTCATCATCACTGTTGTTTCTCTCTCTGGTATCAACGACAGGGCTGCGTGGGGTTGTAGTGCGTGTAGTTCCTACTACTCTTCTTCGGCGTCTACCATTATCGCGCCGCTCTACCTCCCAGTTCTCTAAAAAATGAGGATTTTGTGAAGCTCTCAAATTTTGTACATTTCCTCAACAATTTCAATTTGAGCTAATATCTAATGTTCATGAATTTATTCTTGTATTTGCAATACAATTTAAGCATTGTTTAATAAATATATAAAAAACAGGTTGTAAGATTACAATACCTGCGATGAAAGGTTTTTCTCGGTCTCTGGGAGGCGATGGTGGTGTCCGAGGGGGTGGAAAGAAAGCTGAACTTGATGGACTGGGAGATGAGCTACCGAATCTGTTAGGAGAAAGTGGAGTATCTGGGGCAGGCGGGGTCTCATCTGGCCCTTTTTCTTCTTCCTTTTCTAATTTTACAATCGGAAGGATGGTCATGGCTTAGCTGAAGGGGTGCATTATTTTCAAAAAATGAAGTTTGCAGATGTGAGAAGTCTTTAATTAAAAAGGGCCAGGGCAATCAATATAATCGCTAAATCCGAAGGATAGGTCAGCTTTTAGTGGTTTGTGTAAACTGTAATCACCGATATTTATTATAAAAGCAAACACAAATTAAGAAAAGCCACGACTGTAAGGTAGATAGCTAGAGCACAGTATGGAACACTGTATGTCTGATATCAAGAAATGGATGACAAACAATTTCCTTCAACTGAAATCTTTTAAGACTGAAGTCATCGTTAATATCCTCTAAATTTGACTCAAAAAATATTCCAGCCTCTCTACAGATTGTTAAGGATCAAGAGGCACATGTTGTTACTTGTTAGTGGAACTGTGAAGAGTCTTGGGCTGTATTTGGACAGTTATCTTTCAATGAGTGATCAGATTACGTCATTGGTTCAAGCATGTAATATTCAGATCAGAAATTTGTGGTTTATTGCATCAAAACTGTCTTTTAACCTTAAGATTCAGCTTGTTCATGCTATAGTACTCTCTAGAATTGATTATTGCAATAGCGTATATTTTGGACTGAGCTCTTATGATTTAAGTCGTTTACAGAAGGTGCAAAATTCTGCTGTAAGATTTATTTTCGGGAGAGGAAGAAAGGCACACACTACTCCACTAATTAAGAAAGTTCATTTTCTACCAGTTAGATTTAGAATAGATTTTAAGATTGCCCTACTTGCCTACCAGTGTTTGAATAATATAGCTCCTCCTTACTTAAAAGAGTTGTATCTCCTAGGCAGCGAAGTTTTAAAAATGTACGTCTTGATAATGATTATTTTTACCTTAGTTTTCCGCCCTCTCCTAACTATGTAAACACAGAGAAAGCTTTTAGTCACTGTGCAGTTAAAGTATTTAATTCCTTGCCATACGACATAAGATCAGCTGAGTCAGTTACATCTTTCAAGACCAAACTTAAAACATACTTATTTTCTCTAGCATTTGATTGATTTTGCATTTACATAGGTAAAATGAACTTGTCATGTCTAATTTTCAATTAAACTAAGCTCAGTTAATGTAAGAGCCGCTTTAGAAAGCACTGGAGTTTATCTCCAGGATTTAATTATATCGAGTTATATGATTTAGCTATAAGGCGCTTTAGAAATGTTGTATTTATTATTTATTATTATTATAATCCGAAGCAAAACATGCTGACAATCCATCTATTTCCTACATCAGAAAGAGCTGAGCTCTGTCTGTCAATTTTCAAACTTTTGGTTCACATCAAAGTTAGTCACACTTTGAAATTGAAACTAGGAAAAGTGTCTGTGCAAAACTTACAGCAAGCAAACTGAAGGGTCAGAGAGAAAGGAAGACTAACAAATATCTATATTGGAAATTCTCCCCATTTTAAAAACAAATTTCAAATTCATTATTCGTATTCTTCACATGAATGGAACTGTACAAGTCTTTCTGAATTAGATAAATCGAGGGATTGGTATCTCCGTGGCTGATGCAACACAGATTCGAACACATGACAGGAGAAAACTCCCAGTTTTCAAATGTTTCATGGTACAACGTAGACACACCCAGCAGTTCATAAAGTTGCATGATCAACCAAATTCTGCTCAAAACACTATTAATCTGAAAAAGGGTCAGACCCATAGTTAAATTAACTATTAATAACACGGGTCTGCAGACAGAAAATGAAACGAAAACAAAGTTATTGTGTACTTAGGGACGGTAGATCGTTCTCGGTTTGAAGGTCCTTGTCAGCGCTCGATTCTAACAAGCATAAATTGTACTGCACACCGGAGCGGTATGCGCGGCGCGCTTATGCTTAAACATCCTGCAATATTCTGTTTTTTATTAGTGTTAGTTTTAATTTATATTTAAAATACTGAAAATTAAAATTATTAAATAAAATATTTTAAATAAACAAAATTAAAACTATTCAATATTCTATAAATGTATCAATATAGTGAGTTTATGGCCAAATACAAACTATACCGTTTTTAATACGCCGCGCAAACGATTGTGTCCAAACATTTTGAAATAAACTCATGTTGGAATCGAGCGAAAAAAGTCATTCATCCAGTACAGATTGAATCAGTGAGACCTACGCACTTTCGCAATGCTTCTTGCAAACATAGTTTGGTTAGGTTGTCTGATCTCGAGTCTAAGTTTCACTAATGCTGAACTTTGTTTGTGTGACACTTCCCTTGCTTGCGATGTTTTGTGTTGCTGTGATCCAGACTGCTCCACTCAGGATAAGGTGAGATTCACTTGTGAGACAAGTGTTGAAACATCTGAACAGCCCGACGTCACATGTGTTCCGAGTAGTATTTTCAATAGAATAACTCCAGACAGTAGTTTTAGCTTCATTCGCATTGAAGATGATAACTGCTTTACGTCTACTAAATTGTCTATTAGTTCATCGTCGACCAAGTCCGTCAGAGCTGAATCTAGTTCCATTGAGGCTCAAAACACATTAGTTCCAGTAACATACACAAGCTCATTTCGCGACATAAAGTCTAAGAATGAGTCTATAATGAAAGCCAATGATTTAATATTTATTCGAGAGGAGCTGATCAGTCGTCCTCTGACCCTCCCTGCTGGATTAAGAGGGCAGTGTGTCCAGGACTCGGTGTTGTTTTTACGGAACTCCTCCGCATCTTGCTCATTAAAAGTGACAGAAAGTATCTGCCAGGCTGGTTCTAAAGTCGACAGTCTTAGTTCGATGTACAAGGATTTGAAAATCGTCAAAAATTATAGGATATCTGTGGACGAAACGATCACTGTGACAACTTCTTGCATTGATAAAGATGGCTTTCCGTTGGACTCGTGCTTAGCCCCCAATAAAAATGGTGGCACATGTGAGAATGTTGTCAAGAAAATTGAACTCCTTGTGACTTATGGAAAAGAGGAGATCAGCCCAGAAATCAGCGAAGAAGACAACGAAGAAATTATCCCAGAAATTATCCCAGAAATTATCACCGAAATCGGCCCAACAATCAGCCTTGGAATCATTTCAGCAGTTTTTAAGATGACGCTTGATTCTGTTGAAATAGACTCTACCAGTACTCTTTTGACGACAGTACGTTTTGATGGAAATTCGCAAGACTACCCAAACATCGGCCCGCGTTTACAAAGGTACAAGCTCGGTTATGAGCTCCTATTCAATATCAGTAATTCGAAAGTGCCTTTTTCTCCTTTTCAAGATGATACAGACTGCACGACAAGTCGACTTACTTTTCCATCGTCTTCAATCCAAAACTGTGTTAAGAAGATCACAGATTTCTCCACGACAGATTTTACCGAATTGACCAAAGGTTTGTTCTCGCCTCTACCTAGTTCACTGGCTAAGTATCACAACTCTGACCTGGTTAATCCAGAGGAATGGTTCCAACTTACCTGGGATATTCCTGAAGTAGTTGAAAGTAGTGCTACACCTATGAACCTGATTCTCACTGTAACACATCGGAGTTATGGTAACAAGCTGAACCCTGAGAACGAGATCCTATCAGCGGCTACCTCCATATCCACCACTAACCTTGACTCTCTTGACAAAGAGGGCCTTGTGAACCATAAACTTGTGTTTTACTTTACCATACGGTTTGTAAGTGTTGATGTCGAGTCAAGTAAAGAAAACAATATTATCAGTAAATTAACAAGGTCCCTTACTCATTACTTTTCCTTTCAGAAAGACAGTTTCCCTTTGCAACTGTTAGCAGTCGCTGTTATAATATTTGTACTATTGACATTAGGTATTTTGGTTACTGATCAGGGTAAACCCCAATTCTGATAATAAAAAGTCTGTTAACAAGCTCTCATTGATACTTATTGTTATCTTTAATTTATATCACAGATTTGTTGACGGAAATGTTGGGTTATTAAATAATCATATTTAGTCGATGTTGTGAAATGTTTTGAAACCTTTGAACATTAATTCCCGAAAGTGATCGCAATTCCAGTAGTAAATTTTAAAGTTTATATCGAGCTTCAGTTGACAATCAGCCTAATTTCTATAATAGCGAATAATATCTTGCAGACGCCGCTCAAATTCTGTACTATAATGTCTTTAGTATGCAGACACTGAGTGACTGCTGACAGTATTGTGACAACATGGTAGCCTTTGGTGGCCATGACAACACCCAAGAATTCTAAATTTGGCACACCAACAAGAATTTACACTTGTTGTAAAGTCCGCATTCCGATATTTGTAAAGTAATGTTATTATTGACTTTTAAAATAATTGACCGCAGTACTATCTTGTTTTGAAGAGCGCTGCTCAACAATGTGATTTCCTCTTCTGATTTTATTCCGAGCATTTTCCACAACTGATTATTCCTTATCATGAAAGAAGTGAATATTTTTGTGAGCGCGCCTTGAAAACATCACATTGCTGTTAACGACTAAGCTTTAGTCAAAACTCGACACTTGTGCTAATTTAGTGTCGAAACTCACAAAGTAGCTTACTCTATGTGTAAAGCATTTACTTAAACAACATGAGGTACTGTTGTTGTGTTATAAAACTACTATATTCACTTTGTAAATATAGTAGACTATGTTATATATTTATTGTGTAAAGTGTAAAGGAAGCGTTCTTTAATGTGTTATAAGTTTTATATTATCCCAGTCATATTTATTATGTAAATTAAGCTAATTATCATGTAAATTAAGTAAATCATACGCGAGTTTTCAGATGTTTAATGTTTATCACACTATGATCAGTTGATATCTAGTTTATTTTACGTTATTATATGCTATCATCTGGTTTTATTGTTGGTCTTACGTATCTTCAACTCCTGTCTTACATGATAGAAAGAGGCCACCGGCCACCCCACTCAATATATAGTAAGCATTATGAAAAGTAGGAACATAAAATCTTAAACTCTACTTATCAAAATCCTCCTGACGTGGGAGATCACCATAACCGAATCAATCTCAACACTGGAACTCTTTACACGTCAAAGGCATATAACACATAATAATAATATGTAATATGCT